CCGAAGCCGATGAAATGAACCCACAAGATGCCATGACGCCCGACGTGGAGTTCCGAGCAGATGAATTCAATGAATCATTCTTCCCCACAAGAGCCGACACCATGAAGTCTATTGAGACCCAGACAGATGACAACATGGGCAATATTGTCCAGAAGCTGGACAGCTTGGACGACTTCTTCGATGAGAGCAGTATGCCAACCTTCAATTTGGTGGCCCCACCGATGCTTCGAGGGTTCACCGGGAGCTATGTGGACACCAATGCGCATCTCTATGACCAGCAGACGGCACCCATCTTGCGGAAGTCTCTCGCCCGAACAGGCTCAACTTCATCATTCCACAATGGTCTCGCAGAGTCACGACCGGCCAATTTCCGATTCGATAGCCCGGGCATGCCGTCTCCTGTTGCGATGAATTCTCAAATGTCCAATCAGACCTTGAGGCCAGTATCACATGTCCGGTCCGTCACATCGCCCGCCAATAATCTGTTCGTTCACACACAGCCACCTGCAATCCACGAATCACCATTAGTCAGTCATGGCGACTCTGCATTCTTCTCCGATGACGATATCGAAGAAACCCATTCGGACTTCGATGAACACCCCGTTGGAAAATCCCGAGCAGCTGTCGCACCCATGGTCCGCAGCGCAACTGACGGCCCCCACTCTTTGGAGTCTATGATACGCAGTGGTATGCGTCGCTTGACCGGTGGTACGGCCAACTCTCAAGAGAAGCAGCGACAGCGAGACATACTCCGCGCCCAACACCGGGCTATGGTGCAAACAGCCAGTTCCCCCCGTGTACCGAAGGTACCCGAGGAGTACCTTGCCGGACCCACCAGTCACCCCACCTCACCGAGATAAAAATCCAGCCATGGACTGGAATCCGAAATACCATAGAGCATGCCATCTTGCCGTCTCTTCTCATCTTGTTCATTCCCTCTTTGCTATTTTGAGCCTGGGGCATTTCTCGGGCGTTCGTTCGGATTCGAATCTCATACCCTTGCCTTTGTTTGATATTTCCGCTGTGTTTTCTGTGGGTGCATATCTCGGGGTTTGTATACATCATAGCGCTAGGTAGAAGCAGCTGTAGCCAAAGTGGTTGGTTATCCTGATTGCCGTGAGTGAGCGTCGCCTGGGGCGTTGAACTTTAGTCATTATAGAATGAATGCACAGGATCTACACCGATTGATTTGAGATCTCCAGGGTTCAAGTTCTATTGATATACTATCATACCTACTAGTATTATTGTACGTGGAGTAGCCTAGTGTGACTAGTGCCCAGGCGAACATCCTACCTAGGTATCTACTAGGAGAACGGGTATTTTGGCAATGGCTACCTACCCACCCAGGTAGACAGTTATAATCCAATATTAATAAAAAAAGTGATTTGAAAGGCTACTATTCACAGGCGAAGGGACGCCCATAGTTGATATTTGTCACGGTCATGTCCCTAGTCCTAGTCCCTAGTTTAGCCTTAGCCGTCCGACACGAATCACGTGTCGGACGATATCTTATTACCCAGGAGAAGAATAGGACATCATCATCTTCTCCATCGTCTTTCGGACAGTAAGGTTGTTCCATCTGGTAGCACGTCGCTAAGATCCGGGGCGTCCCGGGAGCCTTTTCTGTCGATTCATCCAAGTAGACATACCGGGTCCGCCGGTGACCAGTTTGCCTTGTCCGCCGTCAGCGTCCGAGGGAGGGGGAGAGAGTTGCATGATACTCGATATCAGCGGCAGATTCAAGGGCTCTTCCCGAGTCGGAACCTTCCCGCCCGTCTTATAGTTTAGAATACAGCAAAAATATGGTCGGGACGACTGTATTTTTGAAAATACTATATTCTAGTGACTATTACTACTACTACTACTACTACTACTACTACTACTACTACTCCAAATTAGCAAAAGAAATTGAGGGTATTCAGAACACGTCGCGGTCCACTTACCAAGTTCAAAACAACGCTTATATCAGAGCAAAATCTAGAGATCTAAGTTAGTAACTTGAATTAGTAATAAAAGATAATCTTAGAAGTCTGAAGTTAAAGAATTCCAGGATCATAGAAGAAAGAGCCCAAATATACCTAGATATCCAAGTTCATGGATCCACAGATTTTTGAAAAAATTAGATTCAAAACTGCAGAAGTTGATCAAAAGATCAAAGACCTCGGGATATAACATCATAGCGGCAATATGGTCGGGACGATGGTACTAGAATTCAAGTTTTGAACTTGCCGACGGGCGGGAAGGAATCGGCCGAGGCCGTGCTAACTTGGAATCTAGTGCTAATTCTGGTTCGTGGTACTAACTATTACATGCCCTAATTTCAATTTCAACTTCCCCCGGGGCCGTCAGCCCGCTATCACGAACAAATATCAGTATGGGTCGACCCTCCTGTCTGGATACAAAAGTCTGGAGTCGGTGCGCCTACCTTCGGCTGGAAACTAGCTATGCCTCCTCTCTTTTGCCACCGCATACCTAGGTAGATGAACAAATCATGATGATCTACCATGTTACCAAAACTTGATAACCCGGTGTTCGACAACTTTGTCAGCTGTGGCCATTTGATTTCGAATATTTTGGAGCCTTACACCACGACCGTCCCAATAGAGGACCAGTACCCGTAATCTGGGCCTTCGGAATTTCGTAGATACCATTTTATCAAGGTGTCGCGCCCATTGGAGGCAATAGCAGGTATCCTTGGAGACTGTGGAGGTTCAAGGAGAAGCTCAATTTCGGACGATTCCTGTAGCTTGGGATAGTCGCAGGATGGATTGGTCTACATGGCCGGGAAGACACGAGGGATGGTGGGATTCTGCCGGGCGAGGGCCTCTTAAGTCCTGAAAAACATGGTGTGGTTGACTAGGCAAGTTGGCTTAGTACCTGCGACATAGACTGAGTTCCCACTTAGGCTATTGCTATTAGACTCAGTATCCGGGACTGATTCCTCATTTGTGGCTATGTCGCCCAGGTACCGTTGTTGCATGGGTGTCGGAAAGAGGTATGTAGATACCATGCCCAGGTGAAGGACGCTGATCAAGCGTTGAGAGAGAGAGGCAGATGAAGGACCGCGCGATACGGTCATGAGCTGCCTCGAGGGCTAAATGGCATCAAGCCCAGGCTTAGATATAGTACCTAGGTAGAAGATATTAGGTATCCTAGCCGCTAATGGTATCGGTACGAGTAGCTTCCTATTTTTTACCACCTTTGTGCAGCGTTGGCAGGATTGAGATAACACTTATATGTGCCGATAAGAAGCTTCAAAAGCTATTCATCACATGAATCGAAACCCCAGCGAAGCGAGTTCGTCCGGGTATATTAGTTTTGAGCGCCAGTGAGTGTGGGAACAACCTTGGAAGCTCACTGAGCTTAGGCTCGTTGAAACCGGACATGGCGATAGTGGCAGTAGGGGTATTCGGCGATGGCAGGGGTACTAAGTGACAGTGACGGTGATCAGGAGAGAGAATAAGAGCCCTGGAGGTTGAAAGTGCCGAGATAGCGATTGAGGACGTTCCAACTTGAAGGTTTTGCGTGGATAGAAGCCCTGGAGGCTAATATAAGAGTGGGCGTGGTTGCCAGAATTGAGAGATTCACGCGTGGCGGCGATGCGCCTCCCATCACAAAAAAAAAAGAGGGAGAGCAGAAAAAAGTAGATAATGCCCAAGTGGAGATTACGACACTTAGGAGCTTTGGAAAGGACTAATGATCTACTCCGAGTCGGAGGAAAGGAATGAAGCATATGAATGTATGGTAATGTGCTATGGAGAGGAGAAGATGGAGGCGAGGGAGGAAGCCAGAGATAACTGCCTCGCAATTGTGTTACCAGCATTGTGGTGAGGAGCTGAGGCAATTGCAGATCAAGATACGAAGATCAGGCAACGTGTGGTCTAAGATAATGAAAAAGAAGACGAAGAAGAAAAAAGGAGGAGGAACCAAGTACAGATGGAGCCGCAGTGGACACCATCCGGCTAAGGCACCCGCGCAAAAATAGCAACAACCATCTGGTTTGTCAAATCATCCCCCTCCACAAAGAAGCAGCTTCCCGGCACTTCAATCATCATCATCCAGAGCACCAATATCTATGCTATTGCCTTGAGTATTACCATCACCGGTGCCGCCATGGCTGGCTTGGTGAAATGGTAATGGCTAGAGTAATTGCTAGTGCAAGTGTAGCTTGTAAGCTGTTGAACTGTGCGACCAAATTCAGTGTAGGTACAAGGGAGGTTCAATTGTTGATACAGTCGATTGTGAATACTGCCAGTGTTATTGACGCCTTTACAGAAGGCAGGTATTTCAAAGTTTGACAATTTTGGGCCAGTCTTGGCTGTAGGCATTGTAAGGAATATGCTTGCGATGTGGGCGGTGAGAGTTGGGTATGCTCCATCACAACCCTCAACTTGAACGAAAACAGCCGTGCTTGTGCACATACAGGCTTGCATGGTCTCTCATGGCTCACCAGGACAGTGCATATCAGGGCATGGCATGTTGAACACTTAGGGTTTTGAGAGTACGAATCCAATGACAATGTAAGGAGCTCCGGCACTTGCAGATCAAGATACAAAGATCAAGATGTAGTAGCAAACAACAAAAGTGATTAGATTGGAGGAGAAGAAGAAAAGAAGAAGGAAGGAACCTTGGAGCCTGCGGGTCTGCGGGTGCGGGTGGCGGGTAGCTGGGTATGCGGCAATATAGATAATCCTGGAGTGTCCGCCATCCGGCTCAGGCGCCAACTTCATACCCACACCCAGCCAATCGGTGACAAGTGATAATAATCTGATTCGTTCCGAAGTATACACGTGACTTATTTCCCCACTTCCCCGCATCAAGGGGGACGACATCCCATCAGTACCCAATGGAGAACATAGGTCCACTCGACCTCGGAAAGCGACGGCCATTAGTGGGCCGAGTATTTGAACCTGCGCTTCCCCTTGTCTGCCGAGCAAGATATCTTTCGCCTCTCTCAAAACATCGTGCACGTATCCCTTCCAAGCGTACCGATTCAAGCAATGAATATCCGCTCCGCGTACGCAGTGCCTCGGACGGCTCGCAACCTCCGACGCTGGCCGCCTTCAAGCTCGGTAAGCTCGGTCCGAGCATTCTCGACGACATTGCACCGTGACGCAACATGGGGATTCGTGGGATTGGGCCAGATGGGTATGTTTGCGGCTACATAGGGGTGGGGGGGCAAGGGATCATGCCCGTGTTCCATGATATGATGCCGGTATTGACATCTTGTAGGCTATAACATGGCCAAAAACCTGCGTGCCAAGATTCCTGCTTCTGATACACTCATCATTCGCGATGTGAACAAGGATGCCATGACTCGGTTTGTCGAGGAGTCGCAGGAGATCGCGAGGAGTAGTGGAGCCGGTGCGGAGGTAGGGCAGGTGGAGGTTGCTGAAAATGCGCGTGAAGTTGCGGAGAAGTCGGTGAGTATCTGTCTGTCTTTGTTAAATCTGAGTCAATGTGGGCTGGATAGAGCTAACCAAATGTTGTATTCGATAGACTGTGATGATCACAAGTCTCCCCCGAATCTCAGCATGTCACAGAAGTGTACAATTCCATCATGAGACCCGGAAATCTTCCGGCTCTTGAGCAGGAGCGTCTTTTCATCGATACATCAACCATTGATCCTGTCACCTCGAAAGGAATCGCCAAAGCAATCCACACGACCCAGACTGGCCGCTTTGTCGATGCCCCGGTTTCTGGAGGTGTAGTTGGTGCCAAAGCAGGCACATTGTCCTTCATGTTCGGTGCCTCTGCGGAGAATGAAGAGTTCCTTCAGCGTGTTCGTGGCGTTCTCGCTCTGATGGGAAAGAAGGCATGGCACCTTGGTGAACCCGGGTCTGGAGTATCTGGCAAACTCGCCAATAACTATATGTTAGCCATCAATAACATTGCCACAGCGGAAGCCATGAATCTGGGAATTCGATGGGGACTGGACCCTAAGGCACTTGCAGAGATGATCAATTCTTCTACTGGCCGTTGCTGGCCCTCCGAGGTGAATAACCCCGTACCCGGAGTCGTGGATACGGCACCGGCCTCACGGGGCTACACGGGGGGGATTCGGAGTCAGCCTAATGAATAAGGACTTACGATTGGCACTCTCGGCCGCCGAGGAATCGGGAACTCCATTGGCTTTGGGTGGTCAAGCACGGGAAGTTTATAACGCCGTTGAAGCTGTGCATCGAGGCAAGGACTTTTCGGTTGTGTATCAATGGCTACATGATAAGTCCCACTGATATGAGCAATACAATTCAAAGACCCTCTGATACGAGAATTCATTTACTACTGCAATATACATGTATTCCATTTATACACTCGCAGTACGGCGTGTCCGTCACTTGACATTATAAGGTTCTTGGTCCCGCAGACCTCTCCTCATTCGGCAAGCAACGCCATGCCAGTCGATTCGTACTAGTGTGGACTCATCTTCTCGCTATAGTACGCTCTCGGTCTTGACGCTTATTGCCATTTCTCTCACGACGTTATCCCTCAATCTCAATCTCTTCCTTACCCAAGTCTTACACATCATCCTTTTCATCCTTTTCCACACTCCCATTTCATCATTCCACACCCTATCTCATTGAAGATATCAGATATCCTTCGGTGCTCGTACCTTCCCCTTCGTTCTCGTCATGTGAGTGATTTTACCTTCTCAATTTGGACTGCTTCTCTTGCTTCGTGGGCTTGCTGTGATCTTCCTCGTTTTTCATCCGTCTTTTTTCATGCTTTCATCCTTTTTCATCCTCCATTTGGTATTTATTATCCTTTGCTATTGCCCTTGTGGTATATGCTAATCATTTGGCCTTTGATGGTTGTTATATTGCAGCTTTTCCAGAACTAATTGACATCGTTTCCGCGGGTGTCGGTGTTTGCCCACCAGCCGACCGAAGTCATATTCTGAACATCCCATCTGAATTGTGAGTTATCTTTCCAATATTTCATTTCATTCTTAAAACTCCAGCGTCATTGACAACTGGATGACAAGGAGAGATCACTGACAGAATTATTTCACAGTCATTACTTCCGCCTTTCTGCCTACCTGGCATTTATACCCATTCAGGGTGCCAAGGTGGAAACATCCTTTCCTTCTAAGTAAGCACATCTCCTTCTATCTCCATCTCTTTCCATCTTCTTGCTCTTGAGATACTCTCTATATGTCTCTTGCAAGAAGGAATGGGCTTTGGCTTCATGTTTGGATGGAATGGCTTCGGCGTTTCGAAACATGCATCCCCAAATTATAATCTTCCACATTAACAAAAGGCTTCAGATCACAATCAAATCCATTCAACTCTCTTACGCACTTCAAGATGCATAATCAGAGCTCTCAGAATACCAGCTCTTCGAGTTCTGGCCCGTCCATCAGTGGACAGGCGAGCCAGGTCTACCAGGATGTGCGCTCTCCTTACCCGCCCGTCTACAACCAAGCCACCAAGACTCCCATTCGTGATGGGAACTCATCCGGTCCGGCAATTTACAACGGCTCAAACATGCAAAGCCAGCGTAGCAAGTTTGCTTCCAAGTCTGCTGCTCCCCTTGCAGTGAGCTCTCCCCTCGCAGTGAACTCTAACCTAGACTGGTCGGCCGCAAACCGTGCCGCTTACAACGGTCCGCTGGTTATTGTGCCCCCCTTGAACCCTCCGAACTATTTCGGTGGCTACTCACAGATGCCCTCATTTGTGACCAGTCCCATCACTGGACAGGCTGATCAAGTGAGCCAGTTTCCTTATGTGCAGACAAACCTGTACCAGAGTCTTGGTTCGATGATCCCCGGTCCCTACTCCTTCCCATACGTGGTGAACTATGACTCGCAGGACAACAAACAAAGTGTCTGGAGCCAAATCGATCAGAAGGGAGCCCAGAATGAAAACGCTGGCTTCAACCAGTACTATCCGACACCCTATGTGTCTACTCTGGACGGTGCCTCATTCTCCGGCTATTCCTATGCAAACATGCTTCCACAGGTTGGTCCCCTCTCAGTGCCATTCCAAATGATGAAGACCACCAATGGATACGTTGTCCAGGACCTGGACATCATCACTCAACAGGACCCTGCCATTCCTCGTGCTGTCCCAGCTATGTGGACCAATCCCTCCGAGTTGACTCTTGCCAAGTGCCTGGAGAACCGTGAAGGAATCACCAACGTCTACATCCGAGGCTTCCTCCCGGAGACTACCGACGACATGCTTTATGCGTACGCGGTTCGGTTCGGTAAGATCGAGCGCTGCAAGGCCATCGTCGACCTGGACACTGGTCTTTGCAAAGGGTACGTATAGCTCTCTCGTTAATTTACGTTAATCACACTAACATAGCGACCGATAGATTCGGCTTCGTGCAGTATTACAGTTTCGAATCCTGTGAGAACTGCATCCGGGGCTTCTTCTATCTGGGCTACCAAGCCAGTTTCGCTCAGAAGTCCCGGAATTCGCGCCTGAAGGACCTCGAAGACAGAGCGTCTACTAACATCTATTGCACCAACATTCCTATCGACTGGACTGAAGCAGTAAGTTCAAAAAACTCCTTAAAAATTCAGGAATAAATGCCAACCGCAATGTTAGGACCTTCGCCGCCACTTCGAGCCCTACCGCGTGGTCTCCGAGAAGATCAGTCGCGATGACAAGACCGGTGTGAGCAAGGAAGTTGGCTTCGCACGGTAAGATTAAAACCATATCCCCCAAGTTGAATTGTCAAGCTAAGCCATCAATGCAGATTCGAGAGCCGTGAAATTGCGGAGCGAGTTCTGGGCGAGTTCCACAACAACACAGTGACGGAGAACAATGTAAAGCTGTTGCTGCGATTCGCGGATACCAAGGCTCAGAAAATGCTGAAGCAACAAAGCAATGAACGTCGTGCATACCGCGCCGGGGAGTATAATTACTCCGTTGAGGTTGTGCAAAATACCCCCTCGCCCTCTATGCAGCGCATTCAGCAAGTTGGTCCCCTCCTGACGCCCAACTCTCAGAAGAGTATGGTTTCACCTACTGGTCCTGAGAGCTGGACTCCTGCAACGACTGTCTCCCCTACGTAAGTACTGGCATGACCCAAAGACTTCCTGATTCACTCTACCTCATTGAATGTTGAAAACTAACAAATTCATAGTTTTGCCATGATTGGAGACTCGAACAGTGCTCGCAACAATTCAATTTCCTCTCGTTCCCTCAATGCTCTCGAAAGTACCCCTGTGGATCGTCGCCGACACTTCGCAAACCGTCGGTCTATGACCGATATCTCCGCTGGGTCTTCCAAGACCGTCGTTCCTGAGTCTCCTACTCTTGAGACTCGATCATACATGTCTAGCCCTCAAAAGGAAAACATCAAGGCTGGCAGTATGTCTCCCTTTCCGTCCCGTCTGGAGACCATGACACCCGCCTCGGTGGTGTAAACACTCGTCTGAACGCATTCCGATCCCGCATGAAGGTGAAAGTCGAAAGTTCGAAAGCTTATGTGTTTGATATGCCTGCTGCAGGCATTTTCTATCCATCTTAGATCTGTGACATGCATTTTCATTCTTTGAATGTACGATGTATGGGGGCGGGTCATTTCACGGTCGTTTCACGATTCTGCTTTTTCTTGTCTTTCTTAAGGATACTATGTCTACCCTCTTGTATCTTTTCCCTATCCTTTCTGTCACGGTGGACTGCTAAGTGATCGTTCTTCTCGCGATTTATCTGTCTTACACTGCATGTCTTCGACTCATATCTGTACATGACATGGAGGGGGAGGATGTCTTTCTTTTACATTTTCCACCCCAAGGCGAGGGAGTTAGGGCTTCGGAATTACCTCGGCGCAGTTCTACACCGCCTCGGGGCAGTTCAAGTTTGAGGCGTCCATTCTTTCCGCATTCTTTTCACATTCTTTCCACTCTTTCCACCTGTGACTTTATCTCCTACATCTGTGACTTTATCTTCTACACCTGTGATTTGTGTTCTCGCTTCATGATGTTCTGTTTTTCATTCTAGTTACGGGGGAAGTATGTCTTCTGTGGTATGTTTTTCATCTATTGTTTTCTGCGGAAATCCAATATCCCCTTTAGGGCATGAGAAATTTGAAATATGATCTGTTCAGCCCAAAAAAATAATACACAGTATAGAATCCATATAGAGAATAGTCAGTGTGCGAGCGAGCACAGATTGTAGAGTGTAATCTATAGACATGACCAATGTAGGGGGGGAAAGGGGGCTATGTGTATACAAGATGAGAAGCCAGAGAGGGCCATCGCTAAACTCTTCCAAATCCAATCCAATCCAACTTGAATCCAACTATATCCAATCAAATATTTCCCGCTTGCAAACCCGCTTGCAAACACTCTTTATAAATCACATCCCACCCACCTACTTACTCTCTACCCAATCTCTCCTCCCTATCCTCCGTCAACTCATACGCGGGAAGATAGCGGCCATCACTACCGCCAGCCTCGGCCTTATCAACCTGCAACTTCGGGTTCGGATGCGTATCCGACGTCCCGCCAAGACTGGTATACCCCATATCATACAGAGCGCAATACTCTAGTCCAAGATGGCGGATAAAGGCCCAGATCTCGGCATAATGCCAGTCAATGACGGGGTGTATGCGCATAAAGTCAGGCCAGCCGGAATCGGTCCGGTCGAAGTGTGTGAGTTGGGCTCCGTGCGGGTCGGTACGGCGGGTGCCGACGAATATGGCGCGAATGGAGGAGTGGCGGGATAGGTAGTCTTCGAAAGTAGAGCGGAGGGTTGTGTGGGGTGGGTCGGTGGTGTATTTCGTTATGGAGAGGTGGTAGGCTTCTGCGGATGTTATGACGAAGTCTTCGACTGAGGCGAAGGGGTCGGGTGGGAGAGCGTAGATGGATGGGATAGATGGATTGTCGGAGGTGGAGGAGGGCTCGTCATTTTGCACATGGGTGTTGTATGGGTGTAGGCCGGCAAGGAACAGGATCAGAAGGACGAGGCAGTCCTTTCCGCCGTTGTAGGAGAGGGATAGTTCCGAGAGTTTGTATTTGGAGAGCGCGGATGTGACGACGTCGAGGGAGATACGGGTTTGCTGTTGGACCGAGGCGAGGATGGAGTCCGGTGGGTGTGTCTCGGCGAGGAAGGCTTGCACGCGGGCATGAATGCGCGCGATCACGGTTGGCAAGGGAGGAACCTCATTATCTCCGGTCTTGGATTCAGTGGGTTTGATGGCGTGGCCATTCGCAGATCCATTCGCGGAGCCATTCTGCTGTTCGGTTGTCGCCGCCGCCGCTGCCCCGCGGTGCGATGTCGGAATTGCGGCGAGTCCAAAGGGGCGCAGATGGTCTGCCGCACACGTAGGTTGATGAGGAGCCACGGGCTCAGCCATTGTGTGGAAGGGAAGAGTGGAGGAAAGAGAGAAAAGGCAATTGAGGATTAAGTCGAGGTTAGAGTTGATTGGAAGAGTCAAGATTGCGCACGTCTAGGAAGGCGGGGAAGAAAGGAGTGGGTTTCTCGGCATTTCGGGGAAACACTGCAGTACTTTCTTGGAGCCACATCAATGAATATACTAGTACGGAGTATGTATATTGAACGAATCTGTCACTTGACGTGAAATGTAGGGATCTGCTAAAATATTACTTGTGTTCAAAGTGTCTATGAGAGGGACTGCATCGAAGCTTCTGGTCGTTGGCCTAATGCATGGACCACCGGAAATGCGCGAATCAAATGTCTGGGAACTCCGAAGAGCCGGGCTAATAAGGATAACCTTACGTAGATAGATAAGAAGGTCTTGGTCTTGGTCTTGGTCTTGGTCTTACCCTAGGGTACCTCGGTCTTGGTAAAATAGAGATAGTGGTAGAATCGGGCCTAAGGGGTCACCATTGGCCATGATAGTAAATTGGATATATGGGAAGTAACAATATTATAAGAGTGCAGAGACCAAGATGAAGGCAAGCAAGGATAATCATAAATAGATAAACATTAGGTTGAGCAATGCTTAGCCGAGTACCTTCATCTTTTTCTTCTTCTTCGTCTTATCATCTCCTTTGCGACCCTTTTGGAAATCTCGCCAGGTCCCGATGCGCTCATCCCGAGTGTTCTCCCATGCCTTGTCATTATCACGCTTTCGTTTACGCGCCTCGAGCTCCTCCTCTTCCTTGCGTTGTTCTCGGCCCTCTTCTTGCAAACGAGCCTTAAGCTGTCGTCGTCGCCGAGCTTCCTCTTCTAGTAAGACATGGGTGGTCTTTTGACGCCATTCCTTCTTAAATTCCTCCGTCTTGAGTTCCGGTGAGTCCAGGGTGTACTTGTGTTCACGGATCAGTAGCCGCCGCGCATCGGCAATACACTCATCCAGATATGTGCGCTGTTTTTCATCAAGCAGAGCAGTTTGTGCCTTCTTCAATCGATCGAAAGCATCGGGCGCGGCGGGGTTCTTGGTCTTGTCTGGGTGGATCAGGAGGGACTTTTTCCGGTACTGGACCTTGATGTCCTTGTCAGGAACACCCGGTTGGAGGTCCAACACGGCATATCTATAGCGCAATGAAAGGTCAGCATGGGGTCAAAAACTGGGGGAAACAATATAATCCCCCGGCTAATTTGGTTAACGTACGAATCGAGGGAAAATGCCTTGCGAATACGGTCGATCTCCGCGTCCTAACAACGGGTTAATTTAGGCCGAACACAAGCACGGGAATTTGACAACACCCACCTTGGTAAACTCCGATGCCTCACGCTCCAGCGAGTCAAAAATATCCTGATCGTCGTCTTCTGCCATGGCTAGAGGAATCAAGTGGGTAAATATCAATGTTAATAGTAGGGGGACTTTCCCCAACGCGCGACTTCTCACTTTAGCCGATAAGCTTCTTATCGGGATTAGTCATCCCGAAAAAAAAGCTGCGTCGATAAGAAATTCGCAAGTCAACCTCGATTTCCGAAGCCTCGCACTTGATCAGACCTTGTCTTGACAACCATCACTGTCGCTAATCATGGCTCCGCCTCGGAAATCTGGCGGGAAAGCCCCCAAACCAAATCATGAATCTGAGAAGAACCTCAAACGCAAGCGCGGCGAAGATACACTGTCTTCTCTCATCCAGCGCGTGGAGGATCTCGATCTGAAAGGCTCCCTCAAAAACTTCGCCGACCTACCACTCTCCGATCCTACGTCTCGCGGTCTATCGGCTTCTCACTACAAAACGATGACCGACATCCAGTCTCGCGCCATCAGCCACGGCCTCAAGGGACGTGATATTCTCGGCGCAGCTAAGACCGGTAGCGGCAAAACCTTGGCCTTTATTGTCCCCGTTCTCGAGAACCTATACCGCAGGCAGTGGACCGAGTACGACGGTCTCGGTGCCCTGATTCTGTCTCCGACCCGAGAGTTGGCGATCCAGATCTTCGAAGTTTTGCGCAAGGTGGGACGGTACCATGGCTTTTCCGCCGGCCTGGTGATTGGCGGCAGAAGTCTGCGCGAAGAACAAGATCGATTAGGACGCATGAATATTCTGGTCTGCACTCCGGGCCGTATTCTGCAACATCTGGATCAGACGGCTATGTTTGAGACAAACAACCTACAGTTGTTAGTGATGGACGAAGCAGACCGTATTCTCGACATGGGTTTCCAGCACTCGGTGGACGCTATCATTGACCACCTTCCGAAGCAACGTCAGACTATGCTGTTCAGCGCCACGCAAACTAAGAAGGTCTCCGACTTGGCTCGTCTCAGTCTCCAGGAGCCCGAGTACGTGGCCGTCCACGAAGCCGCTGCTTCGGCTACCCCTGCTACTCTCCAACAGCACTACGTTATCACTCCATTGCCCCAGAAGCTCGACACCCTGTGGAGTTTTATCCGCAGCAATCTCAAGTCCAAGACGGTTGTTTTCCTGTCTTCGGGCAAACAAGTTCGATTCGTTTACGAATCATTGCGACACCTCCAACCTGGTATTCCGTTGATGCATCTTCACGGCCGACAAAAGCAAGGAGGACGACTTGACATCACTACCAAATTCTCTCAATCCCAGCATGCCGTTCTCTTTGCGACTGACGTTGTCGCGCGTGGTCTCGACTTTCCCGCTGTCGACTGGGTTATTCAAATGGACTGCCCCGAAGATGCCGACACATACATTCACCGAGTAGGCCGTACAGCCCGATATGAGCGAGTTGGCCGCGCTGTTTTGTTCCTTGACCCAAGCGAGGAGAAGGGCATGCTCCAGCGACTGGAGCAGAAGAAGGTCCCCATCGAGCGAATTAATATCAAGGCGAACAAGCAGCAGAGCATTAAGAACCAACTGCAAAACATGTGTTTCAAGGACCCCGAACTCAAGTACCTTGGCCAAAAGGCCTTCATCTCCTACGTCAAATCGATCTACGTGCAAAAAGATAAGGATGTCTTCAACCTGAAGGATCTCCCGCTGGAAGAGTATGCCGGCAGTCTGGGTCTGCCTGGTGCCCCCCCGCATTAAATTCATCAAGGGAGATGACACCAAGGAGCGCAAGAATGCTTCATGGAAAATGGCCTCCATGTCTAGCGACGACGATTCGGATGCGGAGGATAAGAAGGATAAGAAGGACGAGCAGCAGGTGCGCACTCGATACGACCGGATGTTCGAGCGACGAAACCAGGACGTGCTTGCAGAGCACTATCACAAGCTTATCAACGACGATGGTACTCTTGTGGCTACTGGTGCTGGCAATGGCGCTGGTGAGGATGCCGACGAAGATGCCGATTTCCTGACGGTCAAGCGTCGCTTCGTCGCTGGTGATGCGGGTCTGGACCAGGTCAGCTCCGATTCCGACTCCGATGCGTCAGTTGCCAAAAAGGAAACCAAAAGGGTGGCGATCGATGGCCAGGCGCCGCTGGTCATCGACTCGAAGCGCCGCGAGAAGCTTCTCAAATCGAAAAAGAAGCTCCTCAAGTTCAAGGGCAAGGGTACAAAACTTATCTACGACGACGATGGAAACGCCCACGAGATATACGAGATGGAGGACGAGGAAGATTTCAAGGCTCGTGGCGATGCCAAGGCACAGCGCGAGAAGTTCCTGGAGGAAGAGACAGAGCGTACGCGCCAAGCCGATCTCGAGGACAAGGAGGTCGCGCGAGACAAGCGTCGGGAAAAGAAGGAGAAGCGCAAGGCCCGCGAACGAGCTCTTGCGGACGAGGAGGCCGACGAGGAGCGGGGTGCACAAGGATTCCAGCTGCCCTATATCGAGCCGATGGATCTCGGGACCCCACCCCCATCCGAGCCCGAATCGGAGCCCGAGCAGGATACCCGACGGCCCAGCAAGAAGGTTCGGGTGTCGTTTGCCGAACCGGAGTCCAGCGAGGAGGAGAGTGCTTACAAGAGAGACAAGACCAAGAAGAGCAAAAAGAAGACCGGGCCTCAGATCGAGACTTTGGGCGATCTGGAGGCCCTTGCCAGTGGTCTGCTGGGTTGATCTATTGTACCATGAGGTGTCTCAGGCGTCTACTCTTTCTTTCTTCCCTCTCTTTTATCTTCTTCTTCTCTTTCCTTCTATACTTCCTCCCCTTTCTGTTCTTATCATGTTTAAAATGTCCCAGCGAAGCCCCAAAAGCATTGTGAATCTGCATGAAGTAAATAGATGAAGCGATTTGCCACTTCCGAGTGTCTAGTATCTTTACAGTCCCAAGCTTGGTCTCTCTCCACATCAATATAAAAAAGCTTAAACCCAAACCCCACGCGATCTCAATATACTCAAAATGAGCAAAGTGACAGCTCTTCTGCCGTACTCCGGCAATGCACAACTCCCGTTGAATATGAACCTCCTCCACATTCGCCCCATCAAGTGGATCCGATGAATTTTTTTTTGTCAACGCGGGCGGGACTTGCCGGTCCAGTCAACGCAACTCGAAAGCACGCCATCGCACGACTTCAGCAATGAAGACTTCTCCTGTCGATGATCGCAAGATGTTTCACTCCTCTTTAGCTATTTCACCGACTATCGTCGTCGAGCTGTCACTACTTTTCTCGGCCGATCGATATCAAAATCCGGGGTAACCCACATGCAGGTCACGAGATCAGGGCTACATTTACTCAGTTGACTGCCTGACTGCCTTTTTTTCAAGGCTGAAGTTGCGACAGCTACAGCTGCTCATCCCAGAGAGCAGAGTGTTTTCGTCTGGACTTGATTGAAAGGGTATCGAATATCGACGCCAGATCAAGAGTACCGGGTTATTCAACTACGGGGTTGTTATATTCCCCTCACACTAGACCACATTTCCAAGATGTCTTCTTTCGACGCCGAGAAGCATTCCGCCTCCAAGCCTGCGCCGCAGGAGTATGTCGGCGATGGCTCGTCCAGCCCTTTCACGAACGCGGACAAGCTGGCCCGCCGGCTGTCTGCTCGCCAGGTGCAAATGATCGCCATCGGCGGTACTATCGGCACGGGTTTGTTCCTCGGAACCGGTACCTCTCTCTCCAAAGGCGGACCGGCCTCAACTCTCATCGCCTACGCCATCTGCGGTGGCATTGTTTTCGTCACGATGCTTTGCCTGGGTGAAATGGCTGCCTTTGTCCCTGTGGCGGGATCCTTCTGTACCTATGCGGGGTGAGTTCGTCAGCGTTACATTGAAATTGCGCCTTCCGCGCCCTGCAGATCGATACTAATTTTGGGGCTGCTGAGTGATTTAGACGATTTGTTGACGATGCATTGGGCTTTGCATTGACCTGGAATTATTGGTTTAATGATGCTGTTTCAACCGCTTCAGATATTATTGCTCTTCAGCTGTTGTTGGAATTTTGGACGGATAATTTCCCTGGTTGGGGCATCAGTTTAATATTCTTGGTTGTCGTCATTGCGCTGAATGTTTTATCGGTGCGCGTTTACGGCGAGGTATGTATTACTCTTCTCCTCCTATGAGGTTGATCCATTCCTTTGCAGCGTATACTAATTCCGGATCAGATTGAATATTGGCTGAGTTTGCTCAAAGTTATTACAATTGTGGTATGTCTTGGCCCCTGAGTGTATTTCTGTGCACGAGCACCACCTGACTAACTACCAATCTAGATCTTTATTATTCTCGGTATTGCTGTCAACTGCGGTGGCAACACTGACCATGAATACATTGGGGGCAAATACTGGCATACTGGCGATGCGCCCTTCGTGGGCGGAATTGGCGGATTCGCTTCAGTCTTCGTCACAGCATCATTTGCCTAGTACGGATCACCCATCTCAGTTCTTCTTTCACTAGTACCTTTATGCTAACTTTAAACAGTGGTGGCACTGAATCTATTGCCATTACGGCTGGTGAAACCAAGGATCCAGCCAAGACTATGCCCAAGGTGGTGCGGAATGTTTTCTGGCGCATTATCCTTTTCTATCTGCTCTCGATTCTGATCATCGGCCTGAACGTCCCGTACGACTACCCCGGCCTTGCCGATGGCAATACCCGTACCAGCCCCTTCACGATCGTCTTCCAGCAGGCAGGCAGCAGCGTAGCAGGCAGCTTCATCAATGCCGTGATCATGACATCTGTGATCTCAGCCGCCAATCACGCCCTGTTCGCCGGATCACGCCTGCTGTACACCCTTGCAGTGGAGGGCTATGCACCACGCTTCTTGGGTCACTTGAACCGCTTCCACGTACCATGGGTCGCCGTGCTTGCCACCTCGGTCATTAGTGGATTGTGCTTCGGTGCCAGTTACATTGGAGCAGGAAAATTGTGGTCTTGGCTGCAGAAGTAAGTCCTCGGCTCATTAATCGACTGTCACTCTACAAATACTAATGGGGCCTCTTTTTTTTTGTGCAGCATTGTCGGTGTTTCGAACCAATTGTCGTGGATTTGCATTGGCATTGCCTCTCTGCGCTTTCGGAGCGCGATTCGCTCCCAGGGCCTAGAGCACCTGCTTCCGTTCAAGAATTGGACCTATCCCTTCGGACCTATTATCGCCATCGGTCTTAACATTGTGCTGGTGCTGGTGCAGGGCTGGGAGTGTTTCAGTCCGTATTTCAAGCGCGTCGATTTCGTGTCGTATTATATCGAGATTCCGATCATGATCGTCATGTTCCTTGCGTGGAAGCTTGTCAAGCGGACACACTTTGTCAGCAACTCTGAGATGGACCTGCACACGGATCGGTATGATGGAGGCCTGGATGATAGTTATCGGGTCCATGAGGAGGAAGAGGAAACCAAGAGGAAAGGAATTGTTGGCAAGGTCCAGCGATTCGGACAATGGTTGTTCCTCTAGGCTTCTGATCTTTGCTAATTAATATCTCCTACTAGCGCTTAGTTTACGAATGAAGTTTGTACATTCTTGAAGAATTTCATTTTACACTACGTAACGAGAGCAAATTGTGGGACTGGATCTTTCATAATTAAGTTGATTATTAATCCTCACATCAGATCAGATCAGAAGAAAGGTTTTGCCTTTTTGTCTAAGCGATACTGCAGTCTTGGAATCCCGATGTAGAGTCCAGCCAACCTGCATGCCCACAGATCATTGAAGTTATACAAGCATACAGCACAATCTAGTCGAACCAGAGAAAAAAATAGTAAGAAATGCAAGATCACCCCTCCATCTAAACGCCATGCCATGTCTTCAAAAGCATAAACTATAAGGGGTACTCGCGAGAAAGGAGGAAAATGGTCAACATCAGGGTAGGGAAGTGGTAGCAAGCAGACAAAAGAAAAGAGTACATAGGGAACAAAAAATTGAGAAACATGAAAAGGCCGAGTTTCGAAATAATACTCGTCACCTTTCTTTTCAGGGAAATACCGAAATATTTATTCCCCAAATGCAAGCGTAAACAGGGAGAACAAAGTCGAACAAGTACAAAATGCTAGACTGGACTCGGGGTGGGGCCAGGGCGTGTCGTAGAAGTCAAGTCGAGTCTTTTCTTTCCGTAACATGAACGAAACAACCGGAGCCGAGCCGAACCGAACCCCGTTTCTTGATTTCGTTTGGTCATCCTGCGAAAAAAAGCAAAGCAAAGCAAATCGAGACGAGAAAGCAAAGCAGATTGGTTTCCATTGAAAATCTTGAAAACCGAACGAAACGCGCCGTACTGGGTATAGCTCCTTGTAGACCCTGCTACAGGAAATTTGTGAATTATACAATACATTAGCCTCCGGGGCAGCTGTTGGATATTCTTCAAAAGCAGTGTTGAGATCGTCATGACTTGAAGAGGCATGATGGGGATCGGGTAGGGTCGGGTCGGATTATTCTAGCCGTTCACCATATCGTCTAGAGCCATTCTTCGCCGTTTGATGGGTCTTGATTCGCCAGCCTCGGCCTCGGTGCCGGATGGTGCGTGCTGTTGTGCTGGTATGGGAGGCGAGTGACCAAGATGAACAGGGGAAGGTAGGTCGATAGGTCCCAGGTGTCGAGGAATAGGGTCGAGAGGACCGGTTGAGGAGATAGATCGCTGGTGCTGGCGTGGTGTCGTGTGCGAAAAGAGCGACCCCGCCGGTCTCTGCAGCGTAATCGGTGATCGCGGTTCACGATTTTCTTCACGACTGGAGCTTGAGTTCATCCAAGTTGCTGGATATGGATCACTGAGCCGGTGGGCGTGGTGGGAGACCGGGCTGGCGGTTGCTTGGTGGATTGGAGGTAGCCGAACAGGGGATTCGAGGTAGGGCTCACGAGGACCTGGGGGCATACGAGGATCGCTCATCGGTTGATGGACGGTGCTTGCTGGCGACTCTGTATATGGTAGATATGGAGTCCCCGCTGGTTGGTGTTGCTGAGGCGATGTTGGCGGTGGCAAAGCCGGGCCCACATATGGAGGGTATCTTCTATCCATTCCAGGAGGAACAACTGGCGTATTCAGTACTGGGTTAAATCCACTCGTAATCGGGATAAATGCAGGTGGCGGATGCGGTTGTACTGGTGCGTAAGAGGCCGGCCCCGAGGATGAAAATGGTCGTCGACCCGCATTGACTGGCATTGTCGGAGACGGATCCATCGGACGAGTCAAGGGAAATACAGATGCAGACCATCTATGAGGCTGATTCCGTGGCATCCGCATGGTTGCTGCTGTCGGAGAGGGTTCGCCCATCGCCTGGAGGTCAGTCATCGGTCGAAGTTCTCGGGACGAGGTGGCTCGGTGCAAGATGGTTCGTTGGGCGGCCATGGAGGATGATTGAGCTTCAATTGAAACGTTGGGACTTTCCATGTGTGTTGTATAAGATCGAAGAGAAGAATCCTCAGCTTTCAATGGTGGCCGCCCCCTCTTCTTGTGTGTAACGTCCACACAGGAAGACTTGTTCGACGTCAGTTTCGCAACTCTTATTAGGGAATATAGGAGCATCATAGTCATAGGTAGATCAACATATCAATATAATACCAGAAGGAATAACTTACAGCTTTTCCAGCTAGAACACATCGTCGACAGGGCCTTGCCGGATCACATCCAAGGTGCTTTTTCTTACAATTCACACATGCTGAAGCTACATGGGCCTTGGTGCGTCGAGTCGATTTCTGTGCTAATGAACGGTTTGAGGATCCGGTCACTGGAGATTCTAATGTTGACAATGGGTAGGATGGTGCTCCAGAGTGGTGATGCTGAAGTTGTTGTTGATGTCGATGGTGGTGGTGATGATGATGTTCAATTTGATGATGATGTTCAAGTTGATGTTGATGTTGATGTTGGACCGGAGACCCAGTAAATGCTGGAGGAGCTTGATCACCATACCTGGGAGGGATAGATGATAATAAAGAGTCATTCACTACCGCCGGCGGCAGTGATGGCGCGGAAATGGCAGGGATGGGAGAATCTGTGGTCGTTGTTTGTGGTGAAGTTACTGCGGGATATACCACAGGATTGGGCTCTCCAGATGTCACCGATGGCTCGTCGGTATGAGGAGAGCCAGACATCGATTGACGGGGGAGAGGAGCCCGGGGGCTACACCCTCGAGCATTGATAGTCCAGGGTCGATTCAACAGCCGCTCAGGGCCCGAGTCGAACCGGGGTTGTCCAAATTGGGCGGTCGTGAGGCTCGGGGGGTGAAGCACGAGTGGTTGCATCGGGTGCTATGCGGGTAAAGGAAATGGCCCAGAGAGCAAACGGGATTACCAGGCGGATCTTGTTGTTCACAAAAGATGATCACTGGCTATCAATTCGGCAGATGGGGGAAGCATATCTGGCGAACGGATCCCTGACGCCTGGCACAACGAGGAGGGGAGGGGGGGGGGGCAGAAGGGGAGGGTACTCCGTACAGATGTGGGCAAGGGAAAAGAAAGTTACCAGAGGAGAGACAAGACAGAGAGACCGAAAAGGGTCAGCAGCGGTGTAGGGGTGGGAAAAAGGCGTGGTCTTCAATATTCGGTCGTCATCAAGCTCCTCTCGGGCCTGTTCGAGGACCACCTGAGCTTATAATCGGTAGCCACCGAGATCCGCTATTGGAGGAGTCAGAAAATAGACTGCATCGATCAGCGGGAGATTTCCAGATCACGACAGCAGGGTTACTCATAGCCGCGCCTGTCTTTCCCCTCCCAGGGCAACTTATTGCAGGATGGCGGTCGATCATGGAGCTAGGGTCCAGGTGCAGCAACGTAAATGTCAAAGCCCCCCCCCCCCTCTTCCTTGCCTCTGTGTCTTGACGGTCCACGTTCCGTGCATGGGGGATGTGCGGAGTGGCTCTGGGAAGGGGAAATAAAAAAATAAAAATAAAAATAAAAAAGCACTAGAAGTAGGAAACGGTAAACTATACCTTGAAAGTGAAACTGTAACTCAGTCTGGTATGCTGGTTATCTGATGTCTTGATCTAACCAGCTCTTTCCTTGTGAAATGCGCGAGGGTAAGAAATATTCTCCAAATGCAAGAAGGTTGACCCTGGTTGCCCTAATTGCTTGCTTCCCACCCTTTTTCTATACGAAGGAGGGGACACGGCGTACGGTTGGATGGATGGTCGGAGAATGGGGGGAGGATGATGGAGGGGGAAGTGAAAGCCACCAGAAGGAGAAAAGAAAAATCAGAATCAAAAAATCAAAAGGAAACAATAATGATAAGAGAAGAGTCTAGAGCCGAATGGGTATTTTTTTTTTGAGTCTTCCAGTAAAGTCGAGTAGCACACCCGACCTGCGGGATCCAGGCATATACTCTCACTCACAGCTGGAGAGAGAGATGGAGAGGTCAAGTGGGCGGATCCTAAAGGAATAGGAAAGTAGTGGTCAGTGCAGACGGCACTAGTAGCTGATAGACTTGATCTCCATCATGGTCGATCATTTGAATAATGGAGGGGGGGGAGAAGTCACCCTAGCCCTAGTTCAGCATCCGTACCGGGGCAAAGGATCAAGTGGAGAAGAGACTGCGTAGTCTACCTATAGGTGGTTTTGCTGAACTCCCTTTTTGGTTGTATTATTTATTTATTATGATTATTGATTATTATTTATTTTTGCTCCCTCTTTCCTTTCTGGGTCTTACCTGAATGATGAGGCCCGTGAGCAGCTCTAGTAGTTCGTCGGCTGAAGTGGCTTGCATTAGATGGGGAACGAGCTGTCAGTGCCCCAACTTGATACTAATTGATCCTCGGACAATCCCAAGTTAAATTTAGGCTGGAAGTTCAAAATAAGGCAGAGGAAATAATGTTAAATTTTATTCAAAATTGAATCTACCTTTTATTCCCTTAAATTGGAGGGGGTTAATACTGGAATAAACGGTACCAATACCAGGGAAGCAAGGCGAAAAAGATTGACGGATCGACGTCGGTGCCCGCAGCCATTGCCAATAGTGTCGGCCTCGGCAGTAAAAATATGTGCATTCCGTTTGTACTTTCGTCAACTACCGTTGGTACATGTAATTAATTTACTTATGGATTTTTCTTTCCTTTATTTTCCTTTATTTTATTATTATTTTTTTTTTTTTTAATAATGCTTAATTGCCCCATGTAACCCACCCCTCCTCGACTCAAATCAACTCGACTCGTCTTCCCGATCAGATCGTGCCCTGTTGTTTCTCGACGACTTTTTGAGTTTTCCACCTTATTCCTTATTTCTTGCTGGCTCCACAATCGGGCAAATCACCTGAGGTCCGAGAGAGGGGGGCCTGGAGCCTGAAAAGGAGAACAATTTACCCCCAATACTCCGTACGCCGCGTTCACTGGTTTCCCCTCTAGCTGGATGAACTGCCCGGGCGAGAACCCAACGGTCTTGGGTCGTGCTCACCTCCATCACCGACAGTCTGGTTGAGTCCCTGCATTGTTAATTTCTTTGTTGATGACTTTTTTTTTAGCTTTTAGCTATTCTTTTCTTTCTTCTTTTTTTTTCCTCTCTCGCCACTTGAGTCCCTGGGGACGAACACCTGGACTAGGGGGGGTACAACTGTACACCGCGTAAGACCCTCTGTCTGTGATGTCCAAGTCCTGTCGCCAACGAACGCCCACCCATGGTCGTTATTCTCCGCAGTGGAGATCAAGAATGGACCCACTCATCCCCCCCAGCACATTGAATGACCGAGTCGATCCTCCCGTTTATGCTCCGTAGGACGAGTGGGGGTTACTGTTACAGTCGAACCTGACTTCCGGTCCATCAGGATCGTTGATCAAGGGTGTTTGGAATAAGTCAAGGGGAAGAAACCATAATAAGTGAGAAGGAGAAGGGGTGAGGGAAACAAGAAAAAAAACACAAGTGTCTCACAGCAGGTGTGGCCTGCCATGGCCCATGAGTCGGAAGGCTGCAGACAGGGGAGGGGAGGGATAAGGGGGTTGCGAAGAGGGGCAAAGGTACTCCGTAAAAGACGCGATAATTCTTCCCATGCTGATATTCCGTACAGGGTATGGAGTACGGAGTACTCTGGGGGGGTTCCTGGTTGGATCGACATCCCATGGAAATAGTTCGCGACAACGAAGTGATACCGATGACGACGCTGGGAAATGATCTGAACGGGTCAGGCTTGCTGTCGTGTACTCATTGACCGTCACCCTTCCATTCCACAATCTGGAAGCTTTCTATTATCCCTTTTTTTCTTTTTTTTTTCTTGCACTGAGACTTTAGTCCTTCCCCGGGCCAATACACCCTTGACCAGGGGAGGAGGGGAGGGGAGCAAAAGAGAGGAGGGGGGTACAGGTGGGGGTAAAAGGAATATTACCCTGAGGGTTTTGTTTCTCTTGCCTAGCAAGTCCATCCCATCCCATCCCATATCCGTCGGGTGTGATGGTGCTTATTTTCCGGGGACTCCGATAGCACCATGGCACTAAGCAACAAGATGTGGCTGCAGACTCTAGAAGATCAGCTTTGCGCGTGCACATTGCTCATCCCTGGCGTTCGGCTGCAGGGAAAATCCAGCCCAACGTCATCGGGCGATTGACAGGGCCTCATGGGACCTGGACCTGTCCGGGAGCTGCCGAGGGGGGGGGGGAGAACAAAAGGCGGCTCGCCTTATTCTGACTGAAAGGGGGCTGGCGCATAGCATTGCACAGTGCAGTGTGGAACATGCGGCACGCGGAGCAGTAAGGGGTCTGTCACCCCGTTCATGCACGATCGGCCACTCAGAGGCAATAATAGGGCCCAGATACACACAAACACGCACCCAAGAGAGGGCATATGTATGCACTCGGTACTCGGTACAAAGTACGGAGTAAAAGAAAAGATACATAGATCCTCAATGTCAATGCTGGGTGCACACTCCCTTCTCCGTACTCCGTACTTCGTACCTGGCTTATTGCTGGTTGCCGGCCGAACTGGATCAAGCCCCTGGGGAATAGTCCATGACCATATAGGATAATAGCGCCGTGATAGTACGGATAGCGCCTCTGGTAGCTCGATAGCGGGAATGGAGGGGAAATCCCCCTAGTGGCTCGCACGATTTGTCAAAGCTGTGCAGATCCTCAAATTCGCCGATGGTTCGTTTCTAGCCGGAAGCCACGGAAATTATTCGGGGCTATTTCCTCGTGGGTTTAGGGTCCTTTTCATTTGTGGCCAAGGGTTTTTTTTGGGGGGGATTTTATTTTCTGGGGCCTTGTCGAACCCGAGGGTTTTGCCTCGTTCGCATGTGCGTGATGGGCTCCATCTCAACGGTGATCCGCCTGGAAACTTGTATTGAGCTGGTTGGGTTTAGAACCTGATAGCTCCATTAGTTAGCTGTACCTCGATGCCATGGGAGACGCCGTTCAGCATGCAGATACGCAGGTACATGAGCCCTCGAGGGATGAGGTCAGATGACAATGAAAAAAAGTGTGAAAAATAAGAAGAAAACAAAGTCAGGTTGTTGTAAACTTGGTGTAATCGAAACACGGTAGAACTTGAAGAGGAACATGAAAAAAAAAAATAACAATTGGTATCTCCGATGCAGGCATACAGACATCTATGGTAAAAAAAACTATACAGGACACCTTCCCCAAATTTTTGCTTATCTCTTCCTGGACGGCCGAGCATTCTTCTCCTGGCGCTTTTGCTTCAAGTTGCGCGCCTTGCGAATGTCGGTCGTCGAACGAATCTCGCTCTTTCCATGACCGGCCCCAGGACCCATGCGCTCCTTTGCGGCGTCGTTCTTCTTCTTCATCCTGTCATAATCGCGACGCAGTGGGTCGGCACGTTTGGGCGCTTGCGTCTTGTGGTGTCGGAACCGGCCATGAGGTCCAGCTGATGGACCCGTTGAGGCGCCAGGTGTCTCGGCCTCACCGACACGGGGCAGGCTCTTCATACGCTTGCCCTTCTTCCAGTCCTGGAAGCGTCCACTTCGGAAACTGGCTGCAATCTTGGCACCACTCTCACCGCGAACCAGGTGCTCACCCTTCGAACCATCCTCGTCGTTCTGTCGCGCCACGTACTTCTTGTGTCGCTTGTCCCAACGCATGGCGGAGCGGCCTTCGGTATGGAGCTTCTTGCCTTCGTCGCCGTTGAGATCCATAGCAACATTGCGCGACTCTTGCGCAAAGTTGGAGTTCGTGCCGGAGTGGACACCATATCCTCGGTCTTCAGCGGTGTTGTGGTTGGTGGGTTTGTATCCCATGAAGTAATCTGGGTTCTGGAACGAAGCCGCCGCCGACACACGGTCGGATTTGTTTTTGTTCTGTGAGTAGGCGGAGAAAGTGACTTCCAGATCATCCTCGGATGCCTCAGACATGTTGTCTCCGGCCACCTCGGGGATATCTTCATCAATCTGTTCACCCTCGCCTTCTTCTCCATCCTCGCCACCTTTGCCAATTCCAAGCTCGGTCAACTCCGCCTGCCTTTTGGCTTCTGCGCGCTCCTTCTTCCTCCCAACTGTAGTTCGAATTCGTTTGATGGTATTCATGGCCTCCTCGCCTTCGCCCTTGACGGCACTCTTGCCAGTACGTCGATTGTGGACTTCGAAGATGGTCTCCTGGGGCCGGTAACCACCAATACGAGCAAGCATCTTCTCTCTCTCGTTTTCCTTCTCGCTAGCCTCGTCGTTGAATAGGATATGGATGGCGGACCACTCGTCGGTGGTGGTGACCTGTTTCGCTCTCTTTGCGCTCTCCGCCGAGGCGGCATTACGAGTGCGCAGATAGAGCTTTTCACCTCTCACGGACACTTGACGTTGGGAGGCAATATCCGAGTTCTCGTCCAGTAACTTGTTGACCCATTCGCAAGTCCGAGAAAGAGGATCTCTGGGAATAGAACCCACAACTACATCTTCGGCATAGTTGACCTTGTCTCCATACTGGCGACCAAGAACCAGTCGTCGGCCAAGGAAAAGTTGAAGATCTAGCATGTAAGGGGCATCCGAGTCCCGAACAAGATTGTAACTCCAACCCTTTTGACCAGCACGCGCGGTACGACCGACACGGTGGACAAAGATTTTAGGTTGAGATGGGAAATCGTAGTTGATGACGTTGGCAAGGACAGGGATATCGATACCTCTGGCGGCGACATCGGTGACGACCAAGATGTTTGAGACACCAGTTCGGAAGTTCTGAACGTGGATTTTACGAGCAGTTTGATCCAGGGCACCGTAGGCGTAAGAAGTGGCGAATCCAGCTTCGATCAGGATAGAATAGAGGTAGTCAACATGATGCTTTGTCGCAGCGAAAACAATTGTCGAATGCTTAGTCGGCGATTCCTTTCGGTTGCCAGCATTCTCGATATCTCTCTTGCGCTTTCTGTTCTTGAAATGAGATTCGTCATTGAGCATTTGTGTCACCTCTGTAGGTCCGGTGGGCATCTTGATCACATTGTGCAGAATGTGGAGTAGAGCGCCTTCTTTGTCGGATGACTTGACAGAGAAGAAAATGTTTTGGAGATCGGGTGAAATTTTGCTTTCGGCGTCAAGTCGGACCAGGGTAGGGTCTTGGAGACCGGCCCGGGCAAATTCAACTAACGACTTGGGCAAGGTAGCGGAGAAAAGAAGCGTTTGGCGGTTCGAAGGCAGACCGTGAAGAATTTCTGCAAGTTGAGCGGCGAAACCCATTTCGAACAGACGATCAGCCTCGTCGAAGACGACATATTTGATACTGGACAGGTCCAGATCCATCTCGACCTTCAGATGCAGGAATCGACCGGGAGTTGCAATCACGATATCGGGGTTACCAGCCACCATTCCGAACTGGTCCTCCATACTGTCACCACCAACAAGCAGCACAGCTCTCAAATCAGTGCCACGTCCCATCTCCTTGACAACCTTCAATGTCTGCAGCGCCAGTTCACGAGACGGGGACATGATCAGACCGCGAGCGCCGAACTGGGTGCTGTGGCTCTTCAATTTCTCAATCATGGGAATGACGAAAGCAGCAGTCTTTCCGGAACCAGTTCGAGCCATACCGACTACATCCTTGTCGTCCATAATAACCGGGATTGTCTTTCTCTGAATAGGCGTAGGGACCGAAAAACCTTTGCGGGCGATGGCCTTGAGAAGACCGCCGCTGAGACCCATGGCTTGGAAACCACCACCCTTCTTCACGGTACGGCCTTTCAAGTTCGATCCTTTTCGGTTTGCCGAGGCCTGTCGTTTTGCGATAAAGGCAGCATCGCCATCGTCGACTTCCATACCGAGAAAATCGAGATCCTCGTTCTGAGGGGGTTTGGGTTTGCCCTTGGTTTGGGGGGCATCACCGGTATCGGAATCATTGTCGTGGTTGAAGAGTGCGCCGGTAATGTCGAATTCGGTCTCCGACATGGCGGGAGAAGAGGCGCGGTGAGGCATATTTGCGGTTGGAAGAGAAAACCTCACTTAGTTGATAGCGCCAACAAAGGCGGAAACGGTGATGAGAGCGGTTCAGCAGCTCACTCAATTTATGGACAACAGGTAGTCCAAGGAAAAGAGTAGGAACTGATCAAAGTAAGAATGTCAGATACAAGCCTGACCGTCTTTGAAACTTGAATCCCCACTTCAAGCAAAATGGTTCTTCTGCGTTCGATACGTTATCTTCGTCGCAAAAAAAAAAAATCTAGGAACACCGCAGGCGGTGAGCGATGGTTGGCAGGTGATCACGTGAGCGTGCTGGTTCGTGTTGATTGAGTTATGCAAACACGACAAACAGAGCAAATCCGCTCCCCGCGACGCGTCCGACACGCTCCCAGCCTAATTAAGTAAAATGATTCCTTTATAATTCCTTTGCTCATCTCACACACATACAACCTCACACTATGGGTATGAGGCACAGCCCCACCACTCCAATTCCTTACACTCTACTATATTTATGCTAACACCATACTTCAGACGGCGGTTACAATTCCTACGGCGGCGGTGGTGGCGGCGGCTTCGTATCCGGAGAAACGAACTCTCCATCTGGCGGAAGGGTATGATCCGGATGTGCAATTTGTCAATTTTGGATCGGAAGCTAATATTAAAGATATCATAGTCTGAAAACAGAGACAATAAAACCCTCCGTCCTGTGACTGTCAAGCAAATTGCCGATGCCACGCAACCCTACCCCGAGGCACCCTTCCAGATCGATGGCGCCGAGGTGAACCACGTTCTGTTCGTTGGACAGGTCCGTAACATCAGCTCGCAGAGTACAAATATCACATACAAGATCGATGATGGCACCGGCGAGATCGAGGTCAAGAAGTGGGTGGACACGGCGACCCGTGATAGCATGGACACCGACGAGAAGGGACCCGGCGATGGAAAGTCCGAGGTCGTGCTGAATGGATACGCTCGCGTCTTCGGCGCTATCAAAACCTTCTCCAATAAGCGTTATGTCGGTGCTCATAGCGTGCGGCCCCTCTCGAACCTCAACGAGCTGCATGCCCACCTCCTCGAATCAACTGCTGTGCACCTGTTCTTCACTCGCGGGCCCCCTGGTGGTGCCGGTCCTGGTAATGCCGCCGGTGGTGATGCTGTTATGGGTGGAGCTGATGATTACAGCGGTGCTGGTCCCAATAAGGCTCTCATGGGTGTTTCGCCGTTGGCGAAGAAGATCTACAACCTCCTCAAATCGGAGACACAGGATGATGCAGGTATGGAGATGCAGCACATCGCATCTCGACTCTCTTTGCCGACTATGGATGTGGCGCGGGCTGGAGAGGAGCTTCTGAACGCGGGTATCATCTTCACGACCATGAACGAACACACATGGGCTATTCTTGAGTATTAAACTAGCTATTCACTGGCAGTTATGGGTGTAAAAGCTCGAATGATATCATGATTTATTGCATATTTGGCTCACGGCGGCTATTCATAATCAAATTGCAATCTAATCTACTGGTTTTTCGTTTCCAGGGTCCTTGATACTGAGGTAATATATAAACTAGTATCCATGGGCTGTAGACATCGAGAGAGTATATGCCGCGGAATTCAGTCACTAGGGCGGTTCTTTTGTGCAACTCACCGTGACCAGGCCGAGAAAGCGAGGTTAGAGGGTTTCATTTCGCGCCATCGCTTCTTCGACTGATCGTTCCCAACTGATGTTTCTAATAAAGATACACTCAATCGCGGAAACCAGTAGCAGAGCCAGAGCGACGCCAGTCCAGAGACCCATCACACCCCAGCCCAAGCTGAACGTCGTCCCCATGCTGATAGGCATGGCGATGGCATAGTAACAAAATAATTGAATATAACCGCCGATTTCCTGTCGGCCGAGTCCACGAAGAATTCCATTCGTCACAGCTGCGATAGCATCGAATAGCTGGAATGCTGCGCAAAGCGGAAGAACCTCGGCAACAATTTCAATGACATCGGCATCGGAGCTGAATAGCATCGGGATATATGACCGCAGAGACGAGAGCAAGACCATGTTGAACAGTCCGACAATGATAGCTCCGCAAAAGGTGACCTTCGCCGAGATCTTTGCGGCCCCAGGCAAGGTGGCACCGATCAAGTTGGCAACGCGAGTAGATCCTGCGATTGAAAGTGGGAAAGGAATCTGCCAAGTAATGCTTGAAATGGTGGATAGGATGGACTGCGCAGCGAGCTCGGACGTTCCGAGATAGCTAGAAGCCAGGGTGAGTACTTCAAAAGCCAGACATTCCGCTTCGACCATGATCAGTCCCGGCAAGGCAAGGCGTATCATCGGGCCCCAGTTGTCAAAGGCCCGTCTTGTGAAACCGCACCAGCATTCAGATCCTACTTTGAAGTAGACATATGCAAATAAACAGACCGGCATAAGATTCTCGGTGATGGCGACGGCAATAGGAGCTCCAATAAAGCCCCAGCCGAGTTTCTGTGGGCGTCAAATTAGTACCATATCGAGCAAAATGATAGAGTTGTATATAATAATCTTACCCAAACAAAGAACCAATTCATGAATGCATTTAGTGGGGCACACACAAGCAGCACCCACAACGAAGCAGAGAAGACACCCTGGGCTTGTAGATAGCGCTTGCCACTTTCGAAGCATGCGTATCCCGGCGCTCCTAGAAGAGCAATCTTCAAGTATAGACCAGCCATCTCGGCCACTCTTTTCTCCGGAACGATCTTAGCCAGTATATACTCGGAATAATACCAGAGGACAGCAATTGGGATGGTCACTACCCATAGGAAGTAGATCATGCGCAACATCTGCAAACCGACCAGCTTCCTTTTGCCGGAGCCGTAAGCTTGGGCGCAGAGAGTATCCAAACTCGTTGCAAGACCCGCGAATACGGCATTGCCGGTGATACTGACTGTCATACTAGCTAAGCTGACAGCGCCCAATTCCTCCTTGCCCAGATGGCCGATTGTGAAGACACTAGCCACGGTCAAGGAGTATTGAAGCAAGAAGGTCATCATCAACGGTAGGGAGTTCCGGCCGATCACTTGGGCCTCCCGCCTCCATGTCGTATTGATCAATCCTGCTGTTACGGCCTCTTCCCATTTCCGATCAATCTCCTCCGTGTTCATCTCATGTTGGCCACCTCCCGGGGATCCCAGCAAAGCTGTTGTTTCTGAAGTTTCAGTAGTGACTGCGGCTTCTGAGCTCCTCCAGTCAGAGCTGTGGAAGGAGTCACGTCGTTTCCACGAGCTTCCTTGACCTGGTGAAGTCGAAAATAGACTGCTCAGTTTATGCTGCAGGCCTTGGGATTTTCCATGAGCATGGGCATGGGCATGCTCCGGGGCGATCAGTCGGTTGTCACTGAGCAAGTGTCTTTCATCCTCAATGGCCTGTTCGCGCTCACTTTGTGTCAAGGGTTGGTAATCACCAGGTGCGGGGACAACGGTGGCGTGTTTGCCAGAGGTGAAGAAGCTTGGGCGCCGGTAGGAGCCGGCTAGCGAGTGCGGATTGGTGGTGACATGGTGACTGGGGGCGCGGACCGTCGACGACTCGGAGGTGTTGTCGGTGCTGGAGACGGCGGAATCATCATGATCATCATCGTCATACCGGGCCAGATCGCGGGCAATGGCGGCCTCGGCAAGCGGTGAACTGGCTTGAAAAGATCGACTGAATGGACTATGATGCTCGGCGGATCCCACGGGGAGAATATTGCGCGGTGCCATGGAGGGAGATAGAGGGTGCTACAGCACCAGTAGCATTGTCGACCTGCAGCGGAGGTTTGTTGAAAGAGGGAAGTGGAAGCAGCAGCAAAGACAAAAACGGGCCAAAAGGGTCGGAAGTGGGGATGGCAGCGTGGAGTCGCCGTTCCGAACTAGTGACGGCGATAGTATCGAAACGAAATAAGGAAACGAGATAATGAGTTGACCCGCGATGTTTGAAAAAAAAGGGGGGAAATCATAAAGAAGAAAATTCTTTAAAAGCTAGAAGTCTCGTCGCTTTGGCCGCTCAACCACCAAGGAGGTACATACAAGAGTACGGAGTATACTAGCCCCCCCCCACTGAAGCTGTGAGTCAAGGCGTGACTGGTAGACTCCACTAGACCCACGACCGTGCGAGGCCTATCAGGTCTTGCTGATTTGGTTGAGATCTTTGCAAGAGGTCTGCCTATATTGAACAGTGAGATAGAATCCTAATATCAAGAACTATGTAAAAAAGCAAATAATATACTACACACTATACTATACCTTAGTAAGTATAATATAATGACATCAGCTTGCATCCATGCATTGCATCACATGACACTCCCACGCGGAGTTGCGCTTGGACTCTCAACTTGTCCCAGTCGCATTTTCACTTCAACTTGGAGATCTCTTAGAGAGAAGCAAGGAGATGCACTCTACACCCTGCACTCTGCATCTACTCCGAGTCTCACTCTCACTCTCACTCCCACGTCATGTCTCGAACCACTTCAGCAGACACCTCTCTCGGTCGCTATAACCCCCCTAGTGAACCCGGTCCACTCCAAACCAGCTCTCGTCGAAGAGTAAGTCAACAGAGACAAGAACCCTGGTGAAAGACCCCAGTCAATCATTCTATGGGCCGGGCACCAACAAGCGATCCATTCCATCGATCTAACTCGAAGATAGACACGTCGAGGATCAACAACATATCCTCTTCTCTCGCCCTCTCTTCGGCGCCCTGCTTTTCGAGAATACGACCTCGGATGCGCGTGATCACTGCGCCAACGAACGCACCTTTCTCTCATGGCTCCGTCTCTCCATGTACCTGGCCATCGTCTCGCTAGCCATCATCATCTCTTTCCACTTCCGCGAACAGCCATCAGGTTTGGAGCGGCGGATGGCTCTTCCGCTCGGCATTATATTCTGGTTGCTCAGTCTGACCTGTCTTATTAATGGGTTTGCGAATTACTCTCGAACTGTCATGAAGTATAGTCGTAAGGCCGCTCTAGTGCAGAGTGGTTGGAAAACTCAAGTGGTCTTCACGGTGGTTGGGACCGTCATTCTGGGCAGTTGTATCCTCTTTTTATCAACAGACAAGTCGGGGTAGACTTGGATTTAGGGAGACTGTCCATTTCACTTCATCTGAGGCGCTTTTATTTTCAAGGGTTTTAAGTTGGGAGCATCGCATAGCGTTGGCATATTTTACATTCTATAATTTATAGTATTTCAGCTTATACTAGTAGTAGGTACCTTCTGGGAATATCTTCATTCATAGTACTAGTAAATTGACATCTATGACAAAACTTCCTATATTCAAGTGACACTGGTGTCCCGAAATTTCAAAGTTTGTTGTGTCTTAGCTAAATACCAAGGTGGCATGGATCTAAATCAACAGACAAAGGGGCAAAGCTCTTATACTTTTGAAAGATTGACAAAAGAAGCTCCAGATTATATGCAAAAACAAGGTGAGGTATCAGGGATATGCATCGAGGAGAATAAAACGAAAATGGGGTTCAATGGCCAAGAGAGAAGGGGAGGGGTGGCGTCCAGTCGCATCTTACATCCGACGGATCTGAGTTTCACCCTTATACTTGTCGAGGGCGGAGGTGCCCAAGTGGCTCCACCACTCGAACAACATCGAGTTGCAGATGAGCTTGAACCAGGGAGTGAATTTCAAACCAGGCTTCTCAAACATGGCCTTCAGCTCATCAGCAGAAACGTAGCAAGTATCCCGCACTTCATTGGCGCTGGGCTCCAGGTCAACATCGGCCTGGATGAAAAGAATGTAGTCCACTACCCATCGATGTTAGCAAATCACAATATAATCATAAAATCGAGCCACGGAGACCACATACCCTCGTGCTCTCCCCATTTCCCGTCGCTCGGGGCTTTATAGTGAATACGAGTGAAGAACTCGAACTTGTCCAACGGCACTTGCTCGGCCTTAATTCCCAGCTCGTGATTCAGCTTCCGCTGAGCGGCGCGCTTCACGCCCTGGACTGCGGCATCCAGCTCAGCACCGGTCTCACCGGGGATACCCAGGGGGTGCGAGCAGCAGGTGTTGGTCCACATGTCGGGGAAAGTGATCTTCTCGGTGGCGCGCTGTTGGAGCAGGAGGCGGTTGTTGGAATCGAACAGGAAGACGGAGAATGCGCGGTGCAGGAGACCCTTATCAATGTTGGTCATCAAGTGGCCTATTGTAGAGCGGGACGGTTAATCATTGGATCTGGAAAATTGGAAGGGTGCCCCTCTACCCCTCCCATCAATGGAATCCGGGGTCTGGGTTATAGAGTTGGGATGGAACCATACAGGTCTTCTTGCTAGCGCTACCAATAGGCTTGTCATCGTTATCCAAAACGATGCAGACTTCCTCCATCAGGCGGACTTGCTCGTCGTCGTAGCCATCTAGCTCGGTACCCTCGCGCGCGGAGTTGTCCGTGGCGGTGGGGATAATATCGCGGGCGAGAGAAGTATCGACGTCGGGGAAAAGGGTGGCGACGTTATCGGCCGTAATCTCTGGGGGGGCGGTTACTGTCATGGTAGCGGACATCTTGGACAATGGCTCTGGGGGAATAAACAGAGGAAAGCTATGGGGAAGTCGAAAAGAAAGAATGGGTTGTTGGGTGTTCACTAGAAGTCCGAAGGCGGTAGAGATCGGCAGTCGGTCCCGTGGCCACGGAGTAGTTTGGGGTACGGCAACCTTACCCAATAACCACACTTCAGGATCTACTCTATTTTAGTATCTTTACTCTCCTTTCTTTACCCTTTTGAGTCAATACTTTATTCTTGGCGGATCTGCCAATAGCTGTGCCAGTGTGAACTCGACTTTTTTGTCTAAATCTCCAAATACTCGGACAAACTCAAGAATTTGGTATATTTGCACTACCCCCTTGCATGAAAGGTAACTCAAGAAGTTGATATTGACGCTCAGCTTGCAGGTGTGCAGCTTGGACGGAGTACGATTCACTTCAATCCGAGCTCCTTCACCGAGATAAGCTCCTGAATCTCTTCCTGCCCCAGTAGACCCAGTTTTTCCCGTCTTGTCGATGCATTCGGGTCAAATACTGGTTTCTCCGCGAGTGAAGTCACCCGAGTCCCATGTCTTGGCTGCGAGCCCTCATAGTCCCAGCTTGCATTATGGATCGTAATTCTTTTGACGATTAGTACTAGTAGTGACATTCATAATGACAAGTACGCAGGATGATTCTGTCCGATGTACGGAGTAAGAACTAACCGGTTGTCCCATAGCGCACTAGTCCGTGGACTCCACTTGAATCGAACTTGGATGTCCGGGTTCTTCTCATACACATCAAATAGATACCCCAGAATCACATCACTCTCAGCCTTATCTAACCCAACAATTCGGGAGGTCATGGCTCGGTTGACCCAGAGTGCTTTCCACCCTGTGGCAGGATGAACCCGAACAATCGGATGCTCACGCTCCACATACTTGGGACCGGCTTCGGGGTTCTTTCGGTCTCAGATACGGGTGCGCAGATCGGTAGATGGCCGTTTTGCCATCGATGAACTGGCGAAATAGAGGCGAGAGCTTCTCATACGCTGAATATCCACTCGCCCAGAGCGTGTCACCTCCAACTGTGGGTACCGTATCATTATGGAGGTGGGTCACTCCAGCCGGCTGCCTTTCGTGGACAAGATCGGTATGCCATCGAGAAGATCCCCCGGGTCGACGAAAGCTGGCCGGGTTCTCTGTGGCTTGGAGCTCGGGCCAAATCACAGAAACCCCGGCGACTCCAGGAACCTGCGGGACTTGAGGCTAAAAAGTGAATCAAGCAATTAGTTAGTAGGTAGACTATGTGCAAAATACACATCGAATTCTTCGATCTTGATTTTCTCACATGAATTTCGATTTCCCCGAACCATTTCCCTAATTCCTTCTGCTGCTGTGGGGAGATGTCTTGATCTCGGAAAAAGACCACACTGCGTTCGGCAATCAACAGACCCAGTTCATCCTTTTGCTGATCTGTCAAGTCTTTCAGCTGCAAGCCAACGATCTCGGTCCCAATATGCCGTGTTAAATCAAAAACTTCTTTAGCAGCGGATAGCAGGGCTTTTTTCTCTGGATCTGCTCGAGTGCCGGGGTCTACATGCGAGCGGTCAAAATTCCGAATATTATACACATCGTCGATATAAAGCGGGCGTGATGGTCGATAAGGATATCCAGAGCTGAGATCGATCCCAGCCTTCTCCAGGCGCTCTCTTGTTGGTCCTGGAAGACCGAGACTGTCTTTTCGCGGGGGCGCAACATCTACGATGCGGGGATCAATGGGAGCAGGAGCCATTAGGGAGGCCACAAGATGAAAAATAGTAATCAATGGTTTGTGCTTTTTACGCTAACTTGTTTGTACTTATATACCACTACTACATGAATCCTTTCTGCTTAGTAGTTATGGCGAGTCCTCATTGACTGAGTTTAGTACTTTGTACGCTTCTACCACATGCCCAGGTGTCCAGTGTTGCGTCTCGGGGTAAATCGCCAAGTGAGCACATCATCGCCGCATTTCATGGCGCCTTCTGTGGGTTTCTTGACCTCTCATAACACCCAAAATATAGACACGGGCCTTTTGATTGCTCTGTTACCGACTATGCGGAGAAGCCATTAATTCATAATCTGCGACGCAAATCACGACGATCGCATCGAGGTGATTTCTAATCCGACGACTCGCATGATAATGACTGCCGTGCCATCCGATAACCCAGTATTTGCGGGCATTGATTATGGACTGTCTGGTCTGCTTTAGATGGTGGCTGGGATGACGAAATAATGGGTCCAAATAGTGCCTGCCCAGCCACATTTGAGATCAAATCCTGACATCCGGTACTTTTAATAGGAACAACTCCCAAGTATCCCATCAAAGTGAAAGCCTCCGCTATAGTTGAAAAAAATGTCCGAACACACTTTGAAGCGGGTGGCAGTCATTGGCGCTGGAATAAGTGGTGTCGTGAGTGCTGGCCATCTCCTTGCGGCTGGGCTAGATGTGACTGTATTTGAGCGAAGTGAAGCAGCCGGTGGAGTTTGGTGAGTATTTGGAAATGTTAGTATAGATTAATCAAGACTGACATATTTGTTTAAGGCTTTACGACAAACGGGTGCCGATCGAAGCTCAGTATCCATCTACCAAGCCATGGGAACTGGGAAAGTTCAGCAGAGACGACAGAGACGAGGTTGAACAGCAACGTTTGATACATGCACCACCGGGGTAGGTGATAACCCGAAAGCCTTCGGATTAGTCGACAATATAACTAACGAGAACCAGACCCTGTTATGAGAGTTTGACTAACAATGTGTCAACACCTTTGCTACGTACAAAGCTCAATTCGTGGCCTGAGGGGACACTTCCCTATGTTAATCACCATGTACTGAAGGAGTATATTCAAGATACGGCCAAAAAGGCTGGAGTGGAGGCCGTGACTTTGTACGGTGCTCTTGTAACAAGTGTTTATAAGAAAGAGCAGAAATGGCATGTCCTTTGGAAGTCCCTGCATGGAGATGCAGAGACCGGCCAGCTAGCCGAGAGAGAAAACTCCGATGTGAGCAATACCCACCAAAAATTGATGGCGAGCATATTTTTGATGCATGGCAGATTTTCGATGCCGTTGTCGTGGCGTCTGGACACTATCATACCCCTTTGGTCCCCGATATTCCAGGATTAGCGGAAGCGAAATCACAATGGCCGGTGGAAATCGCGCATTCGAAGTCATTCCGCAATGCGGAAGGCTTCGAAGGAAAGGTAAATCTCTCTAGCAAAATGAATGTGGAATGGTGAAGCTAATGAGTCCAGAATATCCTTTTGATCGGCGGAGGTGTATCCTCAGTTGATATTGCCCGAGAGATTAGTCCAGTCGCCAAAAAGGTATTCCAGAGTACCCGCAACGGTGCTTTTGATATCCCAGCCACTGCGCTCCCAGCAAATGCCTCGCGCGTCGAAGAGGTGGTCAAGTTTGAACCTAAATTGCTGGATAAAGAGGATGGAACCCATTTGCCCTTTGTTGCGCATCTTAAGTCCGGTTCGACCCTGCATGACATCGACAGGATCATACTCTGCACGGGATACCAGATGGTTCTTCCTTTTCTCCCACAATATAACGACAATAGCAGTCCCTCTGCAAATGACTTAGCTATAGTAACGGACGGTACCCAGGTACATAACCTGCACCACGATATCTTTTACATTCCAGATCCCACCTTGGCATTCGTGGGAATACCCTTCTATACGGCAACCTTCACCTTGTTTGAGTTTCAGGCTATTGCGGTTGCAGCGTTATTTACTAAAGCCGCACAACTACCATCTGAAAAGGTCATGCGATCAATTTACCAAGACCGTGTCGCTGCCAAGGGCCTGGGGCGAAGCTTCCACTCACTCAGGGGAGAAGAAGAAGCCTACGTGAGGACCATTATGGAATGGGTGAATACCGGAAGAGCTTCCAAGGGGTTATCACTTATTGAGGGTCATACTGATTCTTGGCTTGAAGAAAAGAAGCTTCAGGTTGAGCGCTTGACTCTTATTTTTCAAGGTGCCATTCCCTACGGGTTTACTGGCAACTTGAAGGCACCGCAAGAGGTAATAGCCGCAGCATGAGGCTCAAGAGCCATTTTGAACAAGATTAAAATTATAACAAATGTTAGACAATGGTTTATTGGTAAGAATTAATCAAAGAAGATCTGATATTCAAAGCACACAATACAGTAGATGAGCCCCTCGCAAGGTTATGGACAGTCCTATTGCTTGCTGAGCACCTTGAGGCAGACCGAAAAATCTTATGCTTATTAAGTTGTGATGACTTTGGGTTTATTTACTCCGCATTGATTATTTCTGATCATAAGGTCTGTTTAACGGAGGTTTTCCGCCAGTATTAGGATTTTAAAAGGTCCGAGGTACACAGTTGTTCTGGCGGATGACGAGACCAATGCTTGTGATGGTGATATTCTAGCGTGGTATGGCAACAAAACCGGTCCGTCGACGAAATAAATCGGCGAATCTCCGTAGCTTCAGGAGGGGACTTGAATTAGCGTGTTGCAAGTGATATTGGTCATTCTTGCAGATATTGCGTGAACGTAGCCAGTGACTTTTTGACCGTCACCAACAACTTGGCCTTCCCATTGGGTCCATTGTAGTGTCTCAAGAGCTTATAGCTTAGCCCATCCCCACTTTTATCTGCATTTGGGTCAAGATAGCACGGTGACGTGATTTGAACCTGTTGATGTCGATTCCAAGCATTGTCCACCGAGTACATCACTCGGTTCAAATGCCGATGAGAAACAGCTTGAGTGTTTGGGGGTGGAAGAAGGAGCTCCGATCATGCAGCTTATTTATATTTAAACTTTAAGACGCCTACAATTTCAATCGGTCGCGAAATATTTGCGACCGTATGAGTCCGCCGTAACCATGTCAACAACCCGTACCGAGGAGGCAGCTGTCGAATCAACAACTCCAGTTGTTAAGAAGAATATCAAGCGGAGATGGGTCAGCTATCTTTGGGACACATTCGATAAGTCGCCAGAAGAGCGACGACTTCTTTTCAAATTGGACTCCGCGATTTTGACATTTGCGTCATTGGGTATGTGTGTTCATCTCTTTGCCTGCTTATACTGATGGGGTCTTTCTCGGCTAGGATACTTCATCAAATATTTGGATCAAATCAACATCAACAATGCTTTCGTGTCAGGGATGAAGGAAGATCTAGGAATGTATGGAAATGAACTCAACTACATGCAGACATGCTGGACTGTCGGATATGTGCTTGGAGAAATCCCGAGCAACATTCTCTTAACTCGAGTCAGACCACGATACTGGATCCCAGCAGCTGAGGTAGAACCTTCCAAGCCACGAGGTAATTTTTGTGTTTACTGACTCAATACAGCTACTATGGACTGTTTTAACGTTCAGTCTCTCAAGATGCAACACACCTACTCAATTTTACGTGCTTCGATTCTTCATTGGTATGCAGCTCTCCTCACAACCTTTTATAAAATTGGGAAAACGCTAAGCCGGTGACTTCAGGCCTGGCAGAGAGTACCTTCTATCCGGGGATGCAGTATATAATCGGATCTTGGTATCGAAAGGATGAGTTGGCAAAACGATCATGCATTTTCCACACAAGCAGCGGTATTGCCAGTATGTTCTCTGGTTACCTCATGGATGCCGTCTTTAAGCTGGGGGGTCGAGGGGGATTCAAGGGCTGGCAATGGTATGGACATGAAAAACTCCCTTCATTTTCGGACTCTAATTTTTAAATAGGCTATTCTTAATCGATGGAGTCATATCTCTGCCGGTGGCTATAAGCGGCTTTTTTGTGCTTCCAGATGTACCTGAGATTTCAAATCCGTGGTATCTCAGCAAAGATGTATGGCACTAATTCTTCCACCCCGATTTTTGAATGAACTGGTTACAATTTACTAATTTTACTGACTCAACAGGAAGTCGAATTAGCACAGACACGAATGAAGTTAGAGGGTCGAAAGGAACGAGGGCCTTTTACAAAATCCAAACTGAAGAAGATATTTTCTTCGTGGCACATTTATCTCATGACATTGTTGTACATTCTTTTCAACAATGGCGCTGCAGGATCTCAGCCTGTTTTTCAGCAGTAAGTTGTTATCACCACTCATTTGAATGCCTATCAATGTTCACCAACAGGTATCTCAAAAACTCGACCGATCCCGTTTACTCCGTGGGCCAGATCAACTCTTATCCTACGACGACTTATGCGGTACAAGTTGTGACAACACTTGCTTATGCTTGTAAGCTTCCCCTGAAAGCTAGTGGATGGGACCGATGCTAATTTCAGATAGGGTCCTCGGACACTTTTCTTAACGGAAAACGTTGGCCGCCCATTGTGTTTGGTGCTGTGGGTATATCTCTGCTGTGAAATGCCAAAAAATTCTAACAATACTTGCAGTGCGTAAATATCATAAGTTATGTGTCATTGTCAGTTTGGGATATCCCAACTGGATGGAAGTGGACTTGTTACATCATTTCAGGCGCTGGATTTGGGTTGAGTGGGCTTCTTATGGCGTGAGTCGCCCGATCTTGGACGCAGAACTCGTTGAATTTTTTTATTCTAACAATTCAATCATAGGTGGGCTCATGAGATATGCTCCGAAGACAACGAGGAGCGCTCTCTGGTTATTGGAAGCATGAATGAAATGGCCTATGTGTTCCAGGCCTGGCTGCCCCTTCTGGTTTGGCAACAAGTTGATGGACCCAAATACCAGAAAGGCTTTATTACTGTGTCATGCATTTCGTTTGCTCTCATTGTTACCACCTTTGTCGTTCGACATCTTGATCTCAAAGAGAAAGGTGAAAAGGAGTAAGTTGATAACGACGCCACTTTAACGCTTCGAATCTGACGGTTTATCTTAGAAAGCAAAACGCACTGGCTGGAGGGACAGATGACGGACTTTCGGAATCATCGGTTGCCACACCAGTGGATACAAAGCCTCCTAAAGTTCAATTGACATAAATGGAACTACCGTGACTCTAACTTGAATTAAGCATTTCAATGCTTGAACGAGTGGTGGGACAGGGCCCGTCTACACCGGGAAGTACGCCTGAAAGTATACAGGCCCGTACAAAAACTTCATTAGTACCTAGGTACTAGTATACCAAAATCATGATCAATGCCTACTAGTAGTCTGGAGGCATATGATTAGAATACACCTGGCGGGCATGTCTCGTTGAACTCTCAACCTCCAGGGCTTGGAATAGATAGAGTAAATTTACTAGGATGCCAGTAGATAGTATATACTAGTACCTACTAGTATGTACTATTAGCTCTTGATATCACATAATAGTACTAATTAGCAAGAGTAATACAATCTCACTAGCCTTGATTAACAAAGGGACAGTATAGCAAACTTAGTACTAACAGAGAGTGTATCTGCAAAATACTAGTAGGTTTCAGAGTTTATATTAGCTCCTTTGGCCCGTTATCCTCTGGATCAAAAATTTAAAAAACTGATCTCCAATATATTCAAGTTGGATTGTATTATTAAATGGTCTGCTTTATTTGGGTTTTAGCACAAGTTTCTGGCAGGCCTGTATATTCCTCTGAGGCCTGAGAGATCAGGCCATACCGCCTCCACTATGCCTCAGGCCAATAAGCCCGTAGTCATCAATCTATCATTCCATCATTCATCCCTCCTGGTCATCATACTATTCCACATGCGCCCGGGCGCGTTTCTGTCATCGAATTCGGATAATTTCTTCCCCCCTGGAATTTGGGGATGCCACTTTCACAATATGGGCAAATAGTCGTACTTTTCGCTTCGACAGTGGCTGTCGTCACATGGATGAAACGAGAAAATGGGTGCGATCATATCAATATTTCGACCTGATTTTACCTGGCCCCGGCAGATGAAACCAACAATTAGCAAGACTACTCCGAGTATCCTACCGTCTCCCGGAAAACTCCAAAGAAGGGCATGGGGCCTAATGCACATGGTCTTATGTCATATTTCGAAATGGTACTCTTGATGGTATGGCATCAGCTTTGATGGCCGGATAATTGAACTGCCCTTCGGGCTCATACTGAAGTGGTCCGATCGAACCAGCAAGGAGGAAGCTGCCGCGATGCAAATGGCACGAGCTGCTGGTATGCCTGTTCCCAAGGTGATTTCCTGTGGAGAGCATCCTAATGAGCCTTACAACCATTTCTGGTCAATATTGATGACAAGACTGCCTGGAATTTCACTCGAAAATTCGTACGACCTCCCGATGTCGAGTCCGAAGAACCGTGGCTGTTTGAACTGAAATCTGCATGGCTTCCATGCGCGAATGGGTGTCGCCTCATGCTGGGAAAATCTGTTCCGGCAACGGCAACTCTTTGCGCAGCGCACGGGTACCAAATCATATAATGGGCCCTTCTGCCAACGAAATTGAATTTCATGGTTTTCTTCTGAGTTCTGCCCCAGGCCACGGATTTGACACCGCTGAAGAATACATAGAGGCACGGGTTCAAGCGAACAGTATTCGCGCATTTAAACACCAGATTATGTTCACCCATAGTGACTTCAAGGCACATAACCCTCTCGTCGGAGAGGACGGTCATCTATCCGGGATATCGACTGTGATCAGCTGGATGGCTACCTGAATACTGGCAATATACGATGGCAATAAGGTTCGGAGCGACCAGTTGGTGATCTCAATTGGTCTCTTGGATGGGTGGGGATAAGTATGCCCAGCAGCTAGTTTGTGACATCGCGTTGAACTCATTGACTGCTTATTCTTATATAGCCTTCTAGATCTTGGCCGTTCCAATAAATGATAAAATTTGATTCAATACCGACGTAACTTTTGCTACTTTGCAACCTTGGAAGACAGGAATTTGACTTAGTTCACGTACACGATCACGAAAATCCAACGAAGCGACATCCACTTGTTGAGGTAACAGGTGAGTCAAAAACCCGCCTTGCGTTTTCGCCTAAATGTACTTTACAGTAGATGTAATGAAAACCTGAAAGAGCCTAACGCTGTAAGCTTAGCAAGCTCCTGCGTCTGGGATTATGCAAGTATTTTATTTATGTAAAACATAGACGCCAATTTCGAATCCGAGTGCATCTAGAAAGACCTAATCGACAGGATTGAGCAATTTCATCGATTGTCACAAATTCAACCCATTTTTCTGTCTACTACTCCGTATTGAGTTCAAAACATGTTATTTGTGTTGTTCTCGATCCCATCCCCATTCTTTGAAATCATTTCTTCGGAGGAAGGACCTCTCAGGGGAGAACTTATGCTTAGGCTTCCTTTGCCCCGATTCGATTAGTGCGAGCTAGAGTGTAATGGAAAAGAGAAGCCGAATTTTAAGTGGCCCCTGAGATGAGACAATGTGATAACGGCGCCCGCCAGACAGGGATAATTTTCTTGTTCACTCTCTCCCGGCTGGTCCTACCAGACCATGGCCATATTGGACCAGGTTCTCTAATAGGATTTGAAGCTTGCACACCAACAGAATTGAAAATTGACAAGCGTACTCTCCCAACACCCTGTTGCAATTAATAGCCTTGCCGATCTTAGAAACCCCCTTTTTGTGAGTGGTGCGGTCAAATCGAGATCTATGGTGGTAGCCTTGATTGGGTAACTTTTAGGTCGATCACTGTAATCTAATTGTCATCATTTCAACTAATATACCAAAGAAGATTTAATTCATACCTAAGAGTACATAAGGGGTGTTTCCGAGTCATTGCGACTCGCCCAGATGGCGAGATGGAGAACAGGGATGGGAAATCGGATCACACATCTACCCCTCTCTTACCAGTCCCTAGCCCCCCCCTTTTTTTTGTTACTCAAATGAGCGTTAGCTGTGGATACCAATAGCCTATCATTTGGTGAAGTCATCAGGATTTCCAGAGTCCGGCGTTTCCGCTGGTAAAATCAACCGGCGAGCTGGAAGGTGACAAATCATAACTCAAGTCAAGCTGTGGGTTGGGTAATAATCCAATCTCAAGTCCCAAATTGAATCCATCTAGTCCGAACCCATGTATGTCTTTTTATTTTCATCGAAATGCGAGCAACAAATTCGGGAATCTTTACCGAATTGAGCAGCTATTAGTTAACGCACTCTTGAACAAGCTAAGCTTTTGATTATGGCTTTTCCCCCTCGAAACGAATCAAAGAACATCATTCTCAAGGTTGCCAATGCAAGAGGCTCATTGGATGACTATTTGACCCTTGACTCCCTCGCCCGGTGAAAAATCATGTTACCGTAGCAATACACAAATGTAATGTGTGACTGCATGATTGAGCATGATAACTAATTTACTCCGTAAAGTAAACCACATATACGGAGAGCTTGGGCCAATGCTTCGGAACATCATCCGTGGAAGAAGGCGTCAAATAGCGCTGCGGGTACGGAGTAGTACAGAGCAGAGTCCTGTTTTTCGAATAGTGTCGTGCCTAATTGTGACGATCACCAGCCGGACTGGCTCGACGATCCTTCGCCCCTCTTAGCATGTGATTCGGCGTTTGCTAAGTGGAGTGCGGCAAGAGTCTCGACTTTGGCCAGACGATCAGAAGGAGAAAAACCCGGCTCTTCTTTTTGTACCGAGAATCTCCAGGGAAATAGATCGGATGGGCTGAGGCTGAACGCTTACCACTCCTTGGCCAGACATCATGGTGGCTATTGAAAGGTCATTCGCACGAATCCGCTGGAGTAATATGCATATGAAAATCCCGACGCCCAAGAGAATCGCCTTTTGAAAACCTCGACGATCTCAACCAACAATTGAAAATTTTCATGATCCGATCAGATTGGGTGGAAATAGAAGTGGAAGATGAATGTGGCGCCCCGCTCGGAAATGAAAAGATCAGGTTTACCGCGCGCCAGCTTATCATGTGAACTTGCATCTATGTTATCACACCAGAATACAAGAGTGATCGCCATGTAAATAATATCTAGATACATGTTGAGATCGCAAATAGAATAAATCATCAATAGAAAATTCCCCCAATAAGATACAGCGTAGTCCACCAAAATGCATCGAAGTATACCAACGGAAGCTATAAAATTCAAAAAAAAAAAACAGGACAAAAACAGAGGTAAGTACAGTTGACTAGAGATAACGCCAAAAGAAAATGGGACCTGCCCGAATGCTATACTCGACTCTGGAATCTTCTCGTGATGAGGTCCATTGTCATGCTAGAATTGCAAGAACGAGAACGATGATCTCGGCACAATTCTGCCCAGCAAATCCACAATAGGCAAAGCGACCGAGATGGACACGCTCAACGCAGAGAATTTGCCTGTTCGCTTTTCGAATTTTAATTCTGCAATTTCATGGATTCGCGATAATCTTGATTTTTCACGAAAGAGTAAGAAATCGTGTGGTTTGAGATCCCTGAACATCTTTTGACATGGCTAGGCAAGACGAGTCAGTTAGTGCATGTAATTTGAAAGAGTAACCGGCTGGGGCTCTCTCACTTCAAGAGGTCCTCTGCTCGTGCAAAACCTTTTCCACATCGCTCACAGTGATGTTCACGAATATGAAGATGTTTCTGAATTAGGGTAAGCGTTTGTCAAAGCAGCCGGTTCAGTTCTTCTCACGTTGTTAAAATGACGCCGTAAGTCTCCCTTTCTTCCGAAGGTCTTCGAGCATTCAGGACAGCTGACGCGGGAAATTTTCCTTGATTCGGGGTCATGTTGCTTCTCATGTTGTTTGCAATTTGATCTTCTCGTGAAGGTATTACCGCACTTAGGACAAGGATATCTGTTGGTCGAGGTTCTTTTCGCTGTAGGGCAAGCAATGAGAGCTACATCACGACTTTCGCTGGAGGTATTAACAAACTGGTAGGGCTCCGCCTGGACGGAAGAGACTTGGAAATCGAGAGGATATTTTCTGTTGTTCTCCATCGGAGTCATGTTGTGGGAATCGTCGCTAATCAATACCGAAGGCGAAGATTCTAGAGTACAGAACTGGATTTGCCCCGGTATTTGCAGTCTTGTGGGAACAGACGCGTTGACAGAAAGAGCCTCCGGGGGGCTCGTCGGTTCTGAGCATGGCGTGACAGGCCAATATCCTGGATTTTGATGAAATAACTCCTGCCCGGACTGAATCTCCAAGCTCGAGCCATAGCTTGGCGATGCGCTCATTTCTTGAGACCCACCCCAGTCCTGAAAGCCGCTGTATGCGGGAAAACAAACTTTATTAGAGGCGTCTTGAGGATGGAGGGGAGAGCTATGGAAAGCGGTCGTCTGTGATAGCGAATTCGGCGACTGGTTAAGAGGAGACATCGGGTAAGGGATCGGACGTTGATAGCCAGTGGTATGGTCGAAGGCAGGATCTAATCCGCAATTCATAATACCCAAGCCGATAGGTTGAGAAAGTGCTGGTTGAGGTGCTGTAGCATGAACTGGAGATGAGTAGGCAGATGATGTCTCCCGAGAATATGCATCCATCGATAGTGAAGGTGCCATGGATGATGAGCTATCTGCTATCTGATCCATGGTGGCTTGCATCCTGAAGTATAACAGTCCAACGGGTAAAGCAAAATGCACAAATGAAAAGATCCAAAATCAACTTGAACCCAACTGAAGAAAGTCCATATCGAGGGATCAAAGGGTTTAGAGGTAGTGACGGTGCTGAGTATAAATAACGAAGGATCACCATCTAGGGCTGTTGGTGACAAGCAGCCACATTGCATAAATGGTGGCTGAGGGAAGTGAATAGCTTAAGATTGGGGCAGAATCTGCCTGTCGACACGGTGAAGAGTCAACAGCTTCACGCCTCGAGCGACGAGGCAGATTTTCAAGTGGAAGGGAGGGGGTACTATGCAAATGCGGTGGGAAAATGAGTGGGGGGGGGGGGAGGGAAACTAACGGCCGGGGGATGCTCGGAACCAGTTCGATCTGTCCAGAGTCTACTCCGTACAAATCTCTGTAATCCCTGCTCCAAAGATTTAGCGCCCAAGGAGGTCAATCAAAATCATCAAGGCTTTTGGGGCGGATGGATGTCATGATTTTGTTTTCACGCCTGGCTCTGTGGCCAGGCAATGAAAAACGCCGGCCTATACATCTGAAAACGAGGGGGGGGAAGGAAAAACAAAAGATGGTTGGCAGGAAGTTGGCATCCGCAAGGTTTGTATTAAAATTACCAGATCCCCTGGAAATAACCGCACAGCGGCGGCTGTAAACTGTGGTGCTAGAAGATGCTAACAATCACTGCAATCACCGATGGGCTGGTCCATCCAACAGCGTTGCGTCCCATGCAACAAGAACAGCCAAACGAAAGTCTGGAGGGAGCCCATGATTTTGGAATTGACTGGCGAGGTGCATAGTAACTGGCGACTGGAAGCCAATGGTGTACACAGCCGCAAGTGCCAGAACTTGAAGCAAACAACCCCTGCAATAGACTTCACCTCGTGGCGTTTTCAGGAAACGATCATCTCACGCCCGAATAAACAACCCTTTTTGGGCATCACGACTCTCACTGGTTACGGGTCTGCCCTTCCGAACCGTTCGATTTCATGTATACCATCGGCTGATACTCCACCAAAACCCCACAGTCTCAGGTTCCTTTCAAGGTCGCAGAGTGTTGCCGTTGAGAGGGTATATTCCGGCTGGCATCTCCAAGGCTGTTTTTGAAAATTGATGCTATTTCGGTGGCTATTTTTTTTTCTACCACTGCTTTGCCGAAGCAAATTCCCTGCATAGCTCGAGCTCCATTCTGTGTGATCTCTTGATCACACCCTTTTTAACGCTGGAACACAAGATGTCACAGTGGCTCCCCACTTACCCACATCTGCAGCAGACTAACCCTACTACTCCGTAAAGCGAAAGCGAGACGTGCAGGGGGGACGTGCGTGGCTCTAAGCGCCAGGAGAGGTGGCCCCTCTTCCGTGAATTTGCATTGCCCCTTTTTCTTCATCCTTCATTGTGGAGATGCAGACCTAGAGGAATCAAAGGGGAATGAATTAACAGAGAGAAAAAGAAAAAATAAAAGTTAGTCTGAAAATCGAAAATTGTAATCCTAAACTCATGATTATAATGTCTAATTCTTGCTCTGCTGCGCTTCTAACTTTGCTGTGGCGCGCTCCACTTGAACTCGAAGCCGTTCTATGGATGCGATCATCTCCGTGATCTGATCTGTCTGTGCCTGTGCCTGTGCCTGTGCCTGTGCCTGTGCCTGTGCCTGTCCGGGCCGCGCGGGGTTTGGTTCCTGCCTGTCGTGTCGATCCACATGCATTTGCTCATTTCCCAGGCCCAGGCGACATGTTTCGACTACAGAAGGGTGCAGTGGGTCCAGGCATTTAGACACACTGGGCTCGACAACAGAAGTACCATGTTCTTGTGACGATGTCGGCGGCAACCGACCGGTTGATGGCGATGAGAGATGTCGACGACTTGACTCGTACATCCAGATAAGCATCACAAATGGCAGATGGGTTGCTCGGGAGAGAACGATGCGAACCCGGCGAACCACCTCCGCAGACAAAAGCAACCTCATGGGGCGAATACAGAGCAGCGGGATAAGATTCTGTCACCGGTAAGCGGGATAATGATCTTTCTGGAACCCAAACAGAAGTCCTTTGCATCGACGGAAGGCGGCGCTAACTTACCAGGGGCGGCATGAAATACGTCAAACGTCGGGAATTACTGCTTTCCAACACATAGATGGATAGTCTGAAAAAGAATCAGTCAATGCGCCCCTCGGACGGGCGTGGCACAGCCTTGATTCATTCAGGGTGTCTGAGATACTAACTGGAAAAGGTATTCCTCTCTGGCATGCAGCATCACCTAGATGAGTATATTTATTAACATCGGTCGCTATGAACAACAATAAGGCCAATTCTGGGGGAGCTTACCCCTTCAAGACTCATGCTCATCAAGCTAATCAGTGAGGAGAGAAGCAAGATGTTGGTCATCGAAACGAAAATCAACCTGCAGTCATGATCATGGTCAGTCTAGTTCAAATGCAAGTGCCCTTTAGGATATGTGGCAGTTATTGCGGGGATTTTGGTGCTACTGCAACCCATTCTCTTCGCACGTATAACGTGACCAAACGGGAATGCAAGAACCGCAGCTGCAGTTTGTTGTGACTTATTTCCTTGCGGGTGGCGCAACCAAATCATAGGGAACTCACATCAAGCCATAGCCGAAGATCGGGGAGATCTAGACATTAGCGCGTCAGTCAACTTGTTCCGATAGCCAACCATTTTGCCAAGAGACATGGATTGGGGGTTTCGTCCTGCAGGACCGCTGCATAGTGCAGAGACTTACTTCAAACGCGCTGTCCTGTGAGCGAATCGATTCAGCCACCATTAGTCCAGGTCAGATAATCGTTAGAACACCTACTAGTCCAAGTGAACCCGATCTGCCTCGCACGGTTAGCAGCTAGAAGCGGTCGAAAACAAAGAATATTCACTGCCGTACCCAAAGAAAACTTTCACCAACATCTCTGACATTTCCTTCAGTGACAGACGGTCACGCGCAAGCATGGTAAATGTCGTCAAGAACCCTGTAGCCATCCGCCCACATCTGTTAGAGGATGTCTCAGTCTACAGAAGGGGCTGTGTCTGCGCCGCTCTTACCGATATACAAGACCATCACCACCGGCATAAATCTAAAAAACGCCTTCGTCTACGGTCAAGTCAGCCTTGAGCTCTCTGGCGGATTTCAGTGTATGCAGTACCATTTCCTTAAGTACGGGAATCTAATCAAGACCGGTTAGCTGGAGCGATTAATGGGGCAAGGTATGTTAGGGCGTGTCTCCACTCACTAGGCTGCCGAAGTATGAATTCAGGCTCACGAGCGAGCAGATCCTGTGCCTGCGTCAGGTCTAGTTCTTCATGCGCACCAGTGATGCAGAAGGCCATACCTTGGCACAAGAAAAAGTGCCTCGAGGGAAAGAATGTCAAATGAGAAATTCAGAATGTAGTTGTCACCCCTGGCTAGCCCGATGGCTCCTGAATCGTCTCTTTTTTAGCTTCTTACCCTGTAAATTCCTCATTAAGGCACGAGGCAGACTGAATGACTCAACTCACGGGCTATGATGAAAGCAAAGCCTACCCCGATGATGCCAAGATTCCAGAGGCTCCAGAAGTCCATCTGGTAGAACAACACACCTGCATCGACGAGCCCGCTGAGTTCATCGTAAGCAAAGGCGGCAATCCAAACATCCATCAGCGCTTCAAAAAATCCAACCCTTGTCTGATTTCGTTCCACAAGCACCGAATAGTAAAGAAGCAAAAATGAGAGGAAAAATGCAGCCTCAAACATCTTTCGATAAACGGGAACTCTCAGACGAGAGTACGGATCGGCGGTTCTTCATGGACCAATCAGAATTTCTCTCTCTCTCTTCTCTCTCTCTCTTTTTCCCCTTGTTTTCCACGGTCACTTACTTCCTATTAAAGAGCTGGGGCTTCTTCTTCGAATGCACTGTGAGAGAATCCCAGAAGACTATCCGCCCGTTCCAGATGTCATTGACAACGCGTTGAACCACGCGCTGGCTGAGGAACATCTTTGCTTGAGCAACTGTGGCAATCTCCAATGCATTCAATCCAAAGAATTGCGAGTATGGTAAAATATCAATGCGCTCTGGTTGACGGCCATGTGGGCCTTCGTGGGGCTCTCCATTCCTATCGCGTTCTCGGGGCTGCTTCCCAGGTGTAGTCGACTTGATAGGGGTTGAGGATCCCGAGAGTAGTGGTGTCGTCTCCGGGTCACCTGCAGGGACGAATCCTCGATTTCCACGTTCGACTTCGAAAAGATTCGTCGAATTGCGGCGGGGAAGAGGTAATTCCTCGAGCAAGAATTCAATCGTCTCACGCTGGTTGAGATGACACAGGAATTGCCAGGCAACAAACTCACAGGCGGCCCCTCGACTTTCATTTAAACCCCAGTCATCATCGGTGGCGTTACTAAAGTTCCATTTCAAAATCCTTGGATAGTTTTTATTCAGCAATCCGATCTTCCGCGTTGAGAAAGAAAATCAGGTCTTACATCAGAGCGACTATGATGAATGGGTTGTGGCTATCTTGAGCGAGTGCATGGATTAACTGCCTCAGGCGATGGCCTCGGGCACCGAATCTCATCTGCTCGAAGGAATATTCGATATCCCCAACGGCCATAGAAATGAAGCTACGACAGGCATTAGACAAAAGCCGGATAGCTTCGAGCAAGAAGTTCATACCTGGATAACTTTGGCATCACTTCAAAAAGGGATTCTTCCGTCTCGATGATGGGGATCTCGATGTGATCCATCGTATCGGGATACTCCATCATCGACATGGCAGCGGAGTGTTAACTCACTGGCGAAGAAGGGAAATTAGAATCATTATCAACAAATCTGTAGTCAGGCAGTTTCAGTGTCATATACCAGATATCTCGTCTCTGAAGGGAATACAGATTATGCCAAGCACTTAGTGGGATTGTGCGATATCTTCGAGACTGTGGCTTATCCCCCTTTAACGTCTCTTGTGCACGTCCCACGCCAGGTAGCGGGGTTCAAGTTAGGAGCGAGCAGGCATTGTATGTAATAGAATATTGCGATATGGACAACAGTCGAAAAAAATAGTGGCACAAACAATATTCACACCTTTGTTGTTTAGATGTCATGGCATCATCCGTGTATGCCATGTTCGGACGCGCCTGACCGCCCAACCCCAATATGACATCACGTGGCACCGATAGACCGCCGACGTATCAACAACCGGTCTGCCACTTCCACTTCCATTATCTCCAGCCCAGGGAGATGCGGTTCATACATCATGGGTCAAGGCTACTCCATCACAACCCTGTCCGCGGGGTCGGCAGGGATAGATGTTCCCGAACTTTCGGACCTGGTGTATGAGAGGTCCATGGGCGGTGGCCGGTTTATGAAGAGCATCCGCGCCAGGCAGCAGAATGGCCTTGTATTCGTCAAGGTGATCATGAAGCCATATCCGACAATGGAGTTGGAGAGTTATGTGAAAGCTATCGCTCGTGCGTCATAGTGTCTTTGAAAGTCTTTCGATCGGAACTAATTAGCATCATCCGCAGGGGAACGCAAGCTCTTGACTGATGTGCCAAATGCGTTGAGCTATGAGCGAATACTGGAAACCGGTAATGGTGGTTATCTGGTTCGCCAATATGTCCACAGCTCTCTATATGATCGTATGAGGTTCGGCTCCCTTCGTATACCGCAACTTTGAAAATACGCGTGCTTACAGGTCTACAGTACACGGCCATTCCTCGAAGACATCGAGAAGAAATGGATCGCATTTCAACTGTTGTGCGCTTTGCGTGATTGTCATTCTTTGGATGTCTTCCACGGTGATATTAAAACCGAGAACATCTTGGTCACTTCATGGAATTGGCTCTACCTTTCTGATTTTTCTTCCTCGTTCAAGCCAACTTTCCTCCCCGAAGATAACCCTGCCGACTTTTCTTTTTTCTTTGATATATCAGGCCGACGAACATGCTATCTGGCCCCTGAAAGGTTTCTTGAGGCTGGAGAAGAGGAAGGTAGCCGCAATGTTAACTGGGCAATGGACATTTTCAGTGCCGGCTGCGTCATTGCAGAGCTCTTTCTTGAGTCGCCCATCTTCACTCTCAGCCAAATGTACAAATACCGCAAGGGTGAATACAGCCCAGAGTTGAGTCAGTTGATGAAAATTGAGGACCCGGACATCCGAGAACTCATTCTACATATGATTCAACTGGATCCAGAGTCTCGATATTCTGCCGATGAATATCTAAACTTCTGGAAAAATAAAGCTTTTCCCGAATACTTTTACAGCTTCCTTCACCAATACATGTCTCTCATGACCGACCCATCATCAGGAAGGAACAAGGTGGATGCCGAATCGACCAATCGGGGGGAAACTGATGACCGGATAGAAAGGGTTTGTCTTGACTTTGACAAAATATCCTACTTTCTTGGTCCTGCGGCCCGGACTCCCCAGGATGTTTCCAATAAGAGCGTCTATCGGTTGACGGGAAATGTACTTCCCGTCAAGCTCGATCTCCCAGATGGTGAAACCACGACGTCCAACCCGCAAACGAAATCGCAATCAGATGAAGGTGTTTTGATATTTTTGACTCTTGTTGTTTCCAATCTACGGACAACGGCCAAGGCCTCTGCTCGGATCAAGGCTTGCGATATACTTCTAGCCTTTGCAGAAAGGTTATCGGATGAGGCCAAACTCGACCGTGTTCTTCCCTACATCATGCTTCTTCTCACTGATAAGACCGATTCTGTGAAGGTGGCAGCGATTCGAACGCTGGCACAGCTTCTCGAAATGGTCCACGAAGTCTCTCCCGTGAATGCTTACCTGTTTTCCGAGTATATTTTCCCAAGGTTGCAACCTCTTGTTGTAACTTCCAAGCACAACCCTAGTCCGGTGGTTCGCTCCGCGTATGCCTCTTGCATCGCGTCCCTGGCGCATTCTTCGTTGAAACTCTTGGACATCATCCAAGCATTGCGCTCGGATACTCGTCTTACCGCACTCATTCCCGTTGGTTTCGAACCTCGTTGGACCGAAGATGCGACATTCCATAACCTCTACGATGTGGCTCGCAATGATCTTCTAGAATACTTTGAGTTTCATACCAAGGCTCTCCTGACGGACGCAGATCCATCGGTTCGCCGGGCATTCCTAGGGTCCGTGTCCAGTCTCTGCGTGTTTTTCGGAAACTTGAAATCGAATGAGGTTATCCTGAGCCATCTCAATACTTACTTGAACGATCGGGACTGGATTTTGAAATGCGCTTTCTTTGAGGCGGTTGTTGGTGTCGCCGCGTACGTGGGGACTATCAGCTTAGAGCAATATATTTTACCTCTTATGGTACAGTCCATGACTGAGCCAGAAGAATTTGTCGTGGAAAAGGTACTCCGGTCGCTTGCAGCCATGGCTGAATTGGGATTGTTCCAAAAAACGACGACATGGGAGCTTCTCCACGTTACTGTCGGTTTCCTAGTCCATCCTAATGTCTGGATCCGTGAGGCTGCTGTGCAACTGATTGTCAAGTCTGCCAAATATTTCACTATCGCGGACATTCATTCCATTTTGACGCCTCTCGTCCGCCCTTTCCTCAAGGTGAAGGTCATCGAATTTTCCGAGGCAGAGTTTCTTGGTGCTCTCAAGCGTCCGATCTCAAGAAATATCTACGAGGTTGCTTTTCATTGGGCTTCCAAGACTGATAGAGGAGTTTTCTGGAAGTCAGCCAACCCATTTGGTCTGTCGGATGGGCATAGCCCTCGCATAGGACAAAGTTCTACATTTAGCTTGAGCTCACAAAATAAGAACGACGAAGATGAGCAATGGCTGTCTCGACTGCGAAACCTTGGGATGGGCTCGGAAGATGAGCTTAAGCTCATTGCACTAAAGGATTATATTTGGAGAGTATCCCTGCGACAAAGCAGAGAAGCCGAGGCTGATCCTCCCTCATTGGGTGAAATTATCAGTTTGTCACAAAATGAGGTCGCCCCTCAAACGGTATTTTTTGACAAGCATCTCAATGAAAAGCCGAGAAATGTCTCCGTAGACAGAAGTGAGACCCCTACTCCAGAGGACACGAAACCGCGAACCATCGCCGACGCTTTACTTGACGCTTCAACGACAATTGAGCAGTCCCCTAGCGCTCACCGCAGACACATTCGGGCCAGGAGCAATCTTCATAGGGAGGTACAGCGCCCGCATCCTAGACGCTCAGATCAAGCCGGTACAGAGTCGTCAGCGTCATCGCCCATCGCATCCTCTCCTGCCGCAGGTCCCGGGTCTCGTCCACTGTCTCCGCCAAGCTCAGACCTTGATCGAAATGGCGTCGATCGCCGCCTCAGTTCTGGCCAGGATAGCACCTCGACAACTCCTACTCATACAGACACCCTTTCATTGCGGGGCGTCGGGGACCGAGTTCAGAGAAAGTCCAGTGCCATCAATCTTCTTGGTCGCCATGAGACCTCCAAGGCGTATGCCGAAACCAGCACAAGCTCAGCAAACGCATTTGGAAAAGTCGATGCTCCAATTCAGAGAGCAGGTATCCCGCAACAACAATCGGCCCTCACACAAGCTTACGAGCAAAAAAGAACACAAACCCCGTCACGGCAATATCATACCAGCCATTCTTATACGGGAGACGACCCGGTCGTTTTGCAACTACTGGATAATGTTTTTGCCGAGAACTATCCAACTGATTTGTTCGATCTGGGCCCGTATGTTAAGGAGTTGGACTCTCGACTACCAATTCGCAAGCCCGGTACGCAAGATCCCGGAAGCATTTGGAGACCTGAGGGAAACCTTGTAGCAACCTTTGGTGAACATAGTGGACCGGTCAACCGCATTGCCATTCCCCCTGATCACTCGTTTTTTGTCACTGCGTCCGATGACAGCACAGTCAAAATCTGGGACACCACTCGGCTGGAGAGGAACCTGACTCCAAGATCGCGTCAAACATATCGTCACGCTCCGGGATCCCGCGTTAAAGCGCTGACGTTTGTTGAGAATACTTACACATTTATCAGTGCTGCAACCGATGGTAGCATTCACGCTGTCAAGGTGGACTACCAAAAGGTCCATGAATCTGCTCGATATGGAAAACTCCAGCTAGTTCGCGAATACCAACTTCCCATGGCCGACAACGGGACACCTGAATATGCGGTGTGGATAGAACATTTCCGGGATGAGGGAAAATCAACTTTGCTTGTCGCCACGAACACTTGTCGGGTCTTGGCAATCGACATGAAAACCATGCTACCAATCTTTACTTTGGAAAACCCCGTCCATCACGGAACACCTACAACTTTTTGTTGCGACAGGCGGCACACCTGGCTCCTGGTGGGCACAACTCATGGGATTCTAGACCTGTGGGACCTTCGATTCCGCGTACGCCTAAAGGCGTGGGGGCTACCAGGCTGGGGATCGATTCAACGGATCCAACTTCACCCAACGAAAGCTCGCGGACGCTGGGTCTGTGTATCCAGTAGCGGCAGCCAGGGCAACGAGATCACTACCTGGGATATCGAAAAGTTCTGCTGTCGTGAAGTCTTCCAGTCGACTCCTCTCAGCACGAACGAAAGCACCTCGAACGGGACTGGACAGCGTAGCTCTAAGGGGGCCAACGCTCGACCACGCCGGTTCAACCTCCGAGGCGTGGAACCATGGCCTGTTGACGAAGACCGACCGGAAGGTATGTTGAGTCGCTTCGCGACCAGTCAACCTGGCCCAGTAGGCCCAGAGAGCAGCAAGGACCCTACACTTCCATCAAACAACACCCCTGGAGATCGACAGGGCACATGGATCTTTACCTCTGGTCTCAACGTCCCCGAGAATGACAAGGGGTCCAGTAAGTGCGGGTTCATTGTGTCCGCGGGGTGTGATCGAAAGATCCGCTTTTGGGACCTGGCACGTATTGAGCACTCGATGATTGTGAGCGGCCTGGACAATGTGTCTGATGGGAATGGGACAAGTACTCGGCCTCGATATGAGGTGTCTCAGCCTATCCCCAACCTCGTGGTGACGACGGAGCAAATCCCTTCCACTTCTAGTGGTAGCGGGGCGAGTGCGGCTGGCAAGAAGGGGGCTGGACCGCGACCCCCGCGCAGTACGGTGATTAGCCTGCAGCAGCAAATGCTTCTCAAGAGCCATCTTGATATTATACAGGATGTGGCTGTGTTGCGACAGCCGTATGGGATGATCGTGAGTGTGGATCGGGCGGGAATGATTTATGTCTTTAGATGAGCGGGACCTGGTGCGAGTCCAAGGTTTTTGTATGAATATTTGATTAGTAGGAGAACAATACCCCACCGTCATTGTCCATTGTACGTCTGGCTAGTACAGAGTACTCAAAATATACTTGTAGCTAGGTAGGTACTTATCTTGGAAGGCTTCAACCCAACTTCAAGTTGAAGTTGGAGCTCCAGGGCTGTCTCAGGAACCTACTAGTAGTGCTAGTAGGCTGTCACCTGCAGTTGAAGGTTCATATCATGATTTTATGAAGGTACCTAGTACCCATGGATCATGGATCAACTTCCAAGATTCCAACTTGAACGTTTTTCCTACTGTTCGCGTACCTACCTACTACCTACCTACTACCTACCTATTAAGTAGGTAGTACTAGTACTATTCTAGGGCTACTGTGACTGGTAGTATTCAGTATCACCTGCAGTGGGCAGGACCTCCAGGGCTTCCACTAGCAACTTCAAGTTGAAGGTTCAAGGGGTCTAGTGGCTCCAACTTGAAATTGAATATATCCATGGATACTTTGGGGACTGGGCGCAATTCGAATCGGACTTGAACACGCCCGACAGCCTGAGCTCGCGGGCAAGACGAGCCCTCCTGGAACGTACTAGTAATATACCTGGGCACTGGCATGCCCTTAACCATAGATGTTATCAAATTCTCCAAGATAGATTTTTCTAAGCTACATATGTAGTACCAGCTGCTAAGGTGGCAAATGATGCACGCATAGAGCCAGCTCTGCTACTCCGTACCTCGATCTATCTCACGCAGGAAGTGGGGGCTAACATAAGAATACATGCCCACGAGTCACGGATACATTACCCAACGCGGAGAGACAGCATTATCCGACGTACCGGCTACACAGCTACAGGTACCGAACAAGTGGAGCACAATCGAGGTACGGAGGAAGCTGGGCAGTGGGTCAGTCCACCGAGGCGAAACACTGGACCGAAATGGGGATGTTGATCGGCAGCTCTGATGGCCGGAACGAGCATAGCTCCAGAGCAAGGAAGACTGGGGGAGATGTTACGGATCCTACCTCCATCCGCTAGGTGCTCCGGCACGACACATTGATGACCGGATTTCTACCGATGGATCAGTGCGTCGCCTCTGTCCTGCAGCTACGAGGGGGAAACTGCATCGCCCTAGCCTAGTATCGCTGAGAAGCGCGGTACGCTACCGGGGTGGTCCCTGCGGAACGAACTGGTGCGATCATCGTGTTCCAGCCTCGATCCCTGCTGGAGCATCTGTGATTACTGGGTCTGGGTCCAAGATCGGTACTACGTATCGGGATGGGTTCGGTGGTGGATAGTTAATCTAAGCTGCACTGCATAGGTTCGGATTACAGGGTTTCTGGGAGGGAATTTTGCATGTCGGGGATTTTTCTTCTTCTCGCACGTCGCACGCGAAGGAAGGACAGAAGGCAAAAATGAGATCAGGTTCCCAAGGTTGGCTAGCACGCTGGCTATCAACACGAATGAGGGGATTGGACCGATGGATGGAAGTGGGATCTCCGTTATGAACTTCCTGAGTTGGTTCGGTAGATTTTGACACCGGTGGAGTCCGCGGGAGGTGACGGACAGCAGAGTGGAAGCAGAACAGAAAGAAAGTTACGGAGGATACTGTCGCAGAGGGGCCCTTCTCGGAGTATTCGGAAATGCCGCAACGCGAGAAGATGAAACATGAAACATGGAGAAGAAGGGAAGGCATTGAGCAGGGATGAAAGAACGCGCCCAGTCAGTCATATATTTGTGCCAGTGCATGTGGTGCATCCCAGGGGGACGGCACAGACCACCAGAACCAACGATCGAAACCGGTCGAAGGTAAAATGTCAAATTCAAATCTCGGACGTGGGTCCGGATGGGTTTTGGGCCCAGGGGTAAAGACCAGTCACAGTGCAGCTGAGGCTCGACACGGGAAGACAAGAACAGAGAGCCATGGGAGAAGCTTCGGCCCCAGGAACCAAGGAACTGCTTGGAACCGTGGCCAGGGGGAGATGGACGGGGCCTTGGGCCGCTGACAGGTTCGCTTCTCAATCAATGGAATGGAATGGGTCTCGATCGGCTCTGCACTCCGATCGGCCTCGACCGTGAGTATTGAATATTGCAAAGCAAGCAAAGCAGGGTAGAGATGGGCGCAAGATTGGGATTCGACTATTGATTCCTGATTCTTGATTTCCCTATTCTGGGTGACGGGAGAATGGGTAGGGCTGGGATGCTTCACAATGAGCATTGTGCATTGTGTGGTATTTTGCTGGTTGCTCCTCGCAGGTCGCAGGCGAGACACGAGGAGAGGTTGTATGGCATAAGGATAAGCATAGAGCGCAGGGTCACACCACGCCTTGCCCGAGAACGAGGTCTCCAGTGGCGAGCGGTTTTCAAAGTTGAAACTGGTGTATCTAGAACTCTGTTGGGAGTAATCTGACCTGTCGAGGTGGTGGGAGCGGTCAGCATACAGTGACTGAGTAGAGTAGAGTAGAGTAACTATAGTAGACGATACTCATACAGACAACCAAAGTGAAATCACATCTGATGCTAAATCAAATCTCCTTCTTCTGATTATTATGATTATTCTATTATTTGTATTATAATAATAAAAAAACCCCCAATAAATCCCAATGAAATTAAACCGGGTCCGAAGTGGATACTTGATACGAGATGCTATTGGTGTGTTCCCCTCCGACGAACCCCCTTTGGACCATCACCCTGTACTTTAGCACCGACTGGGACTGCTGGGTACATCGGAGACCCGCCAACTTTCTCCTATTCTTCTCTCCCCCCCCCCTGATACTCGCTCGACTTGAATTACTCCGTCTTCAAACTTTACTCCTGTTTCCTTCCTCTCTCCTCCTCTTCCTCTCCTTCAACCCTCTCAACCTCTAACCCACCCCCCCCCAATCGTGGTTCACCTTTGGTTTCCATGGCCTCGGGTACACACTAAATTGGTTCAATTGGAGTCTTACGCGGCGTCTCTCCCTATACATCCCATCTGTATACGGTATATCCCTCATTCTTTTACCCGCCTACCTCCGACGCTTCAGCTTCAGTTTCAGCTTCAGCTCTGGTTTCAGCTCCAGCTTTAGCTCTAGCTCTAGCTTTGTCGACTACTTCGACCAATATCAACAAGATATATAACCGCAACACTATACACATTCCGCAAATATGGGACACTCTCTGAGAGATCACTCGTCCTTTACCCGCCCGGCCACCAGGGATCGCCCGGCGACTCGCGGCGAGGGGGAAAATTCGCTGGTCGTCCCCAGTCGCACCTCATCCTTGCACTCTCGCATCACCCAACCCATTCCTTCAACTCTCAACATCAAACCCGCCCAACGGACCCCCAAGACTCTCACTCATGCCTACATGGTATGCGGTGTTGGCCGTGAACCCTCGCAATGGGTCAAGGCTCCCGCCCCAGACCAGGGAAAGATTGGCCACATGAAGGGCGCCGTCGGTCAATTCTGGTTGCCAGAGATTCTGGGCAGCAGCCCCCGATTGGAGCAGGATAATGAGATTGCTCGAGCCCTGCACTCGGCCATGAGGGTGAGCAACCCCACTTACAATCACCGAGGTGAGAGGTGGTATTATATGAATTAAGGTTAACTGACTGGAATGTAGGCATGCTTCCCCCACGATGTCGAGATTTGCACCGGCAAGAGCCAGCCTCACTGTGCCCACCACGCCTTCGTCCTCCAGCAGGACTCTTCTCACACTCTGTACGGTATCGCGCTGCGCGTCTGGTCCCGTGCCGATGAGAAGCGCGCCGAGACAATTCGTGAACTTCGCAAGAAGACGGAGCCGGACTTCTACGATAACCCCGACGAGACCTACTGGATCCCCTACTGCTTGAGTTTCCTTTCTCGCTATCCCCTCTACGACCTGCTAGGTGACTACCTCCGTGGTATGTGGATTCACTGGAACAAGGCCACCAACCTCTTCCACGCCGAGGAGGTTTCCCGCATTCTGAGCTTCCCTGCTCCCCGCCTGAACGATCTGGTCCGCATCGACATGAAGGATTACGCTCTCTGCTATCAATTCCCCTCATCCCCGACCGGCTTCCAGAATTTCGCCATGTGGCCCCTTTTCAACTGCCTGTCAATTCCCAACATTGTCGGCGTGATTGAGGCCGCCGTGTCGCCTACTCGCCGTGTCATCTTTGTTTCTCACTACGCAGCCATGTTGACTGCCGCCGCCGAGACCATTCGCTACTGCGTTCGCGTCTACGAGTGGAGCGGTCTGTATGTCCCTGTGGTGCACGCCCGCCACGTGAAGGAGCTCGTCCAGGAACCCGGTCCTTACATTCTGGGTATCACTGCCGAGTGCCGCACTCTCTTCAACGCCCCCTCTGATGCTCTTGTCGTCGACCTGGACCGTAACTTCGTTTTGACTTCCAGCCCGCCCAATGTCCTCAACCAGGGCCAGCGCACCAAGTTCATCAACCGCCTGACCCAGGCTCTGAACGGCGATGTTTCACCCTCGGGTGTCCCCACTCACCTGCGTTCGGCTTACGCTGGCGGCAAGCTGATCCCTGCCGGTCAAATCATCGTCATGCGCGGTGAGGTTGAAAGTGTCCAGGAGCCCAATTGGTGGAACCAGGATGCCGTTATGAGTGTCATGGACCACGTCTGTGAGAAGCTCGGCCGCAACACTGGCATGAAGGCCATCTTCGGCGGATCCGTCAAGAAGCCCCTCATGACCAAGGTCTCGATGCGCCACCTCAACGAGATTGTCCGTGAGCGCAACCAGTACTCTCGTGACGCAATGGAGGCCTGGCAGGACTTCATCAACCTCAAGGGCAGAATGGACACGGAGCTCAGCAAGGTTACCAAGCGCAACAACTTCCTGGTCGAGGAACTCGAGACCTGGAAGCAGCAGTTCCTCAAGTTCCAGGCCTTTGCCGAGCAGCTCACCAAGGAGACTTCTGAGCTTAAGGTCAAGATCGAGAACCACAAGCGGGAGAACCGCCGCCTTACTGGTCTCATTGATCAGCAGAAGGATGATGTCGCTCGTCTTACTCTCCGTCTGTCTGGCACTGAGAAGCAGCGCGATGACGCCCTCGAGGCCCTCGTTCTCCAGCAGGAGATTGCCGAGGAGCTCGAGCGTGAGCGCAAGCGCAACCAAAAGGAGATCTCTGCTCTCACCCACACTAACTCCACCCTCTCCCGCGAGCGCGAAGAGGCCCAGCGTGTGGTCCTGCACCTGCGCAGCCTCATCAACGGCAAGAGCCACCACATGGAGCACATTGTTCGCTCCATTGGTAGCAGCTCTGAGATTACTGAGATGGTCGAGCAGGGTTACGAAGACGCTCCTGAGGAGCGCACCGATGAGCGTGCTAGTGCAGAGTCTGTGAAGGAGTCAAGCAAGGAGAACAAGGTCTCAAATAAGGCTTCGGTAAATCAAATGAACCCCGATCTCGAGCAGCACTTGCTGAACCTCGGCAAGGACCACAAAACCCTTGCTCGTCTGAGCGTCACCGACGTTGCAGACCGTTACCTACGCGATAAGACGGACGCTATTGCGGACATTATCCGTAGCATTAGTGAACAGTGCGCCGCCGCCGTCGAGGGCCTCCACCTCGCCCAGGATGCCGAAGATGAGGAGTCTGCCGAGGCTTCCTCCAAGCTCCACCAGAACGGTTCCCCCCGTCTGGGCTCAGAGTATGAGGATGGCCGTACCACCCGCGCCACCAGCGAAGTGAGCGACCTCGACAACAACTCGCTTCACCCGGACAACCGCCACTCCAGCATCCCTCCCACCCCCGACCTGGTTCACAACCGCTCCAGCACCTCCATGTCCATGGTCAGCAGCTCGACATTCCCTGAGCGATCCAGCCAGCAATACGGACCGGGTGAGATCCCCACTCGCATTGTGGAGGATGATGATGAGCACGCCCATGAGACTGAGAGCATGGACGACCAGCAAACCGAGACCGGCACTCTGTCCAAGCAAGCTAGTGAAGATCTCATGCGGCCCCAAACTGCCCGTGTGATCTCCTAGGTTCTTTGAAATTTTTTGACATACTATTTTTTTTGCCTCCATCAGCTATAGATGATGTGCAACGCTTGACTGAGACGACCCTTGTTTGTTTCCTGCCTTTCTGATTCTACTTTTGGCGTGGTTTTATCCTTCTTGCTGACTAGTGCTGTGAATACCTCACGCATGCACATGTTTTGGTTGTCCGGCGTAGCCTGGTGCCGTTATTCTTTTTCTCTCTCTTCATTTCGTCGTGTCGCTTTTGATACTCCCTTATATCCATCCGCCCGCAACCCATCCATCCTTCTTGTGAATTGTTCTTCAGGGCTATTATGTTTCCTACGGGATCTTGCAAATTCCCACCTTTTCCCTTTTTATTTTTTTTTCTTGTGCTACTGCCCCCAAGGAATCTGTCACTATTTTGTCTTCGTCGTACCTTCTGGTATGGAACGGCTTTTTTGCTATCCGTTTATCTTGCGCTCCTCCGGCCTGGACTTGGCTCGAAAGAGCGCCACCCACTTTGCACCCATCTGCAATTATTTCCTTGCAGTTTCCTACTGTGTCCCCAGTTTGCCACGCATTCTCCTTATTTCCTTTTGTCCGAAATCGTTGAACTGGACTCTCGATTGCCGTGGATCATTCCATCCTGTTGTATTTAAAAATGGATCTCTAATCACCATATTTTCTTCAATTTTGATGCCGTTGTCAAGTAGGGAGAGTAGTAGGGCCCCGAATCTTCGACTCTGCATGTCATTTCTTAGATACTAGTACTTCATCAATATATACATGGAAGACTTCAAGTTTGAAATCATGCCAGCTTGCCAGGGACGACGGGGTGTCCAGCACTCAGTCCACCACACACAGCCCACGCCTGGCCATTGACATAGCTGCTCTCATCACTACCGAGGAACAATGCCACCCGAGCGACCTCGTCCGCGATAGCACCACGTTGCAGAGGGTTCAACTGGCCAATCTTGCGAGTGGTGCCGCGCTTCTTAGCGTGATCAAAGACAGACTGTGTCATGCCTGTCTCGATCAGACCGGGACAGATCGCATTGATACGAATACCGGTTCCGGCTAGCTGGTACGAGCAGGTCTGGGCAATAGAGACGACTGCCGCTTTGGAGGCGGAGTAGTCGGTTGAGCCGGCGTTGGACCGAAGTCCGGCTACCGAGGCTGTGCAGATGATGGAGCCGCTGGGATATGGCTTGGATTCGGAAGTAACCTTCATAGCAGGAGCGGCGTGCTTAGCTGCCAGGAAGACTCTGTACAATGTTAGTTCCACTTCAAGCTAGGAGGGAAGCTTTTCCGGGACAAATCCTTACCCAAGAGCGTTCGTTTTCATAGTGTTCATAAACCCATCCCCATCAATTTCGGTGAACATCTTCGGTTGTCCTACGATTCCAGCATTGGCGAAGAAGATATCTAAACGGCCGTACTTGGCGATAGCTTCGTCGATGACGCCGGACACGGCTTTCTCGTCTCCGGCATCGAATTGACGCACATGCACATCCACACCCGGGTAGAGAGACTCCATCTCCCGCTTGTGAATTGCGAGATGTGAGTCGCTGAAATCGCAGATGTAAACCGCCTTGGCGCCATTGTTGGCGAATTGGTGTGCGCTGGCTCGGCCAATTCCATTGGGAGAGTTGGCGCCTGTGGATGGTGGTAGTGCATGCATTAGTGTGATGGATCGTATGACATGATATGGGGTTTGACATACCGGTGACAATAACGACCTTATCTTTAGTTCGACTGCTGGGAGTGTTAACCACTGACAATTCTAGTGATCTGAAGGGTGCGACTTTTGTTTTTGCTTTTTGCTTTTTGCTCTTTGCTTTCCAGGGTTGTGCAAATTGTACGGAGTATATAAGACAGTGCTCGAGTCGGTGATACTTACGGGCCTGCAGAGTCCGGGCAATGTGTCGGATTTTGGGGATACCTTCAAATGTTCCTTCGTCGGAGATACCTTCAACAAGCTGCTTGCTGAGAGCTTGGAGGCGCTGTTTGGCGGCGGAAGATGAAGACATGGTGAATATAAAGGGCTTTGGATGAGAAGGTAAAGAAGAGCAATGCCAAATGGTCCAGACCGCAATGTCGTCTTCGGCAGTCACTAAATACTCTCCAGTCTCAATGGGCAGGAGCTTGCCCGCATCGCACCTTCCCCACTTCGCCGGTTATGCGGAGTGCCGAGGCACAAGTCACGTGATTTGCTGACTAGCATACAGTCACCTGATATCTATATAAATCACGTGATTAACCACGTCATGTGCCCAGTGCTTGTTTTGGGTCTCTCGAAGCTGTCGCGGATGTCGATGAGTCTGCCAAGTTTCGAAATTTAGACATTCCTGCTTTTCTGCAAGATAGCCAGTGGACCTATTTCACCCTTTTGATTTCCCCTTCTTTACGAACCACAAAGTGCGTCGATCTCCCTTCATTCCCACAAAGATCCACTCCGAATCGGCTAGGATCGACCAACACAACCCCGAAGGGCACAGAACACCAAAGCTGGAGAGACCGATAACTGACAGACAACCCTTACAGCATTCTCCTACTTTTGCACCGCGTTTTCTCCAGGAGAGCTTCTCTTTGTTTTTGTTTTTTCGTCCAACTCTCTGCCCAGCATTCATGAAGTCCATAACCACCCCATTCGACATCTACGCCCTTCACCAGTCGTTGAGTCATGGCGGAGCCCGATCCTCACTCACAACGGAGGTCCTCATCCCAGGCATCTTCAGCTTCCAACCGCAGTGCAAAGGCTAGGACATTACGATCAAAGGCCCAGAAGCGCCATTCCGGTTCAAACACACGCACCGATTTGACTTCGTTCCCTTCTCTGCCCCCGAGTTCGCCGCCCGACAACACCCCCACCTTGACACGAGGCCTGACAACTACCTTGCTGACGGGAGACATTGGAGATGGTTCCAATGAGACCGGTCGCGGACGCAAGGCTACCCTGGCCCGCCTAACGACTGGGGTATCCCATGCCTCCGGCCGCGCCGCTCTCTTCGATGATTCGCTTCCGGCTCGTGATATTCCAGGCGCTCTGCACCTCGCGGACGATGCGCATATCGAACGTATGATATCTACCACCGGTCCTGTCAAGATAGTTAGGCAGTTTGCCCGTGATTTGGCCCAGCGGGATGCTGAGATTTCCGCATTGCGGCAACGGGCCGATGCGCGGGAGCGGGAACTGAAGAAAATGCTTCGAGAAGTGTCGGTGTCGAATCAAGATATTGAACGCCGGTTGTATCAAATGGAGAACAACCCAGAGGACCGCGGTTCGGATGGAGACAGCACCCACAGTCTTGGTCAGGCTTCGCAGAGCTCCGGTCTGGACGGTCTCATGTCTCAGGCCATGACGGACGCTGTTGGATCGAACGATGGTGATGCTTCTGAGCACAACTCTGATCTTCAGGCGACTATTCGGCCTCAGCGAGCCGATGAACTGCGTGATGCTGAAGGCAACCGCAAACGCCAAGGCTCCATGCGTGGCTGGCAGGAGTATATCTTTGGATCAACGAATCCCAGTCGCAAGACTAGCCGTGCCAGCAGTATCATGAGTGACATGCAAGAAGTCGAAGAAGATGATACTCAGCGTACTCGAGTCCCGAGCAATCCTTCTGTCCGGCGTAAGGCTCTCGATGAGCAGCTCTTTCATCCTCCTAATGGAAAGCCTGGCTCTATCGCAAGTGATACACTAGGAAGACGTATTGCAAGTGGTTCTACCAATGGGGACGACGTCAGTGTTCATTCGCGCAAGTCATCCCGCTCCCTTGGCTCCTGGACTGTCAAGCTATTTGCAGGGAATGCCCAAGGACCAAAGGATTCTAGTGATTCGGAGAGCAGTCGCAAGATCTCCAGCAATCAGGACAAAAACACAGACTCCAAAAACTCGATGAGCGCAATGGCAGCATTGAAGCGAATCAACAGCAACACCAACATGCCCGCCTCTGGAGGACGTCCCGGTAGCAATACAGGCACGGTCAGAATCAATCCGGCTGCACGAAGAACGCCTGTATCCAATATTTCGCAAGGTGCAGCAGCAGCGGAAAATTCGGACCGGAGCTCGAATAATTTAGGCCCTGTCGAGATGGATGCTATCTTGCCTATGGAGTCTCGTCCACCGACCCTTTCTCCTATCTACAACAATTCCCAGTCTGGGGAATTTCTGACGGATCGATTTGGGTTCATTTATGATCAACGTCGGAAAAAGCGCCAGAGGGAAGCAAATGCTAGCAAGACTAGCAAACACCGATTGAGCATCACAGAAACCCTTGGCAACCTGCGCAGTGACTCCGATGCCGAGGATGAAAACCAAGCCCTTCCCTCAACCACCCCAGAAGCTCTCAACTCTCCTCCAGACTCTCCTGTGGATCCCGAGAATGGGACTGCTGGACTTCGCCGCTGGCAAGACTATCTCAAACTGCCATCTCGCCCGACGGAGCTTTTATCCCACACGCCCTCCACTGCTCCTATAGTCTCTTTGACTACGGCGGAGCCCACTCGCTCTCATAGCTCGTCCGTATCGGTCGACAAAGATGGAACTCTATCGCTCAATTCAGGCCAGCCATCCGCCAGTACGTCGGCAATCACGGCAGATCGCCCGGAGTTCGCAGGAATATCGTCGGAGGAGCAACCTGCTGTTCGAATCAATGCCTCTGAGACCGAACCGGTCAAGCTTTTACTTGAACAGCTCACCGATCTTCATGATACGTTGCAGCGTGATCGCACAGTAAGGTGGAATGAATTCCTTCGCAAAGTAAGAGCGGAGCGCCGCAAAGAAGGAGAGGCTGCAGCCGCCGCTGCCGCGTCTTCTGACAAGTCCGTTCCTGCTGTGGATACACCAGAAGCAACTCTTGCTGACGGCGAGGTCATTGGGGTTTCCGGACTTGGTAACAAAGGAAAGGTGGGCCGCGCCAAGTGGCGAGAATTCCGAACACTTGTCCTTGGCGGCATCCCAGTTGCTCTTCGGGCCAAGGTGTGGTCTGAATGCAGTGGTGCCTCTGGGATGCGGATTCCAGGATACTACGATGACCTTGTGCGAGGAGTCGGCGGCACCGAGCCAGATCCTTCAGTCATTGCACAGATCGAAATGGATATTCGCCGTACCTTGACAGATAATGTGTTCTTCCGCAAGGGACCGGGCGTTGCCAAGCTGAAGGAGGTTCTATTGGCATATTCTCGCCGTAACTCGGAAGTGGGCTATTGCCAGGGCATGAATCTTATTACCGCGTCACTTCTCCTCATCATGCCGACTGCCGAAGATGCTTTCTGGATCTTGACCTCTATGATTGAAATCATTCTTCCCCAGCATTACTATGATCACGGCCTCATGGCATCACGCGCAGATCAGGCTGTCCTCCGCCAATACATCACTGAGATACTGCCTAACCTTTCTTCGCACTTGGAAGACTTGGGTATCGAGTTGGAGGCCCTTACTTTCCAGTGGTTCCTGTCTCTCTTCACCGACTGCCTGTCTGCAGAGGCTCTCTACCGTGTTTGGGATGTTGTTCTCTGTCTTAACGTTACCAGCACAGTGCAGAATGGTACCACGACGAATGCATCCGCTGCCTCCAGCATCAAAGAGGCCGATAAAGCCACACCAGTCTCGGAAGACCTCGCCTCTGGTGGTGGAGGTGGAAGCACGTTCCTTTTCCAGGTTGCATTGGCATTGTTGAAGCTTAACGAGCCGCAATTGTTGACAACATGTTCCACACCAGCCGCGCTTTATACCTACATCAACCACCAAATGACCAATCATGCCATCAGCATCGATGGCCTGATTCAAGCTAGCGAAGCTCTTCGCAACATGGTACGCCGTGAAGACGTCATTACCCGCCGAGCTCTTGCTTTGCGAGAAATGCGCGAATTTGGTTAGGGTACCCCTCAGCACTTTCGTATCTCCCTTTTCACCTTTTCCTTCTCTCTCTCCCTCCCTCCCTCCCTCCCTCCCTCCCTCTCTCTCTCTCTCTTTTAGAGCTACCGGCGAATATTGTCGTTCTTTTTCTGTTTCACATTTAGACTTGACGATGCCAACGACAGAAGCATGGCACGGAGTTTTGGTTTTTTCCCATCCTTTGCCCTTTTTCATCTTTTTATCTCTTCATTGATATCCCACTAGCTTCATTCTCTGGCGCTTTTCTTTTTTCTTTTTTCCCTTAAAATTCCAGCAACACAGATCTTGGTCCTGGCATTCAACTGTTCTCCTACATTCCTGCAGAAGCATCCGAGATACCCCTAGCTCTTTACACATGGGTTCACGTTAGATTCAATAAACATTTGTGGTTGAGTTCCATCTACTTCTAACCTTTTACGCCCCGGGCCCTTCGTCTCACCCTTTCTAATGTCTATCTATAAATCTATTCTTATTTACATAACCTCTATTTCTAACCGTCCCCCTATATTCCGCCCACTGAAAACCGACTCCAGCTCCGGATCTGAGGGCCATGGATTCTAAAAATGATCGGCGAAGCCATAATGCATGCAGATAAACAAGCCAGCAATGTAGCCGACCAATTTATGTGCAATGTGCCATACATCGGGCCCTCAAATAAAGGAAACGACGCAGACACAAGGCTTCGCACCATGACGTGAATACTAATGGCCGAGACCGTGTTCAACAAATAAACGTCAACAATATACGCGATACCCGTGATAAAAATGAGCTGTAGAGACAGTCCGATGAAGAAGCAGGCAATCACCTGCGCAACCCAATGCGTACCCCCACTCCAGCCAAACCAAAGCAGACTCGGTGGAAGTAATACGGCTCCCAATATCATCGGCGGCAGTCTATCTTCAGGAGGCACGCGGGCTGGGACACCATCTACCGCTGCCTTTTGAGCAAGTACCCATCGCCGCTTGTACCAGGTCATTGTGAAAAACGAGAAAACTCCCAAGGCAGACAATACGCCCAGACCAACAGCCGTAAATGGGAGAGTGGCAGTAGGCACGCTCCAGCCACGCATTCGAAATGCCCGCGGGAATAACTGATACGAGAGGTACAGCGTGCCGTAGACCAGGGTTAGGTAGGTTGTCATCACGATGAGAATGGGTTCTTGGCAGAACATGCGAACGGGCTTTGTGCAGTATTTGCGAAGGAGGACTTGCGGATTCAGGGAAGCCATTTCTGCTTGTGCTCGATAGTTCGGGTTACCTGTTTCGTGGCGCAGATAGGCTGCCCGACGCATGAGCAGGCGATTGTGCGAGGATTCTCGCAAGAGTGCGATGCAGAGGAGTCCGACCACCCCGCAGAGGATCAGAGATGTCCATGCTGTCCAGCGCCAGTCGTATCTGTCGACGATGTAGGCTCCGACAATTGGACTAATAGTCGAACCTAGGTTCATGATTGAAGCGGATGTCCCGACAGCAATTCCCCGCGTGATCGGGCCGAAGATATCGGCCAACAATCCCGATCCAACGGCGAGACCGCCACTCCCTAGCATGCCTGCCAGAAATCGAGAAACTAGGATTGTGGTGACGTTGCGGGCTAGTGCAAGTGGGATTTGAAAGACTCCACATCCGGCTAATGCAACCACCATGACAGGCAGGTTACCTACTACTTCTGCCATGGGTGCGAATATGAGTGGACCGACTGCATATCCAGCCATGAAGAGCGCAACGCCTGAGACTCATGACTTCTTCCGACACGCCATATTGGTGGGCTGTGACGCTGGTGGCGGACCCGAAAATACTCGAACAGAATGAGATGGAGAAGATGACGGCCAATGGTGCAAAGGATCGCAGCAGTTTTTCACGTCGTGCCCAATTCTGCGGATTTTCGGGATCATGGGGTCCATTCCAGGTGACTAGTTCAAATTTTGACACTGGCTCGTTCGGAGGAGAGGCCGTTCCTGGCGTGGAGGCGCCGTCGGGCACTGCGATAAGGTTGACCTGGACGCCTTGCTCCCGTTTATGCGCTTTTGCGGGAAGCAAGCCCGATGAAACCATCGTAGGGGAGATGAAAAAAAGTGGAATTGTGACGATTCAAGTTCTCATGAAAATCCTTTCTGGGCCCTTTTCAACGTTGGTGATCGGCAATTGATGCAGGAGTTGCGTCGTTCGGGTCCACCTGGAGAATCTCCCACTCAGGATTGCAAGATGTCCGCCATGTGATGAGGGGGATATTGGCCTCGGAAAAGTAAAGAAGAGAATTGATCAATCAATTCAATGAGCCAGCTCGGCCCTTATCAGTCAATTGGTGTCTGGGGAGTGCAATGGTGTAGTTCGTAACGAGGAGAGTTCGGAGAGATGGCCGATCTCCGAAATCCTTCCCGACTAGGGCAAAGTCGGAATCGGCGAACGAGCGAGATTTTGATAAAGAGATATCGAAGGTGAGACTGGCGAGTTTTCAACCCGCACTGTCTCTCCTTTCATTGAATCTATGAAAACTGAAAATGGAGTGGGAACTTCCTTCAGAAGGATTGGTCTGAGTTGGGATTTTAGACAAAATACATCAAGCTCTATATCATAGCCCCTGGCCTACACTGACCTCATATTATCATAGTAGGTAGGTCGCCGACTTGTCCATTATGCCCTTTCCCTGAAGCCACCTCGTTCCACACGCCCCATCCAATCCATCAAGAATATCAACAGACACCAATCAATGAGAAGCACCTATTTTCATCGGTAGATCATTGCCTCTCATTGCGCTTTCTTCAGCGCAAGGTACTTCGAAATCTTCTGAGTCCAAAATCCAACATGCGACAATCCAGGGCTACCACAGACCCGCACATACCAGTATAGAATCAATGTAGCAAAGACATTGAAAGCCACATACGCCCAAATCAGGCCAAAGTTTCTCCAGCGCTCGTCATAGGAAGACGCAACCGATTGCAAAAACACATTCGACCTGGTGATCGCGCAAAATTGACAGTTGGAAGTGGCATCAGGATTATATACCGCACCTCCAACCATCTGCGAGTATGCCGCGAGATAGCTCCCACAGGTCTCCCCTCTGGGTGGCTGAACCAAAATGGTTTCTATGTCCGAGCATTGCACATTGATATTGGCGAGTCCAGTGGACATCATCGCGCTGATGATGTAGGTAAGGGGAGACGTGCGGTACATGAAGATCCAGAAACCAGGTAGACTCGCTGGGGTTGCCATAACTCCGCAAAATATCAGAGAAAACACAAACAGGAGCAGTGCCAGAATTGCCCCGATCTCCGCTGTGGCGGCACTTGCGACTACCATTGTCGTAAATGTACCGCAGTGCATCAGGAAGCCCCAGATCAGCAGGAACATCAATCCGCCTCTTTCTGTAGTTTGCTGAGTGGCCGCGGCATTGTGATTCATGCCTATCAGGTAATAGAAGGGGATAAACGTGATCAGTGCAGCCAGGGAGTTCCACGGTATCTCCACAATGATCTGGGCCAGTATGAAAGTCACCCAAGAGTAGGTCTTTGATGGACGCTCTCGGACTTCATAAAGGTCGCGCTGTAGGATATAGTTCGGCATCTGCTGGTATGCTAGGAACGGAAATATGACGAGAAGCATGAAAATAGCGAACATTTGGTGCTGTAGTCCGAGCACGGTGATTTTTGTCTGTAGAAAGGAAAATCCAATGAATAAAGCCTAGCGTAAAGTGAGACGATTAGCATCCTCAATTTAGTCAAGATTGATCCTTTGAACTCACAGTGACAAAACACATGATCAATTTCGAAAAAAGGTACGAAGGGGTTCTCCAATACTGCTCAAATATCCGTTTTGTACAAACCCAAAGTTGAACATGGAATGGGCTGGCAAATTGGAGGGAAGAATCGGCACGTGAAGTACTCTCCGAACTTGGATTCTGCTCTAAGGAGGCCAGCTCCTCTTTGACATTGGAATATTCCTGACTACCAATCCAAGTGGCCGGCCAGTCAATCTTGGTCGTACTGCCCGGGGCGGCACCAATCACACGGAGCATCCATTCTGCTGGATTATCACTTTCTTCACAATGATCTGCTCCGTGCCGCTCGAAATACTCGGTCATGGTCTTCGAGTTCGCCCCAATATCACCAAAGTAGACTGTGCGGCCGCCAGCTGCAAGAAGGAGAAGGCGATCAAATTGTTGAAAGAGCATAGCCGAGGGCTGGTGGATAGTGCAGAGAATGGCTTGACCATGATCTGTGAGCTTCCGCAAGAGAAGCAAGATTGACCATGCTGTTTGACTGTCTAGTCCAGATGTTGGTTCGTCAAGGAAAAACAAAAGATCTGGCTTGGCTGCGAGCTCCACGCCAATTGTCAGTCGTTTCCTCTGCTCAACATTCAACCCTTCGCCGGGGTTGCCAATAATAGCATGAGCATAACTCCTCATTTCAAGAAGATCCAGAATTTCCTCGACACTTTGTAACTTTTCAGCCCTACTAATATGAGCAGGCTGTCTCAGAAAAGCACTAAATTCCAATGCCTCCCTGATAGTGGCAGTTTCCAAATGAAGGTCCTGCTGCTGAACATAGCCAATTCGTCGTTGGAAAGAGGCATCACGCTGAAGGCCATTGTTGAAGACTCCACCCGTCACAACCCCTATCGTCACTCGATTAGCTAGAACATCTAGCAATGTGGTTTTGCCTGCCCCCGAAGCACCCTGCACTCCATTAGCCTTGTATTCCATTGCGCTGTCATTCAAATTAGACGGCGATGCTTACCATCAGAGCCGTGAGTTTACCTGGCTTGACCCAGCCGTTGACATGATCGGTTATTCTTCTTGTTCGACCCTTGATCGTGATATCGTAGCAAATATCTCGCCAGTGAAAAACGCTCTTTTGGGCTGTGATGCCACTCGATGCTGGTTCGTTGACTTCATCTAGTCTGGATTTCTCGCTGGTCGTTGGAGATCCGGTTTCCTCATCCGTCATTCTCTTCTCTTTCACGGCTGAAAGATGACTGCGCTGAAAGATAAGAACCTCCCCTTTACCCATGTCAGAGCTGATATACTCTGCTGACAGTAGATAAACAATCATGAAGAATATCATGAAGGCAATTAGGATACCGAGATTCCTGTATAGTTCACGTAAGAAAAGAACCGAGTAACCCATAATAGAAGATAACGCACCTCCACACGTGTGAGTAATAATACCCATAGCTCATGGCAATGTAGCGGTCTCCGCTGACTACAGATGACCCAGCCGAAGCACCAACCACTGAACATGTGCGCTCCGCACTAGTTGTGTTTTGATACACGGGCCCAGCCGGTACGAAGCTGGCACATTCGAAGTTACGGCCATGGAATTCGTTCGCAATCAGCGCCTCATAGGAATATGCGAGAGGATTAAGGTAATTGATCCACCGAAGCCAGCCTTGCATGTTGCGGATCGGTAAAATGAAGCCCGTGTACAGAACCATGGCGATTACCATCAATGCCGCCGGAGTCAAGGCTTCCGCGATTGTTCGAGTTGTTTGACCGATAGTTCGAAATATCATTGACATGACCAGGGTCGAGGAAAAGGCGAATAACAGATATATAACGACATGACCTGGTTCCTTCCGCAAATTTGCCATGTAATATAGTGGGATATTGAATGCCACTGTTGATAAAATTTTGCAAGGAAGGTCGCAGATCATAGATCCTATAGCTTCGGACAATGGATGGTAGAAGGCATAAGTCGCATGCTTTTCGACGATTGGGCGTTGGGCATACAGGGACAAAATCTTCCAATCTGTCAGTTGTGCTTCCCAATTTCTACTTCCGTCGAATCTGACATACCTCCAAAGAACTGTTCAGAGCATTGAACAGAAGCGCAAAAAATAAAACAATGCAACGGTTATTGAAACTAGCACTTGTATCCTGTAGCATGTAGAAGACACTACCCAATAGCAAAGATACGGCTGTATTTCCACCCACTGTGATGACGAAGAAAGTCATGTCGCCTTGAATTCGGCGGATTCCCCTGTGAATGCAGAGAAGGACTTGCAATGGAACTGAAATGGTATATGGTGAATTGGGTGTCCTGAAGTAGTCAGTTTCTTTAAGCTCGATAGATAATGAAGAGAAGTAGTACTTACATCCAAGAAGCCTTTTCGGCTTGCCGAGACTCTTTGAAATTGTCAACAGCCGGGCATCCCATAGGGTATTGCCTTTCAAATTCTGTAATATCCTGCATGAGCTCTTTGTGAAGTGCACTGTCTTTCCACGCCTTGGCGAATTCTTCCGGAGACCGGGGCACTTTGGCTTCAAATCCAGATCTCACCACTCTTTCAACCGGGTTTGTGAGGGAAGTCAGGAAGTCAGGGGTTGTCTGTCGGTCTGGGCAGTGGTATCCAAGATTCACAAAGTAGTCTTTGGCCAGCCCAATAGGCCCATAGTATATTTGTCGACCCTGGTATAGCACGGCAACCTTATCGAAAGTCTATCGATGTAAAGTTAGCGTATATTCGCTAGAGTGATAGAGGAAGATGGGGTAATCCATACCTCGTAGGCCTGCTGGGAAGCTTGGTATAAGGCTACGACTGTTGCTATGCCTGTGAGATCCACTGACAAACGCAGAGTCTGGACAAATTTAAGTGCTGTAGCACTGTCCAAGCCTCGCGTGCTATTATCCCAGCACTGGATTGGGCTTTGTGCCAAGCAAACCTCGGCGATGCTGACTCTCTTGCGCTCACCACCACTGACACCGCGGACGAACTCATTGCCAACTTTCGTGTCCATTGTGTGTGTGAGACCAAAAACAGCCATGGTAACATCCCGCATGTGTCTGGCATACTCATCACGAGACACGCCGGGAAGTCGATTCCGAGGAGTCTTTGCCAAGGCCGCATACAGAAGTGTTTGGCCAACGGTCAAATGTGGGAAGTGCGTGTCAGTCTCAGCCTGGTAAATAACATCTCCACGAAATTCTCCTCGGATCCTTTCGCGAGGAATGCCTTAAGAAATGTAAGAATTGAGCGTGGCCAAGGAGGTAGCGTACAAACCTTGGTAGTTGAAATTCGAGCCCTCGTCCAAGTGAAGTCCCTTAGTTTGACCGGCAATGGTCTTGAGAAATGTTGACACTCCACTGGAACAAATTCAAAGTCAGCCGGCCCTCTCATATCAAACCTTTAATTGGGGTTTAAGTCTTACCTGCCTGGTCGCCCCAAGACAAGGAGCATCTCACCACTTCGGAGGAGTCCATTGTGGTTCTGCAAAATTTGCATTTTTTGGTCTTTACGATTGATGAGACCAGAAACGAGATCCGTCACTTGCAAAAAAACGTTGAGGAAGTTCTTTTGATAGCTGATGGGGCTACCAAACCCGTGAACACTAAGATCACGGAAAGAAAACCCGGCCTTGCGAGGCAAATAACGCTCAGCACTCTGAGAGTTTAGAGACAGGACTGTTTCCACCCATTTCTTGGGATCAAATTCCTTGGAAAATGGGTCAAGTCCGGGGTCGTTAGAGCCCTTGAAGGGGTTGGACACTGCTACTTGAACCCCTGATTTGATTGAGGCATCCGTCAGGCGCCTAGCAAGGTTCGTGATCTGTGCCCTGTCCCTTTCACAGATATTTGGAGAGTCTCTGTCATTGGGTTTCTTTGTGACGCCTGACCATGCTCGTTCAAGTTCTTCCTGCGCAGGTGTCGTAGTCCTGGCCTCGGCGCTGACATTTTCGGATTGAGACGACATTGGCATAAAGCATGGGTGAAGATAAATGAGAATAATAAGGCCTATTTACGAACTTGAAGTTCAAGGTTCTAGCAAGAAGACTCAGCTAAAGAAGATGAATATCATGTCCAGGTGCTCAATAGCTTGAAATTTCACCACGGGCCCGGCGCTCTTTATACTAGTAGTATACTATTACTTGTACTACTAACACTATCTTTTTCTGGCACCTGTCATTTATGCTATTAATAATATCAAGTTCCATCGGCGCATAAAACCAATATGTCATTTAACGCAAAAACTTGAAATCTACCCAGGAGAATGTCTAATCTGTGTTGTCCTCAGCTTTACTTCGGCGCCGATGTGGGTCAACGATTGACATCCGCGAGTGATATTTCGGATCTTGTGGTGGGGTTCTTCTTTGCGGCGCCGAAGATACGCCTTCTTTTCGGCCCATGTGGGTCCCGTTGAGTCAGGAGATCAATTGATTGGACATCTCCTTCGGCGTCGGAGACTGGAAGGACAGCTTTAAAGAACGATTTCGGCGCCCCTTCTACCACTTTTCAGCAGCCTTATCACTTTTACGCAGCTGGCGGCCATGTCGGAAGCACTGCATCAGGCCTGTGATGCATGCCGTATCCGCAAGCACCGGTGCAGTAAGTTCCGCCTTATCATTTGCAATTTCCGGGCTGCTGAAATCGGAAACAGAAATGAGCACTGCCGATAGGTGTGAATTTTGCTTGGTATGCACATTCTCTTACTTCAGAACCAAGGCATTAAGTTAAGAAAGATCGAAATATTTAGTCCCGCAATAAGGATTGCTGTTTTAGCTTCATCAAAAAGCGTCGAAAACGCAAGCTGAGCCAGTCAGGTAAAGTGATCGAGATAGAATAAATCCAAGATTTCACTCACTTAATATTCAGAAGGCCCACCGATATACCTCGGACCTGAAGGACATGGACTTGGGGCAAACTTCAAGTTGCTAGGACACAGCAACACCACTCCAACCACACTTTATATCGACTCGTTACTAGCCGATCGTCCAGCTTCGCGCATTTCCGGTAGCGCCAAACGCCCAGATCAAGTTAGCACACCTGGGCCCACTCCCAATTCTGTTGCTCTTGAACTGATAATGTTAATTTCAATCCATTTAGTTGACGGCTATATTTGGCCCGAACCACAATATCTCTTTCTTCCCGGCCAAAAGAGTTCGTTCTATCAGCGAAAGGCTCGGACATGACAGGTTAGAACAGCTGCTCGCAGATATTCGAGATATTGTCGCGGCCAAGGTACAGACGAGTTATTCGATATCTCACTCCGGAGATCTCAAAGACTATAATTCAAAAAATCCTTCCAGCTTCCCTCATCCCGAGTCTCTGGGCACTCATATACTCGGTATGTCTAGACTCGTCGACCCACTTCCCGTCCTGCTGAGGGTTCTGTTATGAGTATAGTAACTAAGCCACCTATTTAACAGTTTATTTTGAAACGGTTCATCCTATATATCCTTTTCTTTGCGCTTCCGAATTTCAACGACAGGCGGCTTCTCCAAATTTATCAAACTTTCTTGCCACTGACAAAGCTTTTGCGGCGCTGTATTATGCAATTATTGCGATTGGCTGCCAATATAATGAAGGGGGTAGCTACGAAGCGGGCATTGGCGATGCGTGGTCATACTTCGCAAGATCGCTCTCCTATCTTCAGGATCTTATTTTAGCTCGTGGTTCGCTCACAGCCGTTCAGGTCTATCTCCCTTTCTCATGATGTGCTTGTCCAGAGACTAATCAGTGTTATAGGCTCTCATGGCTATGGTATAATATGAATGCCCCCTTCCTTCGACCAGAAGAATTTTGCTGAAGTGCTATCTCAGGCTATATTTTCCTCGACTGCATGTGCCTTTCAATTTGATTCTTTGATGCTTTCGCAGGCTGCAATTATGGCGCAAGATTTGGGCTATAATCGGTCCAATGGTGCTCAAGAAGTTTCGCAACGGCGTACGTTTTGGGTGCTTTACTTCATGGAAAAAGTCTCTTGTTTTACAACAGGAAAGGCCTCGGTATGCCTCGGACATTAATATTGACTCAAAAAACTGCTAAGACGAATATTTCAGGTCCTGCAAGACTCAAACATCAGCTGCGCTATTCCAGATGTACAAGAATCCACATTCGATGACTATGATTGGTTTTTCAGCTTTCTGCGATACGCCCGTCTAGTTTCTAAGATTCGCAATGACTTCTTACAAATCACCTCGCTAAACCAATCAGCCTCTGAATATGTTATCAAGGGACAAGGCCTTCTAAAGGAGTTGGAGTCTTGGCGCCTATCTATCCCAGAGCGCTTTCGTGCTGGAGTGTCGCTCAAAACTCGGCTGTTGCGCGAACCACTGGCTCAACGAGTCGCGCTCATGACACATTACATGTACTTCCACGCACTACTCACTCTATCTTGGAGCCTGTTGCATTCCAGTGCAAACAAGGTGGGACCCATACAAGAGCAGCTTGATCTGAAACGCAGTATGATGCGAACTGCACGCTCTGTTTTGGAGCTTACCAAGTTCATCGAGGTTGCTCCTTCAACTCCAATCTGGTAAATCCATGAAAGAAAGTATCCAAAACAAACAGTAAATTTACTGATTGCACTTATTCAGGATTTTGGCGGTGCTGCCCTTGTCGTGTCTGATGATTCTCTTCGACCTGGTAGTTCATAACCCGGATCACCCTGAGGTTAGCCTCAGCCTTGCACTCCTCGATATTGCCGGTGGACATTTCAGTCGACTAGAATTTGCCAGCAATGGTACTTTGCCCGGCTCATTAGTCGCCCAGTTCGCACACCTCGCACGCCAGTATATCTCTGAAAAGAGGCTGTCTAAACAGAGATTGATCAACATAAGCATTCCTGACTCTTCAAATCCTGCGCAATTTGAGGTTCCAGTTCCTGGTGAGCCAGCAGAGATGTTACCATCTTCTTCACAGTTATCTGCGGCTCCCAGTGGCGTCATGATGCCAATACCAAATCAGTCAGCTGAAGCGTTGTCTACTAGTACTGGCAGTCTACATGAGCATCTACCACTCAATTCTGGGACGACACCAACATGGAATTCTACGAATTTTCTGACTGAAAGCGATGCGTTGTTTATTCCTTTCATCGATGATCCAAGCTATCGTAATGAGGGTCTGGAGTCATTAGGAACTGACTTGAAGGATTTGTTCGATCATTCATGTGCAAGATGGTAATAACGTCTCCTGTGATATAGACTATCTCACAGCCAGAACGTTTGTCCCGATGATAAGTTTATTTCGTCCATGCTCCAGGGCTCCTATTATTAATTATACAGAGGCCAATGTTTATGTCAGGCAGCCCTAGAGGGGATCATCATGACACGGAGAATCAGCGAAGCAAAGAGACTGCGGGAATACTAGTAGTTATTGGGAGTGACAGAGTCTGCCTTACACACTCAGGCTGCTATTTGTTGCCAACGAGTAACTATCATCTATACCCTCCGGTAGAACAGGAGAAAAATCCAACGATTATATGCCCTTCAGTGCGGCTGTTTTGACTGCGAGGCTCCCGCTGATACCTCATTATAGAATTAAACAACAAGAATAGGCTAAACTGCGATGTTTAGAGACTATACTAACGTTGTGTTGCTACTTCGACCACCACCACCACCGCTTCTCCTCCCATCTCTCTCCACCGTCTCTCATCTCTCCATCTCCATCCATCTCCCATCCTCCACCATCCACCTGTCTACCTAGGTACGCGACAACAAACGTTGGAAAGCTCCTGCTTCCATACTTATCCCTTCCCAGGTTGAGACCAAATGACCACCTCCAGTGTTCCTCCCAGCGCGGGCAAAAGTCGTCGTCGCTCTGTGAGTATCTTCTATACTAGTACCCCCCCGAGCAATTAGCCACGACAGAGGAGATCTAACCATACCACGCCCTTCAGCGCCGGATTCAAAAGCCATCTTGCTCTGACTGTGGAAATACAACCCGTCGTGAGTAGTCCTCGAGGAATCTTTGCTTACACTACTGACACACCAAGAACGAGGAGATTCCATATGCCATCTTGAACAGCTCCGAGATGAGGTCGCCCGCCTCTCGAACGAAACAATACGACTGCAGGAAAGTGACGCCGAACATAGGCAACAACTGTCCGAAATGCAGACCCAACTCCATTATCTATGCTCGGTAAGATTCAACTTATCTTGGTAGGCTTCTCTACGTCGGTACTAATTGTCAATTCACAGTACCTGACAGTGGGCCCCTATGGCTACAGCAGTGGGCAGTTTTATGCAATCGATACGCTCGACCAATCCGGTTTTCCTTCTGAAGAAGCACAGGGAATGCTCCCCGAGATGACCATGCCCGAGGTGACCGTGTCTGAGACGACCGCCCCTGGGTTAATGCTCTCCGAGATGACGCTCGATGAGATTATGGCTCTTGATATGATGGTCTTTGGGGTGGTTCCTGACATTTATGCCGGCCATGGCTATGACCACCCACAGGATCTTGAAGGTGCTCGCTACAATGGTCATATGAAAGTTGAGACGGTTCCAAACGAAACTGCGGATAGTAGCAGGGGTTTTATCATCCCGATTGATGATGTCGCTGATTTTAAGGAAGTTTCGGCCGAGTTCAAGGCAGAATGAGCCCAGCCCAATGCACATACCGCGACATGAAAAATGGTGATCTACGAATAGTTGCTTGAAATAGCCTTGAATACGAGAAACCCTACCATAAGATCATTCCTCATGAATCCAAGGAGACTTTTTACTAGAACCCAGGCAATGAGGCCTATTGGTTGCTTGAATATGCACCCCTCGAGCTGATACTGTAGAATTTCTTCTCGGATTAGATTTGAAATTCAAATTCCTAGAAGCTCGCATGGGAAACTTGAACTAGTAGTCACTAGGTACTGGATAGATGGTAATGGTATGTGAGTTATGGAATGATAATTTAAAACGAGTATATTATCATAGAAGCCAGCCATAATATGGAGGGTAGATGCCATGTACTCCGTATCTTGTAGCCATTTGAAGTCAACTCTACCCAAGTGGGTCGAAGCATAGACCCTGTCTGCCGTAGACGAGAGTGGTATTCTCCTATTCGTCAACGTGTAATATTACTCTCCAGCTGAATGCAGTCATAGTCCTTGTCCAATGATCGACAACTCCGAATCCCATTGTCTCGGAGGGCATCCAATGAGGCGACCGAGAGCATGCGATGAACCCACACGATCGCTCTGGAGGTGAATCCCGAAGGGGCCATGGCAGGCCGAGCTAAGCCCTGCATATGCAGGAGAATGGGGATATTGGCGGTGAATGGTCCCCGTATCCAACGACGGGGATCAGTGGAGTCATATAAGAGGGGGGGCTTGATCCCCGAGCATCAGCTGGGGGTTAAAGGGAGCGTTTCTGGCCCCCAATTTCCCGCGCCAGGATTGCCCTCTTATATCCGGCCAGGAGCCCCTCCGCTGCTGGCAGTTCTTGTCATATTCTTATTTTCAAGACTGAATTCACATCTTTTCCCATTCAGCTAGGTCCGTCCTGGACCCAGAATCGGCCAGCATCGAGATATGACGTGAGATCTAGCGGGTCAATGCTAGGCCGAACACCAAGCTCCAGCACATCACGCGCGACGGCTTTTATCTGTCGCATAATGGATTGGGAGATAGCCCAAGTACGAGCCAATGATCGGAAAACACCGATGGTAAGTCCAATGCGATCCCGACTCGGGTCAGGCATCTGTCCTGCCTTGACGGAGCAGGCGGCCAGCTGGACGATGGAACTGAGCGTAAGCGCGCAGATAAAGAAAGGTGTGTGTCGTTCCACAGGCAGACGCATCGCCGCTAGTGTGCTAAGCTCGCTAGCTGCTTTGACGGCCTTCATGGCATGGGCGTGGTGGGAGAAAGCGGGGACGCTGATCGGACCGTGGTGACCACAGATTACCTCCGAGGCGACTGCTGGGGATGACAAGAGGTCGGAACGAGGGAAGTTCAGGTAAATGGAGGCTCCATTTACTAGCATGGTCGCTTGGAACATGATCTCGTCTACCGAACCATCCGGTCGCATGAGCTCTGCCTTGGATTCCGGCAGGTGATGAAACCAACTAGCGATACGGGCATCGATGGCCTCGACGTTATCCTGCTGGCCCTCGGTCATTGCTTGCGTGGCCACCACACGACCAAGAATGCGTACCGCTTCAATTCGGTATGAATAGGAAGAAAAGTCGCGCTCCTCATCGGCAAATACACGCTCATCGAACTGGGCGATCGTCGGTGCAGGCGGCGGGGTCAGGCCGTCCTGGTATATTCGCTCCTCACAGGGAAGTGGGACTTCAGGTAACACCAGGTTAGTGCGGTACACGCTTTGCACTCCGAGAGCCGTCAGCATTCCCTCAATCACAAACAGCTCCCACCAGGTCCGACGAAGACATTCGGCGCGGATTGGATCGCCGTTGCTCGCAACCTCGGCATAGCTGGCTTGATTGAGACCGATATCGAGTGCTATATCAACTGCACTAGCTAGACATTGGCCAGCCTCCATTCGCTCATTTCGCGAATGCAACACAATCGCCAGTAGCAGGAGAGCCTGGATCTTCTCGATACTGGGGACTTGCTCCTGAACTGCAGCGACAACCATTGGGCGATAGATCTCACTCGAGGTGGCCGGAGTGAAGTGAGCGCCAATGAACTTCATCACTTGTTCCAAAAATGGAGGGAAATTGGAGCGGTATAGGAATCGCAATGGTGGGAGAATGGGATGCGCGGCGTGGAAGTAGGTGTAGTAGATATCGAGTAAATATCCGTCGCTGCCGACGGAAGAAGCAGAATCCGGGGTCAACGGGCCGGGCATCGGACGCATTTGGGGTGTTGTCATGGGAAACTCGTGCAATCCGGGGCTTGCAGATCCAGAGGAGAGTAGTGGCATTGTAGGTGTATATTGATGATAGCCTGGAATTCCCCCACCACCAGTTGGTAGATGATTCCAGTCGACGGAAACATCGGCCCTACCGACGAAAGGATCCATGGGCAGCTGATGCTCTGGCGATTCCTCATCAGCGCGACGCTTCTTGGATGGACCTTTGTAACCTCGGCGCGATTTGGTGTAGTTGCACTCGGAGCCGGTCAAAGCACAACGGCTGCAGATTGGAGATCGGCCATCACATTTCAGATGTTTCTGACGACACAGTAGACAAGCGAGTAGTGATGGACCGGGGGGGTTTGCCGGAAGAGATTTGAGGATCGGCCATGATTGAGATGCATCAGAGGGTGAAAGAGAGTGAAAGGGAAAGGGGAGGGGGGGGGGGGGGTTGTGGGAGGAGAGAAAGAGAGGGGAATCTCATTGAGGTTTGCAAGGATGGACCCTGGTCACCTTCCCGCCGATGCCACTTGTTCCTCTTTACCTCACCAACACCACTACCACTACAACTACCATTACCACAACTACACTCACCACGCTTCCACCTTTACAATAATCATACTCGCACTCCTAAACTCGCCTTTATACTCCGCGATCTCCCCGTCTCTTGGTTACTCTCTTGCTATCGCGCTCCCGCTCTATCCATCTCCGCCTCCACCTCCACCTCCACCATGATCTCCGACGGTGACCTCTATCGCCTCGCCATCTTCCTGGGCTCTTGCGCCATGATGATGATTGTCCTATACCACTTTCTCGATGTCAATGCCTCCGACGAAGAGCCTACCGATACCACCACAAAGTCCTCCAAGCCCATCGAGTCTACAACCGCGTCGTCATCCAGACCCACAGCCACGTCGCCAGAGTCAGGGAATGCGAAATAAGCTCCAGGGGCCCATATGCGATCATCTTCAGAAGCTCGGGGATGGGCAGGAATCCACGTCCCCAGGCTTGGTTTGGCGTTTTGAGTGCCGCTATGAAAGGACTGCCAGTGCATGTACAATAAATACCAGTCCAGTCCAGTTCAGCGTGATAGCCACGTACGTCTCCTCGATCTACTCTTCTTTCTCGATTTTCAATTATTTTATTTCTGGCACAATAAATATCGATCAACGTTACCTGCTCGACTCCTTCCGTCTAAATAGGAGCTTATACTATTTCATAGAGATGATCATTTAGGAATCTCTACCTCGTATGGGAGATTCAATTAATTGAATTGAGATTGCTCTGGTACTTAGACTTGTGTACGACAAGAGAGCAATATGGATGCCCATCCTTATTCAACATGGTTCAAATGACAAACACTTTCCCCAGCCGAAATCGAGATCGAGCTTTAAACTCCGATTGCAACACATGCAACAAGATAAATGACAAGGCAAGGGTATCATGGGTGGGGGAATAGAACAAATGAAAGCAATCAATCAGTTAGCCAGCACCATTTCTTCCTGGTTGACCGTCTCCTGACACATGACAGGTGAAATTCGGTGACTGCTCGCCTCCGCAGTCACGCCAGCATCGTCGAGCCAGCGAATACCTCCATCGGTCATTGCACGGGCGCTTAGCTCCGTTGTTTGATTTCCATGCGATCGAGCGTATGCGACCACCATGCTGTTGTCTGCTGGTAAGGTCATGGTACTTGGGCGTGCATTCCGTGTGAGAGGAACGGGGAAGTAGGGAGTTTTTTCATCATTAGCTAGAGAAGCCACTGAAATTAGACCATGTCTCTTCGTAAATCATCCTTCAAAGCCGAGCTTCTGGTACCACAATATCGAACGCAAAAGTTGAGTCTTTTTTCTCACCAGTAACGGGTACTTTGGGTCCATCTCCGAATTTCCAAGCCATGGGATGCACGTGCGCGTCCTGAGCATGCTTCCACATACCCGCGGCTGCCCTGGGATTCTGGTCACGACAGCCATCCCAGTTGCAAGTTAAGCTGTATGGGATGTGCATCTGCATGACATGACTTTCGAGAGCTTGCAGATTATGCATCTCAGCTCGGCAGTCATCCCATCGGCACCGAAACACGGGATATTGGATAGTGGGCTCCGGAGCGGGGATCGCCACCTCAACAACCCTCTTGGGTCGGCCTCTCTTCTTAATAGTAGACATCTTAGCTGGGGAGGGTGGGACGATAACCTGCGGCTCGGGGTAGGAGTTGGAGGGATGCGAGCGCGGAGTTTCAGCCCGGGCAGGTTGAGATTTGGACGTCTCAGTCGCAGTGGGGGTGGCTCGTAGGTTAGAATGTGGCTCGTATTTGGATTCGGATTTGAATTTAGATTTCGGGGTGGATTTGGGGGTGGACTTCGGAGTAGGTTTGGGTTTAGGCGCAGATGATTTGGGGAGAGATGGACTTGGCGGATGGTAAACAGAGATGGATCCTTGGGGCTTGGGCGGTGAGAAGCCTGCCGGAGCCGGAGCCGGAGCTGGGGCTGGAGCTGGGGCTGGAGCTGGGGCTGGAGCTGGAGCCGGAGCTTGAGCTGGAGCTGGAGCCGGAGCTAGAGCTGGAGCTGGGGTCGACCCCGGGAGCTTCCACGACCCAGTAAAAGGTGTTCGAGAATGATAGTCCACCTGAAAAAAAGGGAGCTCGCCAAGTGAATTGTGATGGTTGGTCACATTGGGAGAACGGGGGACGCGCAAATCAACCCACGGTAAAGCGGCCGCGTTTGCTGGGAGTGTTGATGGTCGCAAAGTCGCAGTTGTTGGTGCCGGTGCTGGCAGCATCGCGGGTGCTGGAGGCCCTGCTACTGGGGGCCTGGTGACTGGAACAGGAGCTCCGATAGGGGTAGGTGGTGGGAGTGCCACAGGCTGCGCTGAACGCGCGGGTGCTGGTGCTGGTGTATAGACTAGTGCAGACACAGGTAGTGCAGCCCCAGTCTCCCGAATTTGGGAAGCCAAACTCGCCTGGGCCTCTTCCACAAGGTCCCAGCGGAAAGTAGTCAAGTCTTTAGAAGCGTCAACCTCTGGAAACTTTTTACGAAGAGCCTGCATGTGCTCATTCAAGGGCCTTTCCGTGGGATGTTTGGCGCAATTGATCAACACATCGTGCGCAATCGTCGTCGGATCATAGCTGAATTTCTTAAGCTCGTCGGCATTGTTCATGGGCTGAATCATATCCCTCTTCAGCGGAGCATGTGATTGGGATGGGGAATTTCGAACATAATCGCCGGCTTTGAATGTTCGAGCCACAGAGCCAGGCGGTGTTTGTTTGACTTTAACTTTCGCCCCATTGTTCAATCGACGCGATTTGGAAGGCGGATCCTGTGAGAACCGCGGCCCAGATTGCGCAGCCCCGGTAGGATATGTTGGCGAGCTCGAAATGGTACCCAAGTGTCGTTCATATTGCCGCCGCTGCGCATTAAGAGTGATCTGTTGTCGCTGCTGCTCCTCTCGTCGACGTCGGTCTAGTTCTTGTTGAAGTTGCTGCTGCTCTTCCTTCTGTCGCTCTTGTTTTTTCCGTTCCTTTTTAAGTCGGCGTCGCTCTTCTTGCTGCTGTTGTTGTTGCTGAATCTCCCATTCACGTTGTTTTTGTTCTTTCTGGCGCTCCTGCTCCAGTTGTTGCTGTTGCTGGTACTGCTTCTGATGCTCTTCCTGTAGTCGTTGCCGTTCTTGTTGTCGCGATTTCTCCCGTTCCTGCTCTCGCTGTTCTTCTTGTTGCCTGCGCCGCTCCGGTAGTCGTGATTGTTGCTCTTGCTGCTGTCGACTGTAATACGTCTGATTTTGCGACTGATATTGTGACTGGTACTGTAGCTGTTGCTGCGGCTGTTGGTAGTGCGGTTGGTACTGCTGCTGCAGATTTTGCCGGCGCTGTTTCAATGCGAGCCACCCTTCCTCGTATGATGGGGGTAGGTGAGGGTATCGAGAGTCTGTTGGTCTCTCCAACGGAGTGGGCGCTCTGGCATCCGCGTCAGGTTGAGACTGGGACACTCTGCGCTGATTATCCCGGGATCGGACGTAGGCGGCGTAGGCAAACTGGGTCATATGTTCTGCATCTTCGAATGCCGGGTGCGGATAGTATGTCGTGGGCAGTTCTTGCTGGATTGCTTGGGCTTCGTTCATTTCCAGAGGTTGAGACTCTTCCCATTCCTTTGGCCAGCGGTGATAGCCATTGTACTGGTCATTGTTGACCATATTGGAGGGAGAGATGCACTACCGATGGTGGCATATCATGGCAGAAGTCGAAACAGGAAAGTAACAGATCTCAAAGCAGACACTTAGGGATCATAGCACAGTGAACGAGCAACCTTAACTCTTTCCTAAATGTCCAATTCGTCACTGATTGCCGTCGCGCACGCGGCTGATCGGCAGAAATAGTTCGGGCGGTCAGTCGGCCGTATAAATCGGGACGGCAGACCTCTTCCCTTCTCCAACCGCAATGCCTAGAGAATTTTCAGAATTCTGGCAGGGAGCACTTGTCTCCGAGTGGTTACGCATGCTCAGATACCTCTTGAGTTGGTCCTCGTGAGGTCCAACTCACAGGTCTGTGAACCTACCACATTATGCAAATTATCAGCTTGTCATAATGCTCGACTCGTGAAAATTTTGCCGTCATGAAAATCAAATCCACCACGGACCTGAACTCCAATTTCAATTGATGTCTATTATTTACCAACTAATCAACCACAGCAGATTGACAACGTCTTTCATTCGAGACCTCTTCTTCCCCATCGCGGTAGAAGTCTTGCCATATTATCACCTCGTCAACCCCGCTTCGGTGGCTCACATGGTTGAAGAGATAAACATTAGGCGTATAAAGAATTGCAGAGCCAATCGGTCTCTGATCGATTGGTGATGTTGTCTCGCTTGCAGACCGACTCTTGATGCTTTAGCTCTGATGATGTTGGTTTGAAAGTGAGGTACATTCCGATAAACCACCTACCTAGGTAGCATATGTCAATGATATTCATTTTGTTGTCAGATCATCTCCGTAACTGCCAATGTGCCTAGGTGGTTGTTCTAATACAGTGTCTATTTTAGTATAGTACTACTAATAAGAACCTTGGAGCGTTACGGCTTCAGAGCCGGCCACCTAGGCACGTACTAGTAGTAGTAGTAGTAGTAGTAGTAGTAGTAGTAGTAGGCATCCACCTGGGCATGGACGAAGCCCTGGAGGTTGTCGTGGTCTGCCTACCTGGGCATAGATGACCTCGGGAGGATAGTAGGTAGCTAAATTACTAGTAACAGAACCTCTGCTCGGTACAACAACTGAGGGATATGAACAGTCATTCAATAAGGGTTGCTAAGTTACAAGACCATAACTGAAATGATAGTATGTACGACATCAGATTAATGTACAGCAATTTTGCCAGATGCAATGTTGAAGAACCAAACCAAAAAAAAAAAAAGAACCAAAAAGCTCGAGAAACCGAAATCAAACCATTTCATACTTCATAAGAGCTGTGTTAATCGAAAGGACAGAAAAGAAGAAAAGCCAAAGTCAAGTCAAACCGCAGTGCTTGCTGAATCTCAAACGTGGTCGAAAGTCACCAATCCTCCCAGAGGAACTCACTCATGAGCCATGGCTAACACACTTCGACCAAGCAGGCAATCCACACCCCATCCCAATAAACAAGTAAAGCAAGAAAACAACAACAACACCAAGCAAAACCATCAACTTGATATTCTTCCACCACATCCGTCTCCGCAGCCCACGACTCCGCATCCGGAAATCATGCGCACTACCCCCCAACCGATCCGTCTTATCAACAAGCAAATCAATCCGCTCCCCGCGCTCCAGAACCCGCTCAATATTCTCCGTCATGATATCGCGCACGCTGTCGATCTCACGCTTCGCGGATGCAAGCGAGTCGCCCGGTGGGGCGGTGTTGTATGTTTGGAGGAGGGAGCGCAGTTCGGTGTTAAAGGCTGCGCAGCCGTAGGCTGGTAGGGCGCTGAAGTCTGTGCTGGAAGGGTTGTAGGCTGTTAGGAATTTGCGTTTCATTTCGAGTAGGTAGGCGAATGGGATTCGGCGGCCTTGTTCGGCAGATGCGACCACTATAAAGCTTAAAGGGGCGTAGGAGCTTGTTTCTGTGCGGCTGCTTTGATCATCTGTTAAGCCGCCGGACGGGGAGTCGGCGATGTAGTGTACGAATAGGCGTTCGTGAGTGTAGGTGAGTTTCTGGGGCTTGTCGTGGGTGATCTTTGGGAGGATGATGGAGGCCAGAGATGAGGCTGCTGTGGAGGAGGCCCCTGGGGCAGAGTGCTCCGCTAGGATGGTAGTGCGGTTGGCGATGCATGAGCTAGATTTGATCGAGGCTGATTAGATGATGCCCCGGGGGTTGGTTGTAGATGATGCCGAGGGTTGACTTACTAGAGCAAGAAGCTCGGTGGTTTGGAGGAGGAGCCTGAGGCCATTTTGGGTCGATAGAAGTTGATATTCTTGGGTCGAAGTGAGAGGTTCGGTGAGATTGCACCTGCGAGGAGAGACTCTTGGATAGTATCGAGTATCCTTGCCTCGTCGATGAGTTGCGGAGCTGCTGTGGGTCGGCTTAGTCACGTCATCAGGTGTCAATATTCAGGCATCACTTAAGGTGTCGATTGGTTCCTGAGTGGTAGAATCCGAGAGAATGTTCAAATTGAATAGGTACTTTTATTGAAAAACAAACAGGCTTTGGATCTTGTCACTTTGTACATCTCATTTCAAGGTTGCACCACCGTGTCACATACACCTTCATACTCTAGATGGTGGGTCAACGGATGTGCCGAGAATCCCCGGATCCCGATGACTACTTGTAGTAACTTGAGATATCATGATGTCTACAATCGACCAAATACCAGCCAATTATGAATCATTCCAGTTACTTTGGTTTATTATTTAGGAATTTAACCATAAGCTGTAAGACCAAGTTTTATTAAGAACAGCTGCAGTTTATTCATGAATCAAAAAGCTACACTTGTTTCTCCCATCGTGAACTTGACGGGACTAGACAAGCCCACTAGAGGCGCCTATCAATCATCTCAAATCCATGAGAAGCCGTATCACTCATAATTTTGTCATCATCAGGGTCATGGTTATCGTTATTTTTATCGTCATCTTCATCGCCGTAACTGTTGCTGTTGTATTCAGGGTGTTCCATGTCCTCATCATCATCACTAATGTCGGATTGATGGCCCATCAGTGTACTGTTGCTATCGCTGTCCGCACCGTCCATCTCAAAGTTAAATTCCTCTCCGTGGCTAGATTTGACAAGGTATGCACTTTCTGAAACTTCCATGTATCGTTTATTTTCTTCAGGCTGTGTGAAATCGGCTTCCATAATGGAGTCCTCGTTGAACGAGTCCAGAGACTTGACTTCGGTCCGGTGCGACTGTGTAGCGCAGTTAGATGCACCGTTGATGGTACTTCGCGAATCTGATGGGCCAATATCACTGAATGAATCCTCCGTTGTTGCATTGCTGCCAGTGTGTACTGCAGGTCCCGGAGTGGAGAACCCGCCGGTTTCCATGATCGGAATGTCTTGATCTTGGAAAACGCCGCCGCTACCGTCGTCGTTGCCTCCGGCCCATAGGGGCAAGAGATTTAACTGCTTTCCTGACAGGCAGCTAAGAGTATCGATGGATTCAAATGGAATGGAGGGCTTTTCAGCAGGGAAAAGTAATTCCTCAGCGGTCTCGCGGATGTAGGTATTGGCCGAGACAAGGAATAGAGTCAAGTCAAAATGTCTTGCAGGTGCCCCGAGAAGGTTGTTTTGGCCGAATGATTGCTGGGGCTGAATCGGTGTCAAGTTTTCAGGGACATTTGAATACTCCGGGAAAGCTTGATTGTTTTGGTTTTCTTGGTTCGGAAGGTCGATTTCTCCAAACGAAAGCGGACCGAACATATCTAGTGTGGTGTTCAGACTCGAACTCGAGGCTATCTGCGACGCCGAGCTAGATTGCTGAAAATTCCAATTTTGAGTCTCACGTGGGCGAAAGACAAACGGTTTGCTGTGCGGACTCGGTGTAAAAACCGATGACGAGGACGAGGACGAAGCAACGGGTTCCGCAAAGCTCGGTAGTAGTGGTCGCATCGCCAAGTTTACTTGATGGTGCTGGGGCGCGGCTAATTTCCTTTCCTGCGCATCGATTTTCCAATTTACGGTGCTGGTCTCATTTTCGACGAATGTGCGGTGGCAATAGCTGATTCTAGCGCTATCGTGGCCTTTGAAGGCAAGTAGCCCTTTGCCAATATCCGAGATATCCTTGTGAGGAAAGTTTTGTGGCTGGAAATCGGAGTCAGAAAGGAGGTCAAAGCTTACTAGACCGTACCAAAAGCTCCTCCCGATAAGGCGCTGTAGAACTTGTTGTCTAGGGAATGTGAAGTTCATATGAGGGCGCGTGGTCGCAGGTATTGCATCGCTGGATCGAATTGGGTCTCGAGTTCGTTTCAAAATGCTGTAGATTCTGTACCTCACAAATTCCTTCAGAAGGCCTGTCAGATAATCAACCGCAGCCCAGTCCTGCGGGAATTTCCGTCGGTGCTCAATGAGCTTTTGATACTCGGGGTTTTCAGTAAACCAGTTCATCTCAGCCCCGGCAAGGCGTAAGAACTGGTCAATCAGATCATCGGCAAAGCTCTTGCTGGCATATTCTATGCGCTGCACCTCGGTATCGTCGAGGCCATTTATCCGACTGTGGCGAAAATTTTCAATGTAATGATGCGTGGGCGTGATGTTGGCGGTTCGAATCGTGTACAGCAAAGCTTCATCTCCGATGAGAGCAAGAAATGCGTGGCGGCAAAGCTCAGGGGCTTTGATCCCACAAGCCACTCGGTATGCGATCTCCGGATGAATTTCAATGAACTTGGTGTTGCTGGTTTGATAGAACCATGACAGAATGTATCCGCTCACGGCCGGCACAGTCGTCAGATCGAAGACTTTAGCTATCGCAAAGAATGTCCACAGCTTGGATGGGGTATCCAAGGAGATACTGAGACCTTCCAAAACATGTAGAATGTGCTCAATTCCTTCCCGGTGACGCACAGGTGAGTACTCCACCGGTAGACTGGTCGGCTTTTCAATTTCTGCGGCATCAGGTAGCCCCTCATCCAGATCAGCAAAGCCAGGTTTGTCCAGAGGGGTCTCGGGGTCTTCCTCGGTGGGGTAGGCTGAGACGGGTGACGACAATTGAGTAGTGTTCTCGGACTCCTCCTGATCCGCCTCCTCGCCTTCCCCCACGGGCTCGGAAATATCCTTGCCTCCAACACACGCTGGAGGCAATTGCCACAGGGACCTCTGCGAAGCCCACGTTCGAATACCCAACGGGCAGGAGACCTCTGTCAAAAGGATGATGGCATCGTCTTCTAGGATTGGAGGGGTCAAGTCTAAAAGATATTTGATTCCCCGTGGTAGCGAGCCTTGATAGAAGCCTCGTTGTTTGGCGAGTCGTTTCTGCCATCGAGGATGAAAAAATTTCGTCAGATAAGGAGAGCCCGTGTACAGCAGTTTCTCGCTGTGGACGCGATGAGGGGTTGTGGATGAGCTTGATGATATGTGGTAGGCATTCTCCGGTGGTGGGTCAATGTAGACAAGGGTATCACCGTCATCAAAAAGCAGAAGTGGTAAGATTGGGGCCTCGGTAAGATGGGCCTCGGGTCGGCGAAAAGGTGGAATGGACATGGGAATAGCAGGCTCATCTGTCGCTGGCTGTTCAGATCCAGTTGGCTGGCTATCATGCCAAGGTGAGAGGACAGTAAAAGTTGAAGGCACAGGAGATGTGTTTGGAGCTGGCTGGGAGGTAGCCATGCTGGGGAGGCAGGGGCATGGGTATTGATATGGGATGAGCAAATCAAAGATGAGATCCAAAGGTCGTAGGGTGAGGGGGTGAGGGGGTGAGAGGGTGAGGAGAAAGGAAAAGAAGAAGCGAAGGTGAGCTTGAAGAAAGGTGGATGGGGGCGGAGTTGAGTGAGTTGGCTAGTTGAGCCTCAAGCGGGAAGCTGCTGCCTGAATACTTTCCTAGGTACATAATACCATAGTATGTACCGTGTGACACTGGCAGGTACGAGTCATGTACACTCACATGACCTATATCTCTCTATATCCAACATTGACTCGGTGCAGTCAACTTGACGGGGAACCTCGACTCCACTGCGGGGCTTGTGTACTTCATAGTTTAGTTACAAGCTCCCCCACAACAACAACAACTTGAACATACCCACAACCATCACGGTATTGTATGTGGAACTCGGGCCTTTCAGGTACAAGAATCAATGAATCTGAACGTGAACTCAAACTTGGGCGAACCATGGTAGCTATCACCCCCATTCCGAGTCCCAGCATCCTAAGGTTCCCTTTTAGCAACATCCGGTGATGTACTCATCGGGATGTCATGACGACAGGAGTAGTATACTTCTCAGCATGAGACCTCCTCTTGGATCACTTCCTTCACTTGAACGGCCTCATAACCTCCATCTTTACATCTACTAGTAGTATAATTACTACCAACAATACCGCCTGGAAAAGAAATTGAACCTTGGAAAAAACCTCCAGAATGACCACCCTCACTAGAAACCCAATCACAGGACGCAAGCCCATGAAGTCCGTCCCCTCGACCTGCACATTTCGCCACTCACTACTGACACAAGATATCTTTCAAACAGATCCACCTCCATTGCTCTCATGAGCATCGTCGGTGTCATCGGGGGAACTTGGGCAATGTTCCGACTGATGGCGAAGAGAGGCACTGTGGTGACTACAGGCGAAGACAAGGAAACATTCCGAGGTGGCAGCGCTCAAAACGATGTGGGGAACAAGACTGCTCGACCTCCACGTTCATACCCAGCTCCGCGGGGTGGTTCCGTCTAATTGTGAGGGAGTTGGGGACTTGGAAATTGGAAGATCTAGGAGAACTCAAACCAGAGATAAAGAGCCAGGAAGGAAATCATAATGACTTTCGTGTACGATCAATCCTAGTGGCGTGCGTGTATGTGTATGTGCATAAAATACAAAATGAAAGCACGGCGCGCTCGTGGAAACAGAAGCCGAGAGCAAAATCACATCAATCAGAAGTCCGCCCTCCTTTCTTTCCCTTGGTAACTGTACAGGGTATTTGCGAATGTACAAAACAGGACATGCAAAACAATGAAAAATCGCAAGAATGAGAACTTGAACAAAATGAGACCCGTCATGCTGATCGTGGTGCATCGTGATCGTTGTCGCTGTCGTGGCCATACTCCTCCTTCCTTGGCGAGTATGAAAGGCGCCCATCACGGCCAATCCGGCTCTCCTCTGAGCCTGGTCGGCGCTTTTTTACCTCTTTATCTTTCTTTTCTGCGCGTTTCTTCTTCTCGCGTTGGCGAAGGTCATCCATCCGAGGGCGACTTCCACTTCGACTCGATCCAGTCTTTCGGAGGTCCTTAACTTCCCTGATCACTTCACGGAATCCCTCTTCGATATTGTTCATCCGAGCCAGGACCAGTTTACTGAGCATATCTTGGGTTTGGCTCGTCCCCTCGCGTCGGAGACCTCCTGTTGCGAAAGCCATTTGGGTGTTGAAGCTAGATGGTACGGCGCCAGTATAGGCACCAACCACCGCCTTGTTGTCTCCCAGGTCAGAACCTAGGCCAAATAGCAGAGATCGCTGAGGTCGGGCTGAGCCAGGGCGGTCCGGGACATAAAGGCTTTCGAGCTCTGGTACGGACATCTGGTTCAACCCCAGGGAGGCATTTTTAATACCCACGGGGACAGGGTGTCTCTTTATGGTGCCTTGGTCCACTGAGGTCGATACGTAAGGCAGCCGACTGGCCTCATCGTCAGAGGAATCTTGGTTGGGCCGGGTAGGAGTGGCCCGGCCTTCGGTGCCTTCGTTCGGTGATCCAAGGGGATTGTAGAGCATGGTGACTCCGGAAACGTTTCGGGTATGCTGAGGTCGGCGGGTAGGGCTGCCTCGGCGCGACAATAGTCTCGCGGTTGATGGCCGAGAGCTGTAGAATTTGGGCGTGGTCTTCTCACTGCTCCTCACTTCCTCCTCCACATCACTGTTATTTTCTTTGTCGGAGTCTCCGCCGTCACTTGTAAGTTCGTCATCTCCCTCCATATCCGTGTGCTGGGAGAGCTGTCTTGTTCGGGTTGGGGATGCAGAATCTCCTCGTTGACGGCTCAACGTAGGACCAGCTACGTGGCTGGTTCTGTCCTCTGGATTGGAGGCCACCGAGCGAGTAGTCTCCGTAAAGTTGCGTCCACCCGCAGCGAGCGTCTTGCGGAATGGGAACCGTAGTCGACGGGTAGGCATTTCGAGAAGATCGGCCACAGAATCCTGCTCATCAGGGGTATGGACTGGACCGGAACCAATCTCTTGCATCCAGTCTTTGATCACGTTGTTTGTTTGCTGCTTGCGCCGGGGCTCGCGCAGTCGATCATCACTCATCGGCCGTCGGAAAACCTCCTCCAATGCCTGGTCTTTCTGATAGGTTGCAACCGAGGGCTCTCGAACCAAACCGGGACCCCTGTTACTAAATGCACGGAATCGACTTGGTCGCCAAGTCTGCATGGGATCTGTTGTTCTTATTTGGGGATTCGCATCAACCAGATCAGTTAGTTCCACCACCTGAGAGCTAAGAATGGTTTTCTCGTAGAGGCAGATGGTAAACAAGATTGGTAAATGAGTGATTTTGATGATCGTTCGATTCAGCCGAATAAATTCTCGAAATGGCATCACATATCGAAAAGGCGTCACCAACCACGCAATGATATTCGTCGGGGCGACGTAGGAGAACAGCGCATCTGACTTGACCATGGAGATTGCGTTGACGGCAAATAAGAATTGGTGCTCCTGGTTAGCATTTTGAACGATTCTCATGAAGGAGTTGGTGAGAACTGTAATCAAGATGGTGACAACAACGAAATGACAAATAAAGAGGAAAAGTGTCAAGATGGTCCGCCCGAGAAAATTGTAATCTTCCCACATCGCCCATGCTGTAGGCGTAAAGCCCATCAGCATTTGGAATAATCCGTATGCCACTGTATTGGGAGAATTATCATTTCCAAATGACAAAAAAGCAACAAAAAATCCGCTACAGGCGATAATGATCAACACAAAGACCGCAATCAGATCGGATGCCATGATACGAAATGCAATAAGCAGTTGCGAGAAGTACCGGTAATGATCGAGAATGGAAAACAGGCGAGGAAATAAAAGTACCGCATTGGCCGCCAACACATCATATGCCTGGTTAGCCACTTGCTGGTTGCGAGGGTAGGTCAAAAAGGCACCATAGATCCGCAGGCAGTAGTAGCAGAAGAATAATAGCAAGATTCCCAAGTCAAAGAGATTCCAAAAGCTCATCAGGTACAAGCTAAATCCCTGCTCGTTAAATCCTACCACTTCATCAAGCATGAACCCTGTACTCCAAAACCAGAATACGACCTCTAGGGAAGTGATCGACCGGCTTCTGTCTTCCAACACTGCCAGGAACAGCCCTAGTAGGACAGCGAAGGAGAGAGTAGAAAGAAACTGCCGATAGCGTGGTACTCGTAGCCGAGATAACTTGAACAGGGAAGCCTCGCGGGGGTTGTATAATGTCACGGAGCGGCGCGTTGCTGAATTCCCAAGTCGAGCCATCGGATTGCCATTCGGGTTTTCAGATGTTCCGTAGTCTGGACCAATAGCAGAATTTCCGCGACGATGTAAATGATCGGCCGCTGAATGGAAGACGATAGTTCCAGCCCAGATGGCTTCCAATTGTTGAACAACTACAGGGTGGGCCAGGAACCGCTTCGCTTGGGCTCGAATGGCGATTTCGAGGCACGAAACCCGTCCAGACCCCACGACCCGTTTCCCTTGTGGACCATGTGCCCATGCAGCCGATGGATCCTGGCCTTGGAGCGGGTAGAATTCATAGGAGAGCGCATCGATCAGCTCTCTCGTCGAGTATTCGCGGAGTAATTTGATTGCCAGTAGTTCGCTAACCATCGCCCGTGTTTGACTAGCACCGCTGTTTCCTGGGTTGAGGTGTATTTCCTTCTCAAACTGGAGACAATTGGCCATGAGGGCATATAGGGTGGCTCGCGAAAAGTGAGCGGACATGAGTTTTTGTTGAATGGGCTTGATCAGGAACTGCGAGACCTGCGGTGATCGCAGTTGATCCCATGTCAATGTCGTCTCACAGCGAGAGGCGATCAAGGGACGAATGGCATGGGTGATGTCGTAGACCGGGAGGGAATCTATCGTGACAATTGGTGGTCAGTCTCTAGTTGGTAGAATTTTTGAGACAGAGTTGGGAAAAGGACAGAAGGAAATACCTAGATGTGAGGCAGAGAAGATTGGAAGAAGTGGTGTCGACTCCATGGGCCGCTCATCCTCTTCCTCATCCTCATCGTGAACCCATTCCCCATCCTCGTCCTCGTCCAGGCTTTCTTCATCTACATCGTGCAACTCGGGCGCGTCGTAGTCGCGTCTACCACCACGGTTTGCAGCTGCTCGAAACCAGGGAGAAGTATTGTGGTCGCTTGGTGTAAAGGGCGAGGCAAATGGGGACTCATCGATCTGGGTGCGTTGTGGTTTCGGACGAAGCAGAGAAGCCAGCATCGTGGAGGGAGTTTTCAGACGCGAACCCGCATGATAAGAGATATTTAGAAAGGTAGGTGAGGGAGGGGGGGAGGAAAGTTTGAAATTGAGGATCGAAGGAAATCGAAGGAGGGGCTCGGCAGATACTACTGAGCACGACCGGGGAAAAGAGGCGCAAGGACTTGCGAGGTGGAAGCTCAAAATGTCGCGAGCGATTAATGCAGACCAGAGCTAGTCAAGGCCGGGGCTATCGCGCATCTGGAGCGATCGGAGCCCCACACGTCATGGCGCAGACCACCTGACTCTCATTCCAAGATCTTGAATTTGAATTGGAATTTGAATTGGAATTGACGGTGTGTTCAGGTTTGACTAGGTTTTGAGTTTGAATTTCACTTTCAAGTTGTGCTAGGTGTTACACAGTTTAAATTTTCCGAGTCCGTCAACAGCATCACTTATCCCGATTCGGCAACATATTTATATCTAGTTAGTGGCCCTGGAGTACTAGTAGTAGGCATACCCCTCTCTCTCAGGAACTTCAAATCACTGGCATGGTCATAATCATGATCATGATGCTTTACTACTAGTACTACCACCATCATCACTACTATTTACTCAGTAGATATACCCGACACACTGCCAGTGGCATCTGACTGGCTCCAAGGTTGTCCGACCTCGGGAAGGGTTAACCTAGGGTAACCTTCAAGTTCAAGTTGGAAGCAACTATACTACAGTACTATTACTAGTAGTACTAGCATTACTTAGTGACTACTATACTACTATACTAGTGGATACTAGTATGCTACCTACCTAGATAGTAGACTATATAATGAAAATTGAACCTCTGTTCAAGTTCGCTTGCACCGTTGGATATACCCTAGTACTATAATTACGTAGTGCTGCAGCCGCGATCGGATATCGACCTTATCAATACTCACCGCCTGCATGCAGTGCTTGTAAGGCATGTCCCGTGATGCAGATGCAATTGCCTTGTAGATTAGGATACAGTGTTATATAGTTACATGTAGTAACCAATTTCACCGAGAGATCCAGGTGAAAATTACTACATAATTGCCCATTCACCCAAACCCTCAAACTGCCGTGCCGATCCTCAAAAAAGGATCCCCAATGACTCAATCGATCCACTTTTTGGGAAAATTCTGAAGGCGGTGGACCTTCACCCACGCACCGCAAACGCACCGCAACCGGTGGGGCCCGCGCTTGCACGAAAAATTTATTCTGCCAGCCCTCTCACTCTTCTTCTTCCTCCATACCTCAGCTCTTGCAGCTGCAATTCTACTCCAATTCCTCTCTCCCCCCCTCTTCTCCAAAAAATACCCTCAAAAACACACAGAAAATCTGTTGAATAGAAGAAAAACACACCAGCCTTGAAGTCGTGGATGCTGTTCTAGAGTGACCTCGCACTCGATCAGATCGTCCCCGAGAGGACTTGTCCCCTCCCCCCTTTTCTCCCACACCAAAAAAAAAGGACCTGTTGCCCATCATGGCTGCCAACACCGGCGCTATCATCAAGCCTGCCTCTATCCCCGTTCGCGGTGGAACCGACCGCCTTGTGGCCCTCGAGTTGCAGGATGGCACCGTCTACCAGGGTTACAACTTTGGTGCCGAGAAGAGCATTGCCGGTGAATTGGTCTTCCAAACCGGCATGGTCGGCTACCCTGAGTCCATCACCGACCCTTCCTACCGTGGTCAGATCCTGGTTATCACTTTTCCTCTAGTGGGTAACTATGGTGTCCCCTCGCGGGAGCAGATCGACGACCTCCTCAAGCTGCCCACCTACTTCGAGTCCAGCCAGATCCACGTCGCTGCCTTGGTGGTCGCTACCTATGCTGGAGAGGACTTCTCTCACTTCCTGGCCGCGTCTTCCCTGGGCAAGTGGTTGAAGGAGGAGGGTGTCCCCGCCATGCACGGTGTTGACACTCGTGCGCTGACCAAGCGTCTCCGTCAAACCGGTAGCATGCTGGGCCGCATGCTGCTCCAGAAGCCTGAAGTTGCCAAGGAGGTTGCCTCCGGCGCTGACGCTGCTACCTGGAAGTCACACTTTGAGGAGATCGAGTGGGTGGACTGCAACACCAAGAACCTCGTCGCTGAGGGTAAGTCAATTGTCCATTTCCAACCCAAACCACGAAGCCAAAAATTCGGCAGCATTGGAATCTTGTCTAATCGGATCCCGCTTTATTCATAGTCTCTATCCGTGAGCCCAAGCTTTACTCGCCCCCCGCAGATGTTGCTCTGAAGCACCCCTCGGGACGGAACATCCGCGTCCTGTGCCTGGATGTTGGTATGAAATACAACCAGCTCCGCTGCCTGTTGACCCGTGGTGTTGAGGTCATGGTCGTTCCCTGGGACTACGACTTCCCCACCCTGGCAGGCAAGGACTACGATGGTCTGTTCGTCTCCAACGGACCCGGTGACCCCGCCACTCTCACAACCACCATTGACAACCTGGCCAAGACATTTAAGGATGCCCGCACTCCTGTCTTCGGTATCTGTCTGGGTCACCAGCTGATTGCCCGCGCCGTCGGTGCTACAACCAGCAAGATGAAGTTCGGTAACCGCGGTCACAACATTCCTTGCACCAGTATGATCTCTGGCAAGTGCCATATCACTTCTCAAAACCACGGTTATGCTGTGGACGCCTCCAGTCTCCAGAATGGCTGGGAGGAGCTGTTTGTCAACGCCAACGATGGCAGCAACGAGGGTATCCGTCACACCACCCGTCCCTTCTTCAGTGTGCAATTCCACCCCGAGAGCACCCCTGGTCCTCGCGATACCGAGTACCTGTTTGATGTCTTCATCAACACCATCCAGAAAACTATTGCCTCTGCGGATGCGCTCACCAAGCCTGTCGAATTCCCCGGTGGCATCAAGGCTGAGAATGTCAAGGCTGCCCCCCGTGTTTACGTCAAGAAGGTTCTGGTCCTGGGATCCGGTGGTCTCAGCATTGGTCAGGCCGGAGAGTTCGATTACTCCGGTAGTCAAGCCATCAAGGCGCTGAAGGAAGAGGGAATTTACACGATCTTGATCAACCCCAACATTGCTACTATCCAGACCTCCAAGGGTCTGGCTGACAAGGTCTACTTCTTGCCCGTCAACGCCGACTTTGTGCGCAAGGTCATTAAACACGAGCGCCCCGACGCTATCTACTGTACCTTCGGTGGTCAGACTGCTCTTTCAGTCGGTATTCAACTCAAGGATGAGTTCGAGGGCCTGGGTGTTCAGGTTCTTGGTACCCCCATCGATACTATCATCACTACCGAGGACCGTGAGCTGTTTGCTCGTAGCATGGATTCGATCAACGAGAAGTGCGCCAAGTCTGCATCTGCATCCACCATCGAGGAGTCTTTGCGCGTTGTCGAGGACATTGGCTTCCCTGTTATTGTTCGTGCCGCTTACGCCCTGGGTGGTCTCGGCTCTGGTTTCGCTGAGGATATGGACCAACTCAAGGACCTTTGCACCAAGGCCCTCGCTGTCAGTCCCCAGGTCCTCATCGAGCGCAGTATGAAGGGCTGGAAGGAAATCGAGTACGAAGTTGTTCGCGATGCCCAGGACAACTGTATCACTGTCTGTAACATGGAGAACTTCGATCCTCTCGGTATCCACACTGGTGACTCCATTGTTGTCGCTCCCTCACAGACCCTCTCGGACGAGGACTACAACATGCTGCGAACCACCGCTGTTAATGTCATTCGTCACCTTGGCGTTGTCGGTGAATGTAACATTCAATATGCCCTGAACCCGTTCTCTAAGGAGTATTGCATTATCGAGGTTAACGCTCGTCTGTCGCGTTCTTCGGCCCTTGCCTCCAAGGCCACCGGTTACCCTCTTGCTTTCATCGCTGCTAAGCTGGGTCTGGGTATCCCCCTCAACGAGATCAAGAACTCCGTGACCCAGTCCACCTGTGCTTGCTTCGAGCCTTCCCTCGATTACTGCGTGGTGAAGATTCCCCGTTGGGATCTGAAGAAGTTTACTCGTGTGTCGACTCAGCTTGGTTCCTCCATGAAGTCTGTTGGTGAAGTCATGAGCATTGGTCGTACCTTCGAGGAGGCTATTCAAAAGGCCATCCGCTCCGTTGATTTCCACAACTACGGTTTCAACGAGACTGATGCTCTTATGTCGATCAAGGCCGAGCTTCAGACTCCCTCCGACCAGCGTCTGTTTGCCATCGCTAATGCTATGGCTGCTGGATACACTGTTGATGATATCTGGAAGCTGACAGCTATTGATAAGTGGTTCTTGAGCCGGCTTAAGGGTCTCAGCGACTTCGGCAAGTCTCTCAGTGCTTTCAACGCCACCAGCGTGCCCATCTCTATGATCTCACAGGCCAAGCAGCTTGGTTTCTCTGATCGTCAGCTTGCCAAGTTCCTGAGCTCCAACGAACTGGCTGTGCGCCGTATGCGTGTTGAGGCTGGCATTACCCCCATTGTCAAGCAGATCGATACTGTTGCTGCTGAGTTCCCTGCCGTCACCAACTACCTTTACCTGACATATAACGCCTCCGAGCATGACCTGAAGTTCGATGACCACGGTATCATGGTTCTTGGATCTGGTGTCTACCGTATTGGTTCCTCTGTTGAGTTCGATTGGTGCTCCGTCCGTACTATCCGTACCCTCCGTGAGCAGGGCCACAAGACTATCATGGTTAACTACAATCCTGAGACTGTCAGTACCGATTACGATGAGGCCGACCGCCTGTACTTCGAGAACATCAACCTGGAGACTGTCCTTGATATTTACCAGCTTGAGTCATCTAGCGGTGTTGTCATCTCCATGGGTGGTCAGACTCCTAACAACATTGCCCTGCCGCTGCACCGTCTCAATGTTAACATCCTGGGTACCTCCCCTGAGATGATTGATGGAGCTGAGAACCGTTACAAGTTCTCGCGTATGCTTGACCGTATCGGCGTCGACCAGCCTGCCTGGAAGGAGCTTACCAGCATTGACGAGGCCCGCGGATTCTGTGACAAGGTTGGCTACCCAGTGTTGGTTCGTCCCTCTTATGTGCTTTCTGGTGCTGCTATGAACACAGTCTACTCCGAGCACGACCTGGCCAATTACCTCAACCAGGCTGCGGACGTGTCCCGTGACCACCCTGTCGTCATCACTAAGTACATCGAGAACGCCAAGGAGATTGAGATGGATGCTGTCGCCAAGAACGGTGTTATGGTTGGCCACTTCGTCTCTGAGCACGTCGAGAACGCCGGTGTGCACTCTGGTGACGCCACTCTCATTCTGCCTCCCCAGGATCTCAGCGAAGAGACTGTTGCTCGCATCGTGGAGGCCACTCGCAAGATCGGTAACGCTCTGAATGTCACTGGCCCTTACAACATCCAGTTTATCGCCAAGGACAATGACATCAAGGTCATTGAGTGCAACGTTCGTGCTTCGCGCTCCTTCCCCTTCGTCTCAAAGGTTATGGGTGTCGATCTTATCGAGATGGCCACCAAGGCTATGATCGGTGCTCCCTTCCAGGAGTACCCCCCCTATCAGCGTGCCCAAGGACTACGTCGGTGTCAAGGTCCCGCAGTTCTCCTTCTCTCGTCTGTCGGGTGCTGATCCCGTTCTTGGTGTCGAGATGGCCTCGACCGGTGAGGTTGCTTCCTTCGGTCGTGATAAGTATGAGGCCTACCTCAAGGCCCTGCTTTCAACTGGATTCCGTCTGCCCAAGCGCAACATCCTTTTCTCCATCGGTTCCTACAAGGAGAAGCTTGAGATGCTACCTGCCATCAAGAAGTTGCACAAGCTGGATTACAACCTGTTCGCCACCTCTGGTACTGCGGACTTCCTGAAGGAGAACGGTGTTCCCGTCAAGTACCTCGAGGTTCTGGCCGGTGAGGAGGATGACTTCAAGTCTGAGTACTCTCTGACCCAGCACTTGTCGAACAATCTCATCGATTTGTATATCAACTTGCCTTCCAACAACCGCTTCCGCCGTCCCGCCAACTACATGTCCAAGGGTTACCGCACTCGTCGTATGGCCGTTGACTACCAGACTCCTCTGGTCACCAACGTCAAGAATGCCAAGATCCTGATTGAGGCCATCGCCCGCCACTACCCCCTGAACATCCAGACTTCTGATTTCCAGACTAGCCACCGTACCGTGGTCCTGCCTGGTCTGATCAACATCGCTGCCTTTGTTCCTGGTCTTGTCACCCCTGGCTCCAAGGACTTTGAGGATGTCACCAAGGCTTCGATTGCTGCTGGTTTCTCCATGGTCCGTGTCATGCCCGTCGGCGTTGACAGCTCGGTTACCCAGGCCACCGATCTGAAGATTGTTCAACAGAACGCTCAGGACAAGTCCTACTGCGACTTTAACATCTCGGTTGCCGCTACCGCTTCCAACTCTGACCAGATCACCCAGGTGACTGGCGAGGTTGGCTCCCTTTTCATCCCCTTCAACCACCTCTCTGGTAACATCAACAAGGTGGCTACTGTGACCAACCACTTCGGTTCTTGGCCCTCCAACAAGCCTCTGATCACTGATGCTAAGGGAACTGATCTGGCTTCCATCTTGCTGCTTGCTAGCCTGCACAGCCGCAACATCCATGTCATGAGCGTGACCACCAAGGAGGACATCAGCCTCATTGCGCTCAGCAAGGAGAAGGGGCTCAAGGTGACCTGCGATGTGTCGATCTTCTGCCTCTTCCTTTCTCACGAGGACTTCCCCGAGTGTGCCTCTCTGCCCTCTGCCGAGGACCAGAAGGCTCTCTGGGACCACATGAGCACCATCGATGTTTACTCGATTGGCAGCATTCCCTACCAGCTTGCTGGCAAGGAAGCCTCCCCCGCTGTCGGCATTGCTGAGTCCCTTCCCCTGCTCTTCACTGCTGTCGCTGAGGGTCGCCTTACTGTTGAGGACATCACTGCTCGCCTTTACGACAACCCCAAGAAGATCTTCGAGCTGCACGACCAACCCGATACCTCTCTCGAGATTGAGATTGACCGCCCTTACCTGTACCAGAGCGCCGATGCCTGGTCGCCTTTCAGCGGTAAGGTGATGCGCGGCTCTGTCCAGCGTGTTACTTTCCAGGGCAAGACGTCTTGCCTGGACCATGCGATCACCTCTGATGCCATTAAGGGTACTGATATGTCTTCTCACCGTATCGTCCCTACCTCGCCCGTGCAGAAGCCTACCACCCCCATGGTTCGCCCTGAGAGCTCCCTTGACCGTCACGTTTCCGTCTCCGGTACTCCTGGCCGTCGTTTCCGTGGTGAGGTTAACGTTCCCTCTATTGGCGAACTTGGCCCTCCTCTGTATCCCTCGGCCCCGGTCTCTTCCTCGCTCTATGAGATGCTGTCGAACTCCAACTTCCGTGGCAAGCATGTGTTGTCCGTGAACCAGTTCACTCGCGCGGACCTCCACCTGCTTTTCACTGTCGCCCAGGAGATGCGTCTCGGTGTTCAGCGCCAGGGTGTCCTTGATATCCTCAAGGGCCGTGTCCTCGCTACCATGTTCTACGAGCCCTCTACCCGCACCTCGGCTTCCTTCGATGCCGCTATGCAGCGCCTTGGTGGACGTACCATCCCCATCTCCGTCGAGCACTCCTCGACCCAGAAGGGCGAGACCCTGCAGGACACCATCCGCACTCTGGGCTGCTACGGTGATGCCGTGGTCCTGCGCCACCCTGACCCCAAGAGCACCGATATTGCGGCCAAGTTCTCCCCGGTTCCCATTATCAACGGCGGTAACGGCTCTATCGAGCACCCCACCCAGGCCTTCCTGGACCTCTTCACCATCCGTGAGGAGTTGGGTACTGTCACCGGCCTGACTATCACTTTCACTGGTGACCTCAAGTACGGCCGTCCCGTTCACTCCTTGATCAAGCTCCTGCAGTTCTACGATGTCCGCATTCAGCTTGTCTCCCCCAAGGAGCTTGCTCTGCCCGAGGATGTCCGCCAGCAGATCAAGGCCTCCGGCCAGCTCATCGGCGAGTACGAAGAGCTGACTCCCGAGATTGTCGCTCGCTCCGATGTCCTGTACTCCACCCGTGTGCAGAAGGAGCGCTTCACCGACCTCTCTGAGTACGAGCGTCTGAAGAACAGCCTTGTCATCGATAACGCTCTGCTCAAGCACGCCAAGGGCCACATGGTTGTCATGCACCCTCTGCCCCGCAACGCCGAGGTCGCCGAGGAGGTCGATTTCGACCAGCGGGCCGCTTACTTCCGCCAGGTACGTTCCAACCCGAATACCCTCTTTGTCAAAGAACGACTGCTAACATATTTCACAGATGAGATATGGCTTGTACTGCCGCATGGCGCTGCTGGCCCTGGTCTTGGCTCACTAAATTTCTTCTTCCATATACTCCCACCCTGAGACCGGGATTCCTCAAAAAGCGCGCCGTCGATTTTTACGCATGTCATGTCTTTCATTTTACCTGTTCTGTTCTGTGCTCTTTTTTCTTTGGAAAATTTCTGCCAACGTTCTGTCTGGATATCTTTCGTAGGTGCAGCTGCCTCGATAGAACGTCGCAAGCTGTGTATAGATTAGACAATCTCCGTTTCCTTTCAAGAACCTGATCACCCCTCGTTCTGTGTATGTTGTATATTATGTGTCATCTACGTGTTTTACGTGTTACGTGTTATGTGTTATGTGTGTCGTGTGTTTTCAGCGTGCGTTGCGTTCGGTCTGTTTTTTGGTTGGCGTTTTTCTTTTTTGGGTTGGGTTGGGGTTCCGGTGGATATTTCATTTTTCACGGCATTTGGCATTTTATGTCAACAACTTGAAATAAATACTATTTCTGATCATCAAACGTGTTCCTTGTGTAAATCTAAATGTAATCATGCAACAAAAATCCATAGATTTTGCTCTTCATGCTCTGTTTTCAGTATAATAATGTTCTGCTTTCAAAGGTGGTGGAGACATTTTGAGCTGGAATATAGCGCTGTGATTGGCCAGCCAGTTTGGGGAACCATGGGAATGGGGTTACTTGATTCGGTCAAATCAATTAGTTCAGGTGGGCTTCTCTACAACTTGATATGCTAGAAATATTCAAGGTGCTGATGAGAAGAGCATGATCGTATATAATTTTGATATATTCTGAAGGCAATAACGAATTTTCATCGCAGATATTCACCCTTTTCTTCACCGAAGTCATGGTCTATCTCGATGTTCAATTGTTGCAGTTGCCTGCCATTTTTTTCGAGACTTTATAACCTAGTATCTCTAATTTATCTTCCTGCATATTTCAATTGGTATTTATCGTTCCACATATCATTCAACATGTCTATATATCATTTATATTATAGTTTCGGGGGAAACTGGCCCCGCCCGATGGTGTGATCTCCCACCTCGATTGTTCATTAGCCTCGCGCCTTCACTGGCCAATCCGTGCTAGAATAGATGCCAAACAGAACGTCATTCGCTACCTCCACAAATATCGATACCCTTTCTCGGCCGGGTCAGGGGACATAGATATGATGCAATCCCTGGAACACGAGGTTGGCGCGTGGTCCGCGGAGTAACTACAGTATGAGGTGCTCTCTTGATTTTAAGGTTTGATACCCCAATAACACTCGGCTTTTCTGCACGTCTCATATTTGTGTCACTTCTCTCAAAGTCGGAATTTCTCACAAGACTGAGCCCTTCCATCCAGGCTATTGTCGTGACCATGTCAACCTCGGTTGAGAAGAAAGATGAGTCTGCCGTTAGTGGCATAAATGATGCTGCGACATCGCCGTCATCTAGTAGCCTGTCAGAGGGCACCGGTATTAACGAGAAGAAGTTGCTGCGGAAGTTAGACTATCGTCTTCTTCCTCCGTTGATTCTGCTCTATCTGCTTTCCTTTCTGGATCGAAGTAATGGTGTGTAATACCTGAGTGAAAAGTATTCCGTGTGCGCACCCGTTCTGACCTATAATTTATGCAGTTGGCAATGCTCGACTCGAAGGAATGACCGATGATATCAAGATGTGTACGCTGCTCTCCTTTTATATAAAAGTATCCTTGAGTGAAGCCACCTAACTTCTCCGTATAGCGGGAGACCAATACCTCACTGGGTTGACCTTGTACTTCATTGGTTACGTTCTTTTCGAGATCCCAGCCAACGTTGTCCTCAAAATGACCACTCCGAGAATCTGGCTACCTACATTAACTCTTATCTGGGGTATTGTTGCGACATTGTTGGGTATCGTTCAGAATTACTCGGGCTATCTCTCCTCCCGATTCTTCCTGGGTGTTGCAGAAAGTGGTCTCTTCCCTGGAGTGGTATTTTATCTTTCCATGTGGTACAAACGAAACGAGCAGCACTATCGCGTTGCATTATTTTTCAGCGCGGCTAGTCTTGCCGGTGCTTTTGGCGGTATATTGGCATGGGTAAGCTTGTTCAAAAAACATTGAAGTTGAAATATAAGACGATAAGACTGATTGTGCAAACAGGGTATCGCACACATGAAAGGCGTTGGCGGATACAATGGATGGAGATGGATTTTTATATTAGAAGGCCTTCTCACAATCATCGTGTCTATAGTTGCCTACTTTTGGGTTTACAACTATCCAGACACCGCCGAGTTCCTAACTGAAGAGGAGCGCGATTTCATTCAATTTCGCCTCAAGAATGACAGTGATGCTACTCGAGATGAAGCATTTACCTGGTCTGCAGTGCTGGATGCGTTCAAGGACCCCAAGACTTGGCTCTATGGTCTCGGCTTCCATACAATGAGTCTCCCACTGTATACGCTTTCTCTTTTCCTGGTGAGCGAAAATATTCTTCTATTGGATTCCTTGATCAAGTGCTCATACTGGAATAGCCGACTATCATTAAGGAACTGGGCTATTCCGCGGCTCAAGCACAGTTGCTCAGTGTACCTCCCTACGCCGTGGCGTTCTGCACGACTATCGGCGTTGCCATTTTATCGGAACGATTACGCCTTCGAGCTCCTTTTATCATGGGATCTTCGGCGCTGGCTTGCATTGGATATATTCTTTTGATCTCACAACACCGACCTGGGGTGTCCTACCTCGGTACTATTTTTGCTGCGGCGGGTATCTATCCTGCGGTTGCCATTGTCCTCTCGTGGCCTGCAAACAATGTGTCAGGTCAAACCAAGAGATGCATCGCCAATGCGATGCAGATCTCGATTGGGAACCTGGGAGCGGTCATTGGAACACAGCTGTATCGGACTGAAACAAGTCCCCGGTATTTCCTTGGACATGGCTTTGCCCTGGGTTACCTTGTCGCCAATATCTTTGTGGTAGGAATTCTGTGGAAAGTTCTTCAGAGAGAAAATGTTGAAAAGGAACGTGTACGTGAAGCACAGGGACTTCGACCTTTGATGGGTGACATTGGCGATGCAGATGGTGATTTCTTGGGTGACAAGGATCCGCGATGGGTTTTCCAAACCTGAGCGATATGAACGAATCTGGTATTTATTGAAATCTTATATCTTACGAGAAGGCTCTGTGGGCACGAATCTATCATATCTTGTTCATCTATTCACTGTAATCTATTTACATCGAAGTCTCATACATGAAAAATAATCTAACGGATTTCCGGCCAGAGCTTCTGTACTAAGACCTTCTTGTTGATCTTGCCCATGGCATTGCGTTCAATACCACTGACCACTTTCAGAACGGTGGGTACCTTGTAAGCAGCCATATCCTGTTTGAGTTCCGATCGCAGTGCTGGAAGTTCGACAGGCGTTGTCTATGTAGTGTGTTAATAGAGTCCAAATAAAAGTTCTCAAGGCCAAACTTACTCCATCGCGGAATTTGACCACAGCGGCGACCCTCTGGCCCCATTCTTGATCAGCCAATCCAACAACTGCGACTTCTTGAATCGAATCCAATGCCAACATTTTGCGTTCGACCTCGAGTGCGGAAATCTTGTATCCTCCTGATTTGATAATATCGACAGATGCTCGTCCCTGGATGAAGTATGCACCGGTGATATCACGCTTGGCGACATCACCCGTTTTGAACCATCCATCCGAAGTAAATTCGGAGGACGTAGCGTCCGGCTTTCGCCAATATTCAATAAAGACATTGCCGCCCTTGATTTCAATCATTCCCTCCTCGTCATGTGCATCGACAATGTTGCCATCCTTGGTCAATCGAACTTCCACGCCAGGCAAAGGCCAACCAACGCTACCATCGATTCGTTTTTCCACTTCAAGTCCACAACTCAAAGCCATGCCAATTTCAGTCATGCCGTATCGCTCTAGCAGAGTCTGTCCCGAGATTTCTGCAAACTTCGCTTTGATGGGTGTCGGGAGGGCAGCAGAGCCTGACACGATCAATCGCAAGGCTTGTGCTCCGGCGCGGGCCGCGTCCTCTTTATCTGTACCGCGGATATTTGAATCAAAATAGTCGTTCAAGCGGGAGTAGATTGTGGGGACTGCGAAGAACATGGTCGAGGAGTCGCGATCCTGCCAGCGATTCCAGATCTCGGCGGGGTCAAATTTCGATCTCATCTCGACAGTAGTACCACTGAGAAGACTCGCAACTAATCCATTTACAATGCCGTGAATATGGTGAAGGGGCAAGACGTGAATGAGGTAGTCTGAAGGTGAGTACTTCCAAGCTTTGACCAAGGAGCTCGCCTGGAAGTTGATGTTTTCGTGGGTGGTGACGCAACCCTTGGGCCTGGAGGTCGTTCCGGATGTATAGATCATGAGTGCTCGGCGGGTGACTGGGAAAGAAGGCGAAAAGGAAGGTAGTGAGGGCTTCTCGTTTCGGCTCAATGGATCGAGACCCATGAAAGGAATATCCGTCGAGCACCCCTCGCGCAGTCCTGGCGCAAGTTTCTCGAATGCGGGGTGGATGATGACCAGTGACGGGGCTGAGTCTTCAATCACATATAGTAACTCTGCAACAGGGTGAGATGTACACAGGGGCACCGCAATACCTCCTGCAGCCCAAGTAGCCCATTGAGTCACCACGTAGTCATAGCCGGTCGCGAGGAAGGCAATGCGGCGCTCCTCCAAGTCTGATACCCCGAGTAGTTCGAGAATGCCTTTCCTCAGGGCAGCGACGTCCTCCAAAAGTTGAGTAAAGGTGAATGACTGCTGCTTCACTGAGTCGACGACAGCAATCTTCTGAGGATCACTCTTCGCATGCTGCTGTGCGGCCACAAAAATTGGTAGCTCAGGGATCGGCATGATTGTGTCTAGTCGGGCCGAGGAGCGGGGGAGGGTGAGGATTGGAAGGGGAGTAAAGCGATGAGAGAGGAGAAGAGTGGATAATGCGACTCTTGAAGAAGAGATGATCAGTAACGAATGATCATTAAGTAACGTGAAAGCTCAGGTTTGACTTGGGGAGGATGAATTGCGTCGATTCAAGGGGCATCGGCATCCAAATGCGAGGCCGAATCGGAGTAAATCTGGATGCCGACGCCCAACGTGGGGCAAATTTAATGCAGCGCTGAAGAATGTTCAGCCGGCATTCTTATACTAATACGACTCGGAGGGCTATGTATCGATTTGGCCTGTAGCTTCCTCTATTTTAAGACTTCGCGGCGAAGTAAAACTACTACCAACTAGTTATCACGGATACCATACTATCACCCTACCAAAGCCTCGTACTTTCATCCGAAAACCAACGCCCTAACTTCAATGCTTTCCCTCCCCTTCACATCAATTCTCTCCGATGGATATGAAAATGCCGTATGTACCACTCTCTTTACCACTCCCGCCTGATTGTCAAAGCATTTGAGGAGAACTCGCTCATCAGTTTCCAACTCCAGAACAATACTTCCATTCCGCCCTGGGATTGTATTTCACCCCCATAATCTCGCCATTGAAGGATGAATAGCGATGCTCAATCTTCACGTAATCCAAATCAGGTGTAGTTGTTGTAGAAGCGAATGCCATAGGTGACGATTCAACTTTGCTGTTGATCGGCCGCCATACATTGATGATTTAATAGCGACCTCGGAGGAGATATTCCCCTGCCTGTGAATCATTTGCTGCATGTCGGCGTACTCTCAACTCTGCAGAACGTGCTGTCTGGTCAGTATGGACTTGATTCACTGGCTGGCGTGCGGCATTGGCATTCGATCGCCGGATAGTTTGGTCGAAGAGGAAAATCAATCGAGCGCCAGGGACATTGTCCAGGAGCAATTTTTCGACTTCTGGATAGTAAAGCCACTGGATTTCCTCGTCGTCGAATGTCTCATCAGTCGAGGACGATTTGACCTCGCGCATTATTTGGAATGCGTCGCGATCTAGGAAAAATTGATCTTCCTGTCCCCGAATATCACAGATTACGACCGTCTAAAAATCGTCTCTGTAATTTCGGCGAGCTTCTCCTTCTGATGGATCTTCAACCTAGTTGAAAGGCTCGGAGTTATCGATAGGGTCCTGGAAGAAGGCCAACTTCACTTCAATGGGAATATGCTTGGACTGTGACATGGTGAGACTGGAGGTTGACTGATAGGATTGACGAGTTAAGTTGAAATTTCAATAAATACTGATTTACAGGAATGGAGTGGTTTCAGGTGTGGAGTAGTTACTTATAGTGGAAATGTAATATTTCAATGATGGCATCGGCATTTGAAATGCCAATAAATCCGGTTGGCTTATTATCAAAGGCCGAACATTTTACCTGCAGGGCTTCAAAACGGGTTGACCCTGCTGGCCTGCTAGATCAGCCACCGTCATAAAATCTTAATCATTTTTACCACGACAAAATTCAGCACCAAGTTGAATCGAATCCACTAAGTCAAATATCCGGGGAAATGCGTTGCAAAATAACTTGAAGACACGGTGTTGAAGTTTGGTAAAAAATACTATATATCACTAGCACCGTGAAACTGTGGAATCCATGGATATTTTTGGTATCGTCGAACGTACTACTAGTACTTCATCCACAGTCATCCATAGAAGAATAGTACTACCGTATACTGATCTTGAATAATCAGCTAAACGCCCGGGCGATCGATTGGGACTTTGAAACTATTTAATAAAACGAAGCGGTCTCTTTCAAACGTTTTCTAGAATCCGCTCGTATGGAATCAACAATATCAGCAGCATTTCCCAATGTATTAATCATGCCCACGCCTGTACCAGCCCATAAACTTCCCATATCCTGAACACCAAGACCTCCTCCGCCAGGCCCATTCATAGTTTCCGACAGCCAAGCTCGAATACTTCTGATATATTTGCCTTTAGTATACAGTTCATAGAACTTATTCCTCAGACATCGACCATCATAAGTTGTAGGCTAGAAATTAGGGCCCCAGATTTCGTCGAAGACACGAGATCGCGCGGTAGACTGACCGCCATCAGAGGCACTGAATACAGCATCGCGACATATTTGAGGAATGTGGGACTCGACGGCTCCAAGGAATCGTGTTCCCATCACTGCCCCCGAAGCACCTAGAGTAAGTGCCGCGGCGGTTGCTCTTCCATCCATGATTTCCCCCGCAGCGATCAAGGAAATTTCGATTTCCAGCTTTTGAAGTGCATCCGCAGTCTCGGGGATGAGAGACACGATGCTTGCTCCGGCTTGATGTCAGTGGCCCCCGGCGTCACTTCCTTGTAGGACTAGTGCATCGGGATGACAAGCCTGAGCTACATCCACCGCAGCCTGCACACTTCCGAGCTGCACCCAAATGTCGGTTTTGGGTGAAAGTTTCCGAATACCCTCCGCCCAAGTCCTCATTTCGCTTGTTCCGGCGAACGAAAGCCCTGCAACGGCAGGCTTATATGTTGCAAATAGTCGCATCCATGCATCGATTGGAGATCCGAATACAATTACCCCGAGTCCGATTGGTAATTGATCTGGATCAGGTAGAATGGAAATGATATCTTTAAGCTCTTTTGTTGTAGAGTCTAGCTCTTTGGACAGAGTGTGCATGTCGTCTAGATATCCGATTTGGCTCAGGCCACCGGCGCGAGTGACGACTGTTGCTAGCTCACCTGTGGCCACACCACTCATGGGGGTATTGGCGATGAGAGGAGCCTGTATCCATGGGAGCCGAGTCTTCAATGAAGTAAAAGTAGTCATGTTGCTTGACGATTTGGGGAAAGTAAAAGCGGGGGCAATTCTTTTTATACTTGAAAAGGTTGGTGAGTCGCGGACCAAACACCGAGTGAGTGGCGACGGAGGTAGTTGGTTCGGTGATTGATCGGGTTTTTGGTGGATATTTGAAATGGCTATAAAATGGGGGCTTGGGAAGTATGATGAAACATCTTGACACCTATCAGACTAAACACAATTTGTATTGCTCCAGTACTATGTATGCTGTCTTAAATAATCGCCGGCGCGTTAGGCGTAGCTGTCATCTTATCAGGTTGAACAACTCGTGAGCCATCCTCTCCATCTTCCAAACCCCGCGCGACGAGATCGGTAAAATCAACGCCCACTGCCGTTAGTAGGGCGGCGTGCTCATGGACGATATCAAGGCATTTTTGCCATACCGAGGTGCCGCGCTGAACACTACTCAGCTGGCGACCTAGCAAGCTGTTGAACCCATCCAGATGGTGCTTGGCCCAGCGAATGCAGGAACTGCTCATCACGCCAGGAAAGCACTGTTGGTAGATAGCAATGGTGTTTTTGATGAGAGAGAAATAAACGTAAGATATCTGGAAGATGTAAAGGGGGAGATCGCCCTCGAATACACATGCCCTGTTGTGATTGTTAGGAAAATGCATGGTGGGTAGTTATTGGGAACGGATGAGACTCACCGAATACGCTTCGCAATGACATCAGTCCGTGCCTTCAAGTAGGTCTCGCGGGCCTGGTCTTCAAATCCGAGACGGCTTAGCCAGCCCACGTTAGTCTTGGTAGCAGTTGGGAATGATTGACTGTCCACTAGGGCGCGTGAAAGCATGCCGGCCAACCGCGTGGCACGTCCATCCACCTTGACATTGATCACATCTTGTGCAATCGCATTGCCTTTTAGGCCCTTGGCTAGTTTGCGCAATCTTTCAATGGTCGAGACTGCTTCCTCGAACCGCTGCAGGGCAATATCGATGTCCAACTCATCCACTTGTCCCTCCACCCAACGAAGGTTTTGCTGCTTGCCGTCGACGTCGATTCGCAACTCGGACTTGTCGCGAGGCATATCGGAGATGTCAAGCGGCTCTGCCTTCTGGGAATACGATACGTGTCGTCCTGAGAGGTAGCCGTATGCCTCCAAGGGTTTGCTAGCAGCCTCAGTCTCGGAGCGCAAGGTTCGGCGCAGGTCTTCAACCGTCTTGCGGAAAGTCGCCAGCAATTCGTTTTTGGTTGAGGTGTCGCGTTTGTCTTGACGATAGGTAAAAGGCTTTGAGCCGACCCGGACACTAATGGCATTTCCAATGCCCCGATCGAGCGCCTCTTCTCGGGCGGCGCCTGTGCCTAGGTTGGCTGCGAGGTCAATCATATCAATATCTTGTAGAGGCCAACACTCCTCGGCGACCAACTTGGTTGGAACGGGGCCACGTTGATTGGGGTGATTCTGGTCGACGCGCTTGCGTTTCTTCGCCGCGACCAGAAGGTGATCATTCAACAGCACGATATGGACGGGCCGTTTTGGTTTCCAGGTCGCCGAGTCCAGCTCGGCCCAATGACCCGTCTCCAGCACGATATGTCGCCCGGGAACCGCCGGCAGGAACTTCTGAGAACCCTCAACCGTTTTCCACAGCGTCTGCAGTTGGACGCTCCACATGCTTTCTAGATTGGCGACGGAGCTGCGATTCGAGTGGCGCTTGGGGAAGTGATCGTCGACCGGAGACATGAGATTAGGGCTGTTTCCGACATTGGTCTGTCCAAGGGCGGTGGTGAGCTCGGACATGAGAGTGCGTAGGGTGCGCATTTCATCCTTGAGCTTCTCGGCCTCTCGACTGATTTTGATGAACTGGGTGCGGTTCTGGTAGACATTTTGCTGTAGGTCGGTGGATGTGCGATTCTTGACTTTGCGGAGGCTTTCCTGGTATTTCTGGATCTCTTCTTCCGACGCGTTGGCGAGGATATTGGTTACGTCTGGAGGGGGGGTCGCAGGTCAGCATTGGAGGGACTACGGAAGGGGATTGAAAGGAAAGGAGACAAGAGAGGGCATACATCGTTCCACGGGGAGACCTGGGTCTCGCAAGGCGTTGAGGTCGACCTTGGGTATTGGGGTCGCTCCGTCTGCTGGGGATGGTTGGCGCGAGATGGTGGACGGGGCGGCCAGGCCTCCGTAACCACCACCAGGGACGGGAGGCGGCAGGGCAGGGACCGGGGGAGCGTTGGCATCGAAATCGGGAGCAGCATTGAATCTGGTAGAGTAGCGTCGCTTGACGAGGTCGGAGGTAGCGCCGCTCTGGGGAGCTCGATCGTGGTTGGGGACAGCGGCCTGGCCGACCTCGGGGGCTCTGGTATTGGCGGGCAGGGGGCCAGAGATAGGTTTGGGGGCACTGATCTGCGGGCGGCGACGGCGAGATTTGCTGCGCAGTGTCAAACCGCGACTTTCCATGATGGCGGGGTGGGATGGGATGGGGGAGAGAAGGAGGTGGAGGAGGAAGTTGGGGGGAGACGGGGAGATGAGGTGGAGAGGCACCTCTCATAGGTATACTATAGTAAAGTAATACTAAGGGAATGGAGTCTATAGCACCACCGCTTGAATCTTTAATAGCTTCCTATTGTTTAATATAAGAGAACTACTTAACTGGTTATTAATAGCATAGTGACTCAATTTTAAATATATTATTCAGTACTATGGAGCTGACTACCTAGGTATGTACTACCTACGGCTATTGTATTCCAACGTGGCTTCACTAAGTATGGTAACAGTAGGTTGGGTACCAATAACTAGTAACTAGTAACTGGTAACTAGTATATTGTATATGACTATATACTACTATTTGCAGTATAATATAGTATATAGTATACAACATATACTCGACTACCATGCTATATCTTATACTATACATAGTACGCTGTATGTATAACTGCAGGTGCTCTGACGTTGTCTCACGTGACCATCAAAATTGTGCTTCAACTCGGTCCAACTCGGTCCAACTCGACTCAACCTTCAACCCTCAACTTGATCCTTGCTCTTTCAACTTCCCCTTCCTCCCATCCCCCCTCATCCCTTCCCTCCACATTCCCTTCATACCCTTCATCATGCGCACATCCGCTCTCGTTGCTGTGTCGGCTGGCACCATCATCACCGGTCTGCTCGGTAAGATCCCATCGGATTCGACCTGTCCTCAACTCGTCCCATCAACCTTGGAAGCTAACCATTTGATATTTCTTTAGCCTATGCTGCCTACTTTGACTACAAGCGCCAGTCCGACCCCGAGTTCCGCAAATCCTTGAAGCGCAACAACCGCAAGATCGCCAAGGCTGTCAAGGAGGAGGAAGAGGCCCACGGCGCCGCCCAACGCGAGGCCATCAAGGCCGCCATCCAGAGCGTCAAGGCCGAGGGTTTCCCCACCGACCTGGAGGAGAAGGAGTCCTACTTCATGAACCAAGTCGCCAAGGGCGAGGGACTGTGCTCTGAAGGTACGTGTTTTTGAAGTCGCGCCGCGCCGCGCCCGGAGGCCGCGGAGGTCCTCGGCATATGATAAACGGCTAACATTGACTTTTTTTCCCTTCAAACACAGGTGATAACCAGATCGAGGCTGCCATTGCTTTCTACAAGGCCCTCAAGGTCTACCCCCAGCCCAAGGATCTGATCTCCATCTACGACAAGACTGTCCCCAAGGAGGTTCTTGAGATCCTCGCCGAGATGGTCGCTATGGATGCCAGCTTGAACCTGGGTGGTACCTTCACTGGTGGCCCTGACCTGTCTGCCAGCACCGACAACCACGGTGTTGAGTAAATGCGACCACTACCACGACCGCGTTCCTCGTGACATGCGAAAAGAAAAGAAAAAAACCACTAGAGCTTCAGCCCAACCGGAGTCCAGTCCAGTCCAGTTCCAGATTGAAGCTCGGTGGTCTGTATTTGTTTCCCCTTCCTCCTCTCCTTCTCCTCCTCCATCTTCATCATTCGACATATCCCTTCTGACCTGCTCCGCCACTCTCCACTCTCGACTTTTTCCAATTTCTCCTCCTCTTCTTTTCCGGACTGTGTATATGTATTGGGTCTTGGCCAACGCCGCGGAGTGGCCTTGGAGCCTTGGTATTTCTGGGCGTGACTGGTTTCCTCGATTGCGCCCCCCCCCTGATTTTTATTACTTCTTTTCCCCCTTTGTTTCTTCTTTGTGTTTGCTTCATAGCATTTGGACCCGGGAGAGTGATGTGTGAGCAAAGGGCAGAGAGAGAGACTGTGTATTTTAAAGCGAATGAAAGGCCCCAATGAATTTAGAGTGCGCCCTGCTTGGGTATCTTCCATATTTGATGACTTCATGAGGGTCTGAGAGGGTCTGAGAGGGTCCTAGTTTGATTTCCGAACCCTGACTGGTTCTGTTCCTCTTTGAATTCCCCACTTGGCGCAGTTTGGGGTTCTTCAATCTTTCCCCCCACTCGCGATCCCTTTTTATTTCTTGCGTCCTCAATTTGGCTCCCTTTCTCTTTCTTCTTTTCTTTCTTCTCTCTTCAATCGTTCCTTCCTGCGCTCGTCGCACTGTCATTCTTTTAAACAAAACGAGAGAGAAAAAAAGAGAACGGGCCTTAAAAGTCCTTCATTTTCAACTTTCACATTTGGCCCCCCGATCGTCAAGATGATTGCCGTACGTGTTGGTTCCCTGAGCTTGGCTTTAACGATCGCTCCAGGAAGTGATAGTCATGAGAAAAAGTACCAAGGTACTCCGCGATGTGAACTTTTGAACTAATTCCAACATTGTTTCTAGTCTTATAGTCGCATCTTCACGGCCCTTTGTGCTCTGGCTAGCACCGCGGCCGCTGTGACCCCCCTCAAGGTTGATGGAAAGGATTTCGTCAACACCGACACTGGAGACCGTTTCCAGATCATTGGTATCGAGTAAGCCTACCCTGATCTTTCTTGTTATCAGTTTTGCGCCAGGTCATGATATAATATATTGACTTTTCTGGCCAGTTATCAACCCGGTGGTCAGTCCGGCTTCTCTACCAAGAAGGACCCCCTGAGTGACCCTGATACTTGTCTGCGTGATGCTGCTCTCATGCAGCGCCTGGGTGTAAGTTCTTGGTCTTTACGCCGATATTTGGCAATGCCATGTCATATGCGCCATGTGATCAATGGCTGATGATCCTATATAGATCAACACCATCCGTGTTTACAACCTGGAGCCCTCTCTCAACCACGACAAGTGTGTCTCTTACTTCAACGGTGCCGGTATCTATATCATTCTGGATGTCAACTCGCCTCTGCCCAATGGCTCTCTCAACCGCGGTGAGCCTTGGACCTCGTACAACCCCATCTACTTCCAGCAAGTCTTTGGTATCATCGAGGCCTTCAAGTCTTACCCCAACGTCCTGGGTTTCTTTGCCGGTAACGAGGTCATCAACGAGGATGCTCAGTACCTGGTCCCCGCCTACGTTCGCGTGAGTTGAATTGATCTTTCTATACCCATTACCCAGTGTTCTCTCGATCAAACTAATCAAACCCACCCTGCAAATAGGCCGTCATCCGTGACATGAAGGATTATATCGCTAAGCACTCCAACCGCACCATCCCCGTCGGCTATTCCGCCGCTGACGTCCGCAACATTCTGATCGACACCGACCGCTACTTCGAGTGCCACATGAAGAACTCGACCAGCTCGCAGGCCGACTTCTTCGGTCTGAACTCTTACTCCTGGTGCGGCAAGGCTTCCTACAAATCCGCAGGCTACAACGTCTTGACCGAGGATTTCTCCAACTCCACCATGCCCGTCTTCTTCTCCGAGTACGGCTGCAACGAGGTCAAGCCCCGTGTCTTCACTGAGGTCCAGGCCATCTACGGCGAGGAGATGACCCAGGCTTTCTCCGGTGGTCTCGTCTACGAGTGGACCGAGGAGGACAACGAGTACGGTCTGATCCAGGTCAACAAGAACGGCAGCGTCACCCTGCTGGTCGACTACGAGAACCTGCAGGGTCAATTCGGCAAGCTGGACATGGACCGCATTCAGTCCAGCAACTCCTCGCAGACCAGCGTCACCCGCGAAGAGTGCAGCGCCGACCTGATCACCAGCAAGAAGTTCCTCAACGCCTGGAACCTGCCCACCCGTCTGGACAAGATCAACAACTACATCGAGAACGGCCTTCCCAACAAGCCCTCCGGTTCCCTGGTCTCCGTCTCCAGCACCTCCATCCCCGTCAAGGTCTACGGCTCCAACGGCAACGAGATCTCCGATATCAAGTACAAGGTTCTGGCTGACGGCCAGGTGAACAAGCCTTCCAGCACCGGTACCAGCTCTACCAGCAGCAGCAGCGACTCCTCGTCCTCTGGCACTAGCACCTCGTCTTCCTCCACTGGAACCTCCACCTCCACCAACGCTGCCTCGATGAACGGTGCCTCCTCCGTTCTCGTTGGCGGTGTTAGCGGCTTCTTAATGCTGCTTGCTTCTCTTCTATAAACTCGCTGCATTTGCAGATCTTTTCTTGTAGTCGATTTGGGGTGATTTTGTTCCAGTCCTTGGACGCTGTGGTTTGCCATGGTCTGTCTGTCGTTCATGTAATTTACTTGGTTCTGTACATTGTCTGCCCTGTCGGCCAACAATCCGTTACCAATATCCAATTTTCCTTTCACAAGTACTTCTCTTCTTCTATTCATCTCATCGCTTACTCTGCGATTTGTGCTTTCCTTGTAGCAAATCTGGATCATAGTTGGACTCGCGATTGTAGTATCAGAGATCAGTATTATGCTAGTGCTAAACATTCGCAGCTTACGCTGACAGGTGAGCTGCTCCTCTGAATGTCAAGAAGAACAAAGAAACACTAGTAAAAGAAACATGCAAAAATGCAGGGGTAAAACAAGAACGAACAAGAAAAAACAGTCTAACTAAAATGTCACAACCGCAACATGCAGCACGCCCTCCATCACGTGGCTCTCGCCTTGCCCTTGCCCTTGGCAGAGGTTTGCGAAGTCGATACTGGCGGCGGAGCGAGGCCTGGAAATTCCTCCCATTCATCCTGTTCCTCCACATTACCTCGACTCTTATTCTCTGCCAGACTGAGCTGAATCGCGAATTCCAGGTCGTCCATTTCTTGCTGTCGACTGCTTTCCGCAGCCCCAGGGGATGATGGCTGAGGTGGTTTCACACCCTTTGCATACTTGATGGGGATAGACGGGGTCTGGTCGATTTGTGGGGCGGGAGAATCATCTCCAAGAAGACTCAACCGTATGGCTTCTGCAAGGTCATCGTCCACGTCATCGTCCATGGGAGTTTGGTACGGGGATGAGGAGGAAGAGACGTCCCCTAAGCCGAAAGAGCTGGGACCAACAGCATCGCTGAACGATGTGCTGGTAGCAGAACTTGCGATCGCAGTTTGATCACTTTGCTTGGCAGCCTCGTCAGGGTGAGCTTCCTGGCTAAGAAGCTGAGCATATGCCAAAAGCTGTTCCTCGTCAATATCCGGACCGAGGAGGTCGACGCCAAAGCGGGCGCTGAGGTGTTCTCGCTCCTTGTCATCTGCGATTTGCTGTCGCGTCAATTCAACGCGCTCGTCTTCGATGAAATCCCGGATTGCGCCTCGGCCGCTGTTGTTGAAACGCTGGCCTTCGGCCGCACCACCATTGCCACCGCGCAAGCCATGGCGCAAACGTCGCTTGCTGACATTGTACTGATCTGCAGCGGATGAGCTATAGGACCAGTACCGAAGGTGTGTGCCGAGCGAAACCATTCCGCGCAGGTTCGTTGGATCTGGGTCAAGACAAATAGCTCCCGTTGCAAAGTAGTTATTTCCAACCCCGAACATGGAAGCTTCGGCTTGTACCAGTCGACGACGAGCCCGGGACGAGAATCGAGAGTTCAAAGTTCGAATTGGGCGAGTAGACGATGCCAGCGGGTCCCACGCCTGGACAAGGCCATCATTACCACCGTGTACCAAGTACAAAGACGTCAAGGCAATGCAGGAGACTTGAGGCGATTCTGTTTGAATAACCCGCAGCGGGGGAATCGAGTTGATGACGTCCGTATTCTGCGCCGCAAGTGCGCGAATGTTCCAAACAAAGATCATGCCAGTACCAGTACCCACTGCCAGATAGCGAGCCCGTTGGCCAGGAATCTCGATACTAGACAGTGGCTGTTCCATATGAGGTAACATAGGCGAAGAGGTCGCAGAGGACAACGAACTTCCCGACATGCCGAGGAGGGGGTCTTCTGCTGCCGTCGGGGTAGCCCAGTTAGAGTTATCCAGGGCATTGGTGGTAATTTCGACCGATTTCCTATCGCCAAAAGTGAAGTCTGAGATCCGCCACTCGGTATCAGCTACAGCATTTACTCGGACTGACGAACGAGATGGCGGAAGGCTGTCGCCAGGTGTAGGACTTGGGGAACCTGTCGGGCCACCGAAGAGAGAGACGTGGGCCTTCCTTTCAGTGGGACGGGAGCCCGGGGTTGACGGACGGGAGGTTGATCCGAGTTTCGACGCCGTGCGAACATATCTTCGAACCGATGCGGTTGCAGCCTCGCCTCCTCCACGAGCGATGACGATAACTGCCTCTCCGGCTCCGGTGCCATCATCTCCAGCAAAATCCACCTGCAGGTCACGCTCCATATTCCAGCCTTCACAAAGCTTGCGGAAATGTTTGGGCCTAAAAGCAAGGAACTTCTCGATCTCCCTGGTCTCCGCAGCAATCTGATTTACATCGAGTTGCATCGAAGCTGAGGACGATCGCGGGCTATAACTGCCATCAACCAATTCCCGACTGAAAGGGTCAGGTCGAGCCTTCCGGCGACTGAGTTCAAGAAGCTCCCAGCGCACATTTCTTCCTGTCTTCCATGCAAGCTCATCAAATTGCTCTGCGTTGAACTTGGCATTAGACGGAATGTCGGGCTTTGGAGGAAGATCGACAATGTAGAAGATCTCTCCCAGCGCATTGAGAACCACGGCCCATACTCGTTTCTGGGAATGGCGTTTGAGTGAGTAATTGTCGTCCACGGCGATTCCGATGATAGGGACACCAGGGCTGAGGACCCATTTTGCAGTGACTTGTCCTCGCTCATACCGACCCTCGTAGCTCGGATGGGGACCCATCGCATAGGCTGTCAGTACACCCGAAGAGGAACCGGTCATCATAGCAACGAGACCCCCGGTTGTCTTGAGGATCGAGGATGACTTGGCGATCCACACCGAGCAGACAGCATGCGTAATTTGATTGACCGCAGGGATGCCGAGATTTGGGTGAGAACCCAGCTCCGAAGCACCGAGGAAGCGGCCTCGTTGTTCGGTTGTAGAGATGAAATAGCTCCGCCCTTGAGGGCATCCTTCGCCATAGATCATACCATAGGGTTGACTCACGTCCATGGAGTTGGACGTTCCAACCATCTCTCCTGCTCCTGAGACCATAGGGAGCATCACCCGGAAACATATCAGCAAAATGTCGAAATATCTGGTGATCATTAAGACCCCAGGTGCTCACTTTCACCAATGATGGGTCACTAGCAGAAGCAATGCCCTGTTCGGACGCCCCGTGGATGAAAGTGGGTTCCTTGTCGCTGTTGAACAATCCGTGGATCTTGCTCACTGGAAAAAGCAAGTTCGATGTGTACGTACACACTGCGCTACCGTTTCGAGCAGCTGCGGATCGCACTGCGCCATGTTTCTTGGACGGCTGAAACTGCGCCGGCTTGCCTCGGCCTAACGACCGCATCAAGCGGGTGCGAAGGATATATTCACTGCGCCAGGATGCCAGTGCCGTCAATCGTGCGAACAATCGTCTATCCGAACCCGGCTCCGTCTCATCTGATACGGCATGCCGATCGGACTCTATAGCCTGAGGGCCCGGAAAGAAACGCGAAAAAGCGACTCGCCAAGCATGCGGAGTAGTGACCAAGTTGTGGAACCGGTGGGAGACCAGTGTCATGGCTGACAGGGTATGGGGAGGCAGATGCGACAAGATATGAGTGAGTACCTCTAGAGCGGGGCATGTTAGAGCGACTCGGGAGTGAAGGTATTCGGACAGGACCAACCGTTGGGAAGCGACTCTAAGGGAACTCGGGAGTGTCTAGAGGATTGAATAACTTGAAATACAGGGTCGCGTCTCTGTGAAGAGCCAGCGCTTTCATGTTCAATCACTCGTTGGGCGGGAGAAGGCGGGGCAGAGCCATGGTCGCTCAGGGGTGGATGGTTCAGTGGCGGGGATGAAGCGACGACAGGAGAGTCTCCGGTCTCTCCATGAATGAGAGAGCCAGAGACTGCACCGTCATCGAGGTCATTTCCATGCTGGGTAGTGCTGGGGTTGGATTGCGATGAGTCAATGGGGGGGAGTATGTTGAGATACTGTTATAGACTCTGGTTGCATAAAAAGACTGGTGTTGAAAAGCGATAGGCAATAGCGACTGAGCCAGCGATAAAACCTGGGTCAGTCGATGCAGGAAATGCGAGTGCGAGGGGAGAAAGCGTGGGAGGTGGTGGAGGAGAAAAGAGAAGAGAAGTGAAGCGGAGGAGGAGATGAAGGAAAGCCCGAAGCGGCGAGGCGGAGTGGCCATCCCGCAGTAATCGTTAGTCACTAAGTAGTTACACTAGTTAGCTATACTAGGGTAGTCACTGTATTCACAGGAATATATTAGATATGGGTGTATTATATGTGGCATCTCTCATTGATTCTATTAGATTTAATTTCCTCCATTTATCCTCTTTCTTTGGTATTTCATAGTATCTCATAATTCCGTAGTAGAACTACTAGTACTGCACTACCAATGCACGCGTGATCACGTGAACACGTGCCTCGGAGCCGCGTTGGAGGCTTCTGCCTTCACCGTCTGAGTCTTTGAATCTTGAATCTTGAGTCTTGGGAGTGACGATCCATCGCGGACTGTGACTGTCACTTTAATTTTACCGCGCTGAGATAGCCATCAATACCCCATCCGGAGTAGGCTGAGCACAATCACCCAGCAATATGCCGGGCGTCAACGGTGAGGTTATCAAACCATCCATCTTGGACACCTTGAGGCACTTCCTAACGATCACCAGAGGCGGAAACAATCCGCATTCTCATATCGACTGACAATCATGTTGGCTACAATGAGCGAGACCCCATTCGGGGAGATGACAGCTGGAAGACTTTCCACGAAATCATGTGTATGGCTAAAGAACAAGATGTCGATATGGTGCTGCTCGCCGGCGATCTTTTCCATGAGAACAAACCTTCCAGGAAATCCATGTACCAAGTGATGCGCTCCATTCGCATGAATTGCTTTGGCGACAAGCCCTGCGAATTGGAGATGCTCAGCGATGCTAGCGAGAACTTCCAGGGCGCATTCAACCATGTCAACTACGAGGATTTAGATATGAATATTGCCATCCCCATCTTCTCTATTCATGGCAATCACGATGACCCGTCCGGGGAAGGCCACCTTGCCGCCCTGGACCTCCTCCAGGTGTCCGGCCTGCTCAATTACTATGGTCGGACCCCAGAATCTGATAATATTGAGATCAAACCGGTTCTCCTCCAAAAAGGCCGAACCAAACTTGCACTCTATGGAATGAGTAATGTCCGGGATGAGCGCCTGTTTCGAACTTTCCGCGACGGAAAAGTCAAATTCTTTAAGCCTTCGGTCCAAAAAGATGATTGGTTCAACTTGATGTCAGTCCATCAAAATCATCATGCATACACTGAGACGGGGTACCTACCGGAAAATTTCCTTCCGGATTTCATGGATATGATCATCTGGGGCCATGAGCATGAATGCTTGATCCACCCTAAGCAAAACCCCGAAACAAAATTCCACGTTATTCAGCCAGGTTCGTCAGTCGCAACATCGCTTGTACCTGGTGAGGCTGTGACAAAACAAGTCACCATTATGAGTGTCACGGGTCGGGAGTTCTCGTGCGAACCCATTCGACTCAAATCAGTTCGACCCTTTGTGATGCGAGAGATTGTTCTATCCGAAGAAAAGGGCGCTCAGAAACTCGCTCGCAAAGAAAACAACCGAACCGAAGTAACCCGCTTCCTGATGGCAATCATTGAAGAATTAATTGAGGAAGCAAATGCAGAGTGGCTTGAAAACCACCCTCAACACGATGACGAGGAGGACCAGCCAGAGATTCCTCTCCCTCTTGTTCGGCTTCGTGTAGAGATATCCACTCCGGAGGGCGGAAGCTACGAGTGTGAGAACCCACAACGATTTTCAAATCGGTTTGTCGGCAAAGTTGCCAATGTTAATGACGTCGTACAATTTCACCGCAAGAAAAAGAATCCAACTGCTTCCCGCAAAGACGCTGCAGGGCTTGACGAGGCGTCAACTTCACACCTAACAGCTTTGGACACGGTCAAGGTGGAACAATTAGTCAAGGAATTTCTCGCATCTCAATCACTTAGCATCCTCCCTCAGAATACTTTTGGAGATGCCGTGGCTCAGTTCATCGACAAGGATGACAAGCATGCGATGGAAATGTTCGTCAACGACTCGCTAGAAAGCCAAGTGAAGCATCTGATGACTCTCACTCGCGATGAAGATGATGTGGATGAAGAAGACCCTGAGCAGAGCTCTTTAGTGACAGCCATGGAGAAATATCGCACACAAATGGAAGATTTATTTTCCAAGGGAGTCAAGAAACGTACCCGTGGCAAGAAGCGCTTCAAGCCCAAGCCAGATGGCTGGGACTCCGAGTTTGACGGCACATGGGAAGATCAACCAGGTGCCCTTATCCATTCTGACAATGAAGGCGGTGATCCCGCGGAAGAAGAAGATGGAGAGGGCGGTGCAACGCCAGCTGGTAGCCGCGCCTCAGCTGCAGCCTCCACTCGCGGTCGTGGCAGAGGACGTGGACGTGGCCGTGGTGCATCTACCACTGCACGAGGGGCAGCCAAAGCAGCTGCTGCACCTAAAGGACGCAAGAAGCAGGTGATATCTGATGAAGAGTCGGAGGCCGATAAGGATGTGATTATGCTTGAAGATGACGACGAGGATGTTGCTGCCGATATCATTTCGGACGACGATGATTCCCAGGCGCTGTTCGTCAAACAACCGCGCGCAGCCACCAGTTCAAGGGGGCGGAAGACAACCTCAGCTACAACGAAGACTACCACAACCCGAACTCGTGTGCCTCAAACGGCGGCATCACCAGCCCCCTCGTCAGTAACCGTCAGTGCCACTGCTACACGCCGAACTGCTGCAAGAACGGCCAAACCCACTCAATCAACACTTGACTTTGGTTCTCAAGCCAGTGCCGCCCGCTCTACAAGGCCCAAACGTGCGATGCGTAGCATCAGTGTCGTTAGTGATGATGATGATGACGACGACGCATTTGAGCCTGTTGAGGCATCTAGCTCACGGCGACGACGTTGATTAAGACGCATTATATATTCTATCTGTATTCATGGCTGTCTGTATGGGGGCGATTTTCTCAAAAGAACCAGAAGATAGTACTCCAAGCCCAATATGACCTTATGAAATTTGTCTTCCATGTTCAACATTTATGCCCTTGAGGGAAATATTCAAAGTCCACGGGTAGTTTCAAGGCAAGGTAATATTGGATACTACTACTAGTAGTAGTAACACGTACCTAGGTACCGCTTGACCAGTATATTCAAGTTGAGGAGGTACTAGGAATTAGCCCTGGGAGCAACCTTTGCAGTTCAAGTGTGTACTACTAGTACTAGGTAGTTGAAAGGTGTCGATATGTGGAGAGGTATTCAACCCATAGCCTAGCATGGTCAAGTACAATAATACACTAGAGTATCCATCAAATACTATCTCCATCTGAACATTGAATATAGACTTGGCGTCGACTTATGCTAACTAAGTGTAACCTTCATAGATCCTGGTGGAGCTTCCCCGCAATCGGCGGCCGAGGAGCCTCGGTCTGTTTCGACTCATCACAACGACATCTCACCAGACATAAACACCCTCCTATCTGTAGTACGTCGTGAGACTGACCAAGAGCCACATTGTATTTATCATATTATAATGGCATTCACAGGCCGATCCATTCGCATCGCAGGTAAGTTCAAGTCTCACCCACCCCGTCCTTTCTTACTCACACCACACAGGCGCCTCGGGCTCTGCCTCAGACCGACGCCATGCGATCGCTGAATTCGCACACTACTACCCAACCGACCCCGTCGATGTAATTATCGCTGACTTCATGAGCGAATTTAATATGGCCACCGCTGCGGGGAAGCGTGAGGACCAGAAGGGTGCAGCTGGGTCTGCGGCGCCGGCATATGATCTGTCCTTTCTTGAGGCGTTGGATCCTGCGTTGGGTGATCTGGCGAAGTACGGGATCAAATTGGCAGTTAATGCTGGCGTGGCAGATACGAAGGGTCTTCATGAGGCGGTGACTAAAATGGTTCGGGCAAAGGGGTTGGATTTGAAGGTATTTCATTATTGGATTTGGTATTT